TGCATGTATATTACAATCTTACAATATACGTGTTGCGCACAAACCGATAACCACTTTACGGCGACTGATTACTAACGTCAAGGACAAAAACAAACCAGAGGACAGACAGGGAGCAGTATACAAGGTCAAATGCTGCGACTGCCAGGCTTCTTACATTGGTGAAACCGGCAGAAACCTAAGCACGCGACTGACCGAACACAAACGCGCGACGAGGAATGGTGACGTCAACAATCACATTGCTGAGCACCATTTAAAGACAAAACATCAAATTGACTGGGACTCTGCGACATGTATAACCTATTTTACAGACTACTATCAACGTCTTACTTTAGAAAGCTGGTTTACTAACTTAGAACAAACGCCGCTGAATCGTAGCCAACAGTTACCAGTGCCCTACAAACGAATTATTGACGAGATCAAGCAAAACTAACTATGAGAGAACAACTGGAGAACTGACAATTTGACTAACAATAGACGACTGTTTAACTGTGACAATAGACGGATCGAAACGCACCAATCACTGATTACGAGTCTTCATAGCCAATAACATCACGGCTTAACTGACAGACGACCAATAACATCGCGACATAATTGACCAATCAGATCAATAACCACAGTATAATACCATCAACTGACATGATACAACTCACTTTGACTCTGAAGATGACTACCGCACAGGTTGTTGAAACGTCAGTCACCGTCAACAACAACAGTCCTATTCAGGAGTACATTCACCTGGACGATCAAACTCAACCTTTTGAAATGACTCCTGGGTTCAAATCTTTCACTATTTGAGTTTGATTGGGGGGAGGGAGGGGGTGGGGTGGGCGCTTATTCGAGGCTGGGCGCTTGTAAACTTTTTCTGCCTTTAGGATGGGTGCTAATTCGAGGTTGGGCGCTTATTCAAATAAATACGGTGTGTCACAAACGGAAATAAACTTCTGGTTTAGTCAGTCTGCAAAACAGTGCCAAAATCCTTGTTCTGGGCCCCCACCTGTGTACCAGGATTTGAGTACTTGCCATGATTGGCCTGTTAATAAAGCCATTGTTAATTTGCCAATCAGGTTAAAGGGAAATTCGAAATGCATTTCCAGTAGTGTTAGTTGAGTCAATTGGGGGCCCAGAACAAGGATCTCGGCACTGCTTTGCAGGCGTTACAGGGTTATTTTATGTCTGTGACACAGGCTAGGCTCCAAGGCTTGGGGGAATAAACAAAAATCAACTTGAGGCTCAGGAATGAATAATACAATTCTTTTGTTTTATTACCCTCAAGCCTCAGAGCCGTGAATAAATTTTAATATATCGAAATTGGTTTATTGCACTAGTCATTATTACCCTTGGTACCAGAGGTTTTTCTCATGTGCGGCGGGGATTTTCGGTGTTGGGTGAAGGCTGACACATCTTCGGCCATAGGCGCAGGTCACTATAAAGACTTGACAGAAACCGGAAACCGCACAAGAAAGGTCTATGGCACCCAGGGTAAGTCATTATGGAATAGTGGTGCCTTTAGTCACACATGCACTTTCCAAGGAATTTGGCTGATTTCTGGACTCAGTGAACTTCTCAAGACAGAAATATAATTTATACTTAATTTGTGTGTTGTTTTATTTCAGGGTACTGCAGCAAATCTCTTAAACAGCAGTGGTGACTGTATTCAACCTCAACACATACGTGAAGCCATCAGAAGATACAATCATTTCATAGGACCAATGGCTCCCTTTTCTGTGAGTTTCATGTATAAGTTTGAATGCTGATAAACTCATTCAGAAAGACCCAATTGTTTGTATCCCTAGAAGAAAAATAATTTGATATATTTGGTATCTGAGAACTAAGTCCAAAGGGAAGATAGTAGGTAATGTTATTTCTGAGTTCCAAAAACTCTCACTTTCAACACAAGGGCAAGTGCAAAATCTTTGTTGTGAAAATGAGTTGCATTTGCATGAGAATGAAAAATGATTTTCACATCAGTGGCTTTTCACTGAGCCTTGCCTTGAAACAGAGGCTTGTAGCAACTCGGAAATGACCTCTTCCAGTGAAAATCTTGTTCCACTACCCACCTATACTTCTTTTTCTAATTAATGCCTTTCAAATGAAATAAAAGGGAAAGGGGAAAAGAGCAAAAGAAGTGAAAGGTGAAAGTGAAAGGGCTCCCAGTGTCACTTTTGAACCCCAAAACTCAACATTGAACCACAATACTGGCATTGTCCTTTGCAGAAAAAATGAGGGACAATGTGTCGCCTACAAGTGAGAAAATGAGTGTCCTTCATTCTTTCTGACACAAAAAGACTTTTCCCTGTTAATTAGACATCCATACATAATCTGGGTGCTATCAAGGTGGTTTTAAATGTGACAGTTTGTTTTGTTGAATCTTTTCAGGCACATATAAAGCCAGCTCTTGGATACAGAACATTATGCTGCTAACAGAGACAGAGTATGAATAACCTATCATTTACATGCTGTCATGTTTTGACTCGAGATGTGTGGCTTATGAACTTGGAAAATGCATCGAGACTTTTTCTTTTTTCACACTGTTTATTTCATAGGCAATACCTGCATTTTATGTTCAACTATGTACAAAATATAAAAATTCTACTGTTCATTATACACCTCCCACTTCAAAATGGTGGAATACAATATGTAATAGTTTGAAAACTTCAACTAGCTGATAAATGGAAATATCATTATTTATAATAAATATTGTTCATGATGCAGTTGTCTTCTGTGGTGTAGGCAGCTTATGATTCAAGCAGCAGTGCTTCTTTTAACATTCTCTTCTGCTCTGGATTCAGTTGGTTTGGGAACTCGATGTTAAACTGAATTATAAGATCTCCTTTTGTATTGGGATTTTTGGAGATGGGCATCCCTTCACCAGGAACTATCTTTTGATATCCAGGTCTGAAAAAGGATTGTGAAGTCATCAAAGTTTAATGGTATGATAATAGTCTTTTCCGACAAACTTATTAAGCTGCAACATTTTCTTTCAAAGCTTGTCACTTGACACAACAATGGCAGATCTAGATCTTTAAGAAGGTGAAGGTCCCTTTCATGCCAACCCTGAGAGAAGAGGAGCAAGGGCCCAAACTAAAAAATATTATTTTCTCTCAGCCCTGTGTTTATCACTTTAGCTGCCTGGTCTAAAGTACAGATCACATTCCACAGGTCAAGAGTACAGGTCACTGCTCCATCGATAAATTACCAAACCACACAGATTCTCCTTTATCTAATAGAGCATTTTGTTAGGAGATTAGGGCTAGGAGACACTTTTAATGCAGTTTCTTTATCTGTATCATGGTGACCTGTACTCTGACCTGTGGAAAAGTGACCTGTATTTTAGCCCCGCTGCAATTTAGCCCTTAAATTAGGTAGAGGCCTGGGCCCATCCACTATATATGCTACTGCACAATGCTCCACAAATAGCTCTAGTTTTCAGTTTTTGTAGTCTGACTCACTGTAAACCTACTGACCACTTTAACTTGGCACAGTTTATCAACTTAATTTTCTTATGTTGTTTGTGGACATCTACATCGTAAGTACTCGAAATAATCATTGATTACGGATCCATGTTCGTCACCTACGGAAACGAAATTGAGTCAAAAGGAGTCCAGTTTCCCGGCCGAGGTGCCCCTGAGAAAATCAGTTGGGGCAGCTAATCGGCAGTCGCCCCAATACCTCGAAAATTTTTGGCTTTGTACCACAGGAACACCAAGATTAGGATGCGTTCTGACTCACTTGACAATGTCATTGATGGGAATGCTGATAAGTCTGCCATCAAGTGTGGGTACATCTACCACACAACCAGTGAGTGCCTAGTACAACAACAATAACCAATGACTTGCATTAAACTGCTCATCAGAAATAATAAAAAAAATAATTCACTCCATTAAAGTCCCATATGGTAGTTAATTGGTTGATGGATTTGACTTTAGAATGTAGCATTCTAAGCCATGTCACTGCATTGTTTCTTTGGAAAACACCACTCCCTTTGCACTGTCTGCAGGCAGCAACTGCAACCCTTAAAATACAATCCAGGGAGGACTTGAAAGAGGGCTTTTCAGTACCAGGAAACACTTAGGGGTATTAGCATGTTGCCGGTAGCCATTTTAATGTTCAACTGGGTAGAGAGAAACACAGTTTCTTGTCTAGAGTAACAAGATAACTCTACCTGCAGCTGGCTTATACTGAGTCTTTTTTCTTTAAAATCATTTCCTTCCACTTCCAGTGGATTATTATTAGTCTTCTTTTGTACTTGCAATCTCATCTCAACAAAAATTAGTAGGGAGAGAGTGGTACATGTCGCTAGAAATAAATTTTGGGGTTAAAAAGTGAGTGGTCATCACATCGTAAATTATTGCTTTAATTCACAATGTTTATTACCTTTCCAAGAGGAACAGTGGCAGTATAGATGAGGTTGTCATCATCACGCTTGAATATTGGGTGAGGCTTGTCTTTTACAATAAACACAATATCAGCTTAAAAAATAAAACAAAGGAGAAAATTAGATATGTAATGCTTGTGTAGTTCCTATTGGAAAGCCAAGCATAAGGAAAAAAAATAACGAAGAGAAACGAGATTAAACTCAAAATAGTTTGCTTCCTGTGCATGCCAAAAACCAAAACAGGTCAACAAAACCAAGCGTGGTTTTTTGAGCTACATATGAAATTTTTGTTCTTCTTCTCTAAAAACGAACAGGAAAATGGCCAAAATTCATAATCCACTGGCACTTCTCTCAAAACTCTTGTAAAAGGGGTTAAACATACACTCTCTATGGGGCTTACATCACTGTATGGTAGCTGACTTTGTTACCTGGAATATTGTTGGGGCCCTGGTCTCCCTCCTTGGGGAAAGTTATTTTTGTCCCAGCCCTCCATCCCTGCTTTACATTGATGGTCAAAATCTTGTCTCTGATGTTTGATGTGTGTCCATCTTCATTCATTACCTGACAGAAAGAGCAAAGGTTACATTTATATCAGAGGTCTAAAAAAGGCTTTGACCTACAGTGCATAAATGGCAACTCTCCCAGATATGGCACCAATCTCCTGCTTTCCCGTGTGGGTCGCTAAATCTCCTGGATAAAATATCATCTTTTGAGCTTTAATTTCTGTGCCTTAGTTTGAGATTTAGCCCATTTTTCCTCTAAATTCGAATTTTTTTTATTCAGAGTGCAGTTTCTGGGGAATTTTTGCACGTATTTAGTCACTGACAAAGATAATTTTGGCATTAAAACAATGATCACCAACTTTGATAGTATGTCATTCATGCAAGACTTCATATTATGTCCTAAGCCATTCCTGTTGTGGACTGGGTCAATTTTTTGGCGAGGGGTAGTGAAAAAGAGAGTCTCCAGATTTTAGATCTCCAGAGGTTGGCATCTCAGCATCATAGTTCACTTTGTTAATTAACAGAGAATATGCTGCATATTTTACTTCACACCTGCAGTTGTGAAGAAAATACACAGAAGTTTTAAGAAGCCAGAGTAGATAGAGAAGTACAGTAGTGGTCTAATCCTTGGTTCATTTGTTGTTAGGCTACGTAGCAGTCATTTCTGTTTCCTTTTAGCCATGTGGGAGAAGTGCACAAGAAGAGCGAGAAAATAAGCAAAAAAAAAACAAACAGGAAGAAGGGTTGGGGAAGAAAGAAAGGAAACCATTTCCTTTGCTTTCCTGCTTCTATCCCTACTGCTTATCTTCTGCCCTGTTTTGCACAAAGCCCTCGAACATCTTTTGCATAAACCCCACTTTATGGCTTTAAGGAAACGGCAACAACTGCTATTTTATTCATTAAACATACAAAAACAGAGAAGAATACAAAATGAAGCAAGAATAAAATTGAACATTTCCTCAATGTACGTAGTACTACACCATTTCTTACCCTTCTTGAAATTTTCATTTTCTTCACACAACCTTTAAACACTTCTTCTAGGGTAAGGTACAGTTCTCTCTCAATGGGTGGATCCTGCTTGCGGCGACCACGACCATGTATCCCGCCAAACCCTATTTCTGGATCATAGGAATCGAACAATTCTGAAACAGGAATCAGATAAGGGATAACCTCAGCATTTCTATTTCACAGTTCAGAGAAAAATTTTCAAAACTGACAAAGTGTGCCATATTTAGGTCAGGTTTGTTTTTGATTAACAAATGCGTGAGCCAAAAAGACCAATGTACCTGCAAAGGGGTTATCTCCACCAAAAAATTCTGCAAACACTCGACCAGCATCCCCATGAAATGTATACCCAGTTGTCCATCCATCTGTTAATCAATAGAGGTTTTGACAAGTAAGTACAATGTACCAGTAGTATTCCATGCAATATTTGTTCATCATGATAGTAAGGATATTTGAGCATAATCCTTTTGATGATACAAACAATGTAGGGTCAATAGTTAGAACATGACAGGTTACATGACGACACGACAGTGAGGCCCTGCCTTAGGGTAAAATTCCAACAAGCGACATAGCCTTGAACACAGTCACACAAGACAATATGAAATGGTGAAAAACGACATAAAGATGGGTTAAATCCTGATGGAGACATGGCCTACTCCTCAAAATGAGAAATGACCGTGAAATTCAGACCAGGGACATACCCCCCTCCCTTACAGTATGTGTTGAGGGCTAAATATCAGGCACATACAGTCACATCCCATTGCACAAGACACCCTTGATGGAAAGCCACTCTCAAGGAAGTGCTTTGAATTGGGCCTAAATTCTTCACAGTAGGGGTAAGATGTGAGCTTAAACTAGGAATTGAACAATTTGTGGTAGTTCACATTGAAGAAAAGATTATGTTCCAGCTATCGTGAATTCATTACATTTACCACAGAATTTATCCCTCTAAACAATGACAGTAGGCTATACAGTGTAGAGTTCCACTAAATGACGAAACAGTGAGCGGTAATCCTGGGGCAGTCATTTCTTCTGAATGATGACAATCAAGTTACAGAACAATACACTCCATACCCTTCTCTGGAACACCTCCTTTCAGACCTTCCTCTCCAAACTGATCATAGATTGCTCTTTTCTTAGCTGAAGAAAGAGAGAAAAGTTGCATTTCAAAGGCAGAAATTTATAAAATTACTGGGGATCATTTCAGGACCTGTTCACACCTGTTGGGGGGTACTGTCATATAATTATGGGCTATATAGGTATGTGCCGCTGTGAAGGGTATGGTTTTCAAGCAGTTTACTCTGGGATAGGGTATATAAATGAGAGAGTTTGGGTCTAGAAGAGGGTATGAAAGAGGGTATCATTTTCCATTTAAACTGATCAATTGTCTGAAGATTTTAGTCTAGACTAGGGAAACCGGGAATTGCCACTAAAGAATATAAAAAGTCAGACTGTGCTAATGACCTCAGTTGTTTTTGGAAAACAGCTACTCAAGGATAGGGGGGGATTTGGGGAGTTTAGTCTAGTATAGGGCAGCAAAATTCACTTGAACTAGCTCTGGTATAGGCTAGGGGTTCCAGGGTCCCAGCGGCACATCCCCACCCCAAAAGTCTTAAAGTACCCCCTCCCTCCCGGGCCTGTTCAGTACTCCTCTCACTGATTGGTTGAATTCACTGAGCGCTAGTTCCCCGTGTGTACAAATTTTCCACTAAACGCGAGAAATAGCAACGTGTTATACACTGTAAATACATGTAATTGCAGCGATAGTGGGTACCCTGTATGTTAACATGACAACATTTTATGCTGGTTTGCAGGTAGTAGTGACCCTCGGCCACCACGCTTTCAGATCAAACGGATACACAGATGGAAGCAACTATATAGAACATCGTACACAGCCACTTCGCTTATTCACATACTCCTTCATTTGCTTCAATGTGCCTTCTAGAACAAAGGATGTAGGAACACAAGGATCCACGTAACCTAGTGGCCAGTCTACAGTTTACCCCAAATATTAAACAAGTAACGTTTCAAGATTATGAAATAAGGGCAATACAATTTACGCAACGTCAACCTCATAATTAAATTCTGCGGGGCCAAAAAAAGGTGTTAACTCGACTGAAGTTAGGTTGTATATAGTTTATATGGCAATTATATATACTCACGATCGCTCAGTATATCGTACGCTTCCGCAACTTGTTTGAATTTCAACTCAGCTCCTGGCTCCTGATTCTTGTCTGGGTGGTATTTCAGCGATAACTTGCGATAGCTGTAAGCGCATTGAAGATCGATTTTTGTTTAAAAAATATAGATATTTTGGTGTTAAAGAAACATCGTTTGGAAGCCTTGAAAACTCAACTTACGCCTTTTTAATTTCTGCATCGTTTACACTTCTTGTGAGACCTAAAACAGCATAATAATCTTGCCCCATCGTTTCTCGTTTCAAATGTGCGAAGGTTATTGCGAAAAATGGCGCTTCACAGTGACGGTCGTTGTCTTGGAAACGGTATTAACCGAAGGGACTGGTGTCCAACACTATCAGGCCTGGCACTAGCAAAGTTGAACGCTGGGTGTAAAAGTTTACACTGACGGCTCAGTAATCTGCACGTGCAAATTTACGAAATTTGTGTAACATTTGTTTATATTTGAAAAGTATGTGTTTAGTTCCAAAGTTATCAATTTCCCTCGTAAATCACTGATCGAGTAAGATGAGTGGTATCAAGGGCTTTTGTTTCGAGTTTTTAGACGCCTTGCAATCCTTAGCTGACTGTGACACTTGTTGCAAGAATAAACTTGGATACTTTCTGCAATTGACGGTATGTACATAAGCATGTACCTACTTTTCTTTTCCAAGCAAATTATATTTCGCTATTTTAGTTTGAGACGTTAAAGTGCCCCTAACCCTTCAATTTTTTTTCTTTTGACAGATTTCCATATCTGTCAAGAACTCATTTTACTCTGAATATTAGTTTCACTGTGCAGTCTGTCACCTTATGCTTATATTTATAGCGCTTCTTTCTTCTTTATTTTCACGTTCTACAGAGCTGGACTTTTCAGGAAAAGCAAAATTTATTACAGAAGTTAGCTGAGCTAAGTATTCGTCAAGATTTTGTTCCCCTCTCGGTAAAACACTGCAGACCAATACTTCTTGAAGTTCTTGAACGAGCTGCTCAAATTCTTCAATAAGGGCCTGAATAAAACAAGTTGTACAAGGAAGGATTTTGCTATACACTCAGCACACTGTTGCCATTATCTCACTTGAGAGACTTTATATACAGATTTATTAAGTCTTGCTCTTTGTCCTCAGAGTTTTTCAAAGCTGAAGAGTACACTGAGAAATCGAATGAAAGGATCTTGCGTGCTTTGAGCACCGGATACAATCTACTGTGTTATGATTTTGAAATCTTTTATAGCATCTGGGACTGGAGCCCTGTCTTTAATCTTCTACAACACAGAAATCCTGACGTTAGATGGTTCGCTGTTAATATTGTCGCAGTGATAACAGAAATGTCAGAACAGATTAAACTTGGTCTACTGGAGAACTGTATCTCTATTGAAGAATGCAATAAATTTACGATAAGTGAATGGTTAACCAGAGGCCCATCCTATTTAGTACAACAATGTATGGAGTGGAAAGAGTCATCTTCAGTGGCTGCTGATTGTATGGATGTAGACGGTAGAAGCCACAAAGGTTCAGTCATCACTGAAGAGGATTCAGTTGATAGCTACATAACAATCTGTGGCGTCATGTTGCCAAGGTTACCTGGCACTTTTAATCTGTCAGACAAGTTGCTTGTTACGGTACCATCAACTGTAAACAATCTTCATTCACTAGTGTTTCCTGTAGCATCAGGCAGTGGAGTTCTTTTGGAGGGACTTATTGGCTGCAGCAAAACAGCTTTAGTTGAATATGTAGAAAAGGCAACAGGTAGATCAAGCTCACCAGAATTTATGAAGATTCAGCTTGGAGACCAGACTGACAGTAAGGTAAGTAAAATATACACTATACTTCATTTATAGGAAATACCAGTATGTTTGGAATCCAGTGGTTTTGCCCCTTAGTGAGTTAACCTCTTACTAGTTACACATAGTCCCGGGGGTACTTGGGATTTCAAGTGACGAGGATGATCAAAGGAGTTTTTTGGGTTTGAAATTTTTGATTCCAGGATTTTTTTGGGTACGAAAATTTGACAAGTATTTTTTTTGGGTAGCTTGATTTGAGTAGGGATTTTTTGGGGGTATTAAAAAGAATCAGTAGTGCCCTGGCTGCGTAGTTCTGCAAACAAAGTACAAACAAACATGTTTTGCTGTTGTTTAATAGTTAACTATGGTGTCGCTTTACATCGCATGTGTTATACAAATATAGTCTGCATTGTCCCATGGTGCCAGGCTGTGTACAAGACTTCAACCGCTTCAATTCAGTCAATTCAGTCAATTCACTGGAATTCCCTCTTGCTTTAGTGTACTTTTGATTTCTTTCGCTTGTGACTTGTGGGTTTGAAATGTGAGGTCCCAGGGGGGTACTCAGGATTTCAAGTGATGGGGATGCTCGAATGGAGCCAAAAGTCAAGACCCAAAAAAATCCCAAGGGCTTCCAGCAAAACCCCAAAAATCCCGGACCAAAAATTAACCCCCAAAAAATCCCATGCCAGAAAGGGGTAATACTATAACACAAAGAAAAACATTGGAAATTGAACACTCGTGTTTGTTTATTCATCATACCATCTGAATATATCCTTTCCCTCATCTGGCGGTCATTTTAACAAGCTAGAGTGAAAAATTTGACGTCAGATATAAAACCCCCAAAGGTCAGTTTAATTTATTTTGTCTACAATTTCATGATTGGATGCTCTAAAAGATAAAGAAGCCGGGATTACAATTTTACCCTGGGTTAGCACTACTCGGCCTTCGAACAACTGGGTCCTGGTAATTAGTTATTTTTGACACCCCTTTAACCTCATCTGTGGCACAAGTGCGTGAAAAAGTGGACGCCTGAACATGTTTGATATCAATCTTTTGAAACTGAAATGAAATCTGCCTATTTGGGTTGGGTGTTTTTTTGCATTAAAATCACCGTTTCAAATCCGAATGTTTCAGGAAGTAGATAGAGTAATGTAAGGCAGGTCGAATGAAAGCACTATTGTATTTACTAGCTAAGAAAGGAAATTGGAGAAAAAATCCCCAAAAGTTAATATCATGTAGTAAAAAAAAATACTGCAAATTTAACTCACAAAAATTGAAGTCGACCCTTTTTAACTTAGACTGCTTGCAGTCCGCCTTTTCTCTTAAAATACTTCTAGTTCTTATCTCATCCAGCGTGATTGCAAACCACGACGTTATTATTACAAATAAGGGATTGAGACCGCGCGTGTTTAGGTTCGCGTGCAGTAACTTTGCAAAGAAAAATAGGAGACTGCTCGCAGTCTATTTTAACTTCATGGGAAGTTCCTTTAATTTAGCCATAGGCAGAACTGCAACGAAATCCTGAAGTTAGTTTGAATGTTTTTCCCCATATTTCTTCGAAAATCCGCCGCTTTTTGTGCCCTTTTCCACTGGGCTCTCGATAATCTGTGTATGGTTTGGGTTTCGTAAACTTGCAAATTTGAATTCTTTGAAAAAAGTAAAGCGTTAAAACGACCTGATCGTGATGATTCAAAACCTAGAATTTTTGCTCAATGAATGTTTTCTCAAACTGTTCATTTCGTTCTTGTTAATACATATGTACGTAGTTGAAACTAAATGCCTTAAAGCTATAGATCTAAAAGAAAGCCAATAAACCGCTCTCAAAGAAATAAACATTTGTATTCATAATATTTTGATGTATAATAACACTCTGTTGACCTGAAATGAATCAGAGATTCTCAAAATTCATCTTCCCTCTGATTAAACATTACACAATGTCTTCAATCCTGTCTTCTAGACCACTCTGTCCTCGAGAAAACAGATGGCTGGATTGTTGCTTCTGGGCCAACCTGGATTAAGCTCTTTGCGTCTCGAACGTGAGAGGCAAAGACCCCACTAGACTTGCCACAAGTCGATGAAAAGGGAAGGACTTTGATAAAGTCTAAGACGTCAAAAGCAAGTAGTAAAGGCCTCTTTGCTTGCCTTTCGCGGGCGACACCCACTCGCTTCTCGCGCGTTAGAATGTAAAAGCCCATGCAGAAAAATCCATATGTCCTCTTGCCCGCTTGGCCGGACCGGAATATTTTTGCACAAAGAGCCACAACTGTCACACAATTAAAACAAGAAAATGACTGGGTTCATTAAACGGCGTTTTAGGCCGCAGTAATTTTCTTCTTTCCCGGCAATTTTTCTTCTTTCACAAAAGCCTTACGCAATTTGTTTGACCCCAACTGAATCAGGTCCCGTCATTGGTTGCAATATTTTGATTCCTCCTGGCTTCTTTGTCTTTTCGTAGAATACATTTGAATATGCAGATTTCCCCCGATTTACGATTCTTGATACATGAAGTAATTTCGTTTTTTGCTCTCACTAGGCTCTGCTTCGCTTGGATTTATATTTCATATTTTTCTCTTTTACGTTAGCTTTTAATAGCTTTTATGCATGTACTCTGCTACACAACCGTTCAGTGAGAGCTGCCCAAATTTTCAAACCGTACCGCATTGTCGTAACCTTACTAGGATTCATTTAGGCCTTAGACATTTCTTTATTTTTCCAATTTTTTTTTTTCGATTTAAAAGCTTAAAAGCTTTTAGGAAATGAGAATAAATTGCATTTTATTGCTGCATGCTTCTGTAGACTTTCACTTTTCAGAAAAAGCAATCGGAATGATTTGTTATACTCTGTATATATCGGAAAACGCCGGAAGTAGAAAGTCGAAACTAATATTACAAAGGAAGGAAGTCTTCATTATAGAGAAAGAAATCACTTCTTGTCGTAACATGAACTGTTAAAACTTTATAGTAGGTGTAATAGTCTTGTTAAGGTAATGCTCGAGCCATAAAATGATAATTATAAGACTCTAAACTTCACACTCGCAAGATACAATAGAGACAAATATTGATTTTAAGGAAGGATAATGAAAAGGTCTAAGCTATTTTAGACATTTAATAAAGAGAAAAAAGGTATATAAGAAAAAGAAAAGAGAGTGGAATTCTTTTCTTGGTTATGACGGAACATCTCAGTGTACTTATTAAGTGTACTTATCAAATCGCACAAGACGCAAAAGAGCGATCAAACGTAGACTTCACGGTACTTGATGTGTGTAATGATTTTGTCTGTATATAATTGAATAATTGTCTGCTGTAGCGGACATCTATTACTGATTTAACAATTAAGTGCACAGAGAGTGATAACGATCAAACTAACTCACAGTAGGTCGTTTTGTTTAGTATGTTAAACCGCAAAAAAAAAAAATAGGGAACGTACTCTACTCTGATTTTGCTTTAAGAAAACAGTTAACTGGTAACTTTATTTTTCCTTTTTGGGCATGTTGTAAATACTACTGAAGTAAATACACGAATAACTCAAACTTTTGTGTTCGTTCCGTTTTGCGACTCTCGTTGGTAGAACTCAGTGTGCCGTGACAAAGCCCACGCAAGTAATTATTGAAACCATTGGGTTCTGTTTGGGCTTCATCCCTCCCTATTCAGTGATTTATTGCAGGGTGATATCTCTCCAGTTGTAGTTGAAAAACTAAGTTCCATAATCGTTTTCGCTTTTGGACAGAAAAGATTTTGTGCATGTTTTGGATTTTGATGCGCACAGTTAATAAAATGAATGAACTACACATTTACTGGAGAACCCAGGGGGTAGATTATCTGTTCTTCTTGCTGAAGGCTAATATGAAAACGAACAATAACTGACATGAAGAGAGGAAGTCTTAATCAGTTCAATGAGAAATAATAACTTCCCGTCTGACTATCCACTTCCAAGGATTTTATTCACGTGGGTGTAAATTTTAATAAGGTAAGATATAAACTACTCATATCTGCACGTTACTGAGTTCAGGCCTCAACAGATAAAAGAGATAAAAAAATCAGAAGATCGCTATTGAAACGTTCTGTAACAGTGAATTTTTTTTCTTGGTCATATCAAAATATATCTGTGTACATTATATGTGTTTTGTATTAATTATTAATAAGTATGTTATACTCTACATACTATAAGCACTTAACTTCTGTTCACTTACACTAAAAAGTACAGGAATGTAACCTACAACTTAACTCGTATATTCACCGTTTGCCGTTGTTGATGCATGCTTTTTTTGTCTATTGACTTAATCTATAGATGTTTACTACTCATTTCTAATTTTATTCAAAAGAATAATTCATCTCTCTCTTGCAGCCATTTGTTACTATAGCGCAGTAGCTAGTTTTGTTCAGTATGTAAATACACGAACAAGAAAACAAATTCAGAATGACCGTGTGACTACCTCGTTTTTTTACTGACGTCTCAGAATAATTTTTCTTCCTCTTTCTCAGCAAATGTTCTTATTTGGCCGCTAGCTCGGTTTCAAGCACTCATTTCAAACATAAAAGGCTTGTTACCGACGTAGTCTCACATTTTTTGATAAATTTGTTCTGGCAATTTTCAGTTTTGTGATCTACCTTGTATTTAAAAATCTTCGCATCAAACTGCCAGTGGTTTTTGAGTCGCGGATCGTAGTCCTGCATTTGAGAAACGAAATAGTCATGACTGTTAAACAAACAATCAAGCGGACAAGAGGCTTTGACCCGTTCAAAAACGAAGTATGCGAACCATTTCATCTATATTGTCATAGGCTTAGTTTGCCGGTATAACAGAAGATTTTCTGACGGTCCTATATAAACAGGCCGACTGAGAAGCTTACATCAGATGCTACGATGGCTCAATCAACTTCTGAACGTGTATTAAACTGAGAAAGAAAGACTTTTCGGAGAGTGTAGCACTGTTCTTTTGCGATAAGTTACTACTAAAGTATTTAAACTTTCGTTCACCACTTTGATAAAGGATGCGTTTCTATATATCTTCTTCTGACGACGATCATGCATATGACCAATCTACGATTTTAGCCCCGATACGATAGTTAGAAAAAAACAAAGGTGGTAATTGAATACGGCTATCGAATGCGTCGAATAAAATCTTTTTCAAACTGAGATTAATTTATATAAGATGGGTATTGTTTTTGAACAGTTAGTTCTTCAAGATTGAAGCCATAACGCAGAACGGGATGCTTAGAAGGATCATTTCATCAAGGGTCGCCCGCACTTTTCCTTCTGGATAAGATTCAGGCTCCTCTAACAATTTGTCTATACTAAGTAATAAACCATTCCACGGTTTTTTCCACTTTTAATAAAGACCAGAGTGACGAAATATCCATCGACAATGCTGGAAAGAGCTCCTTAAAATTAGAAAGTTTACCAAGTTTGAAAGGTGATAAGTTCAAAGCGAGCCAAGATATTGTTTCACAAAGTCGCGAAATTTTACAATTTAATGTTTGTATGGTGTTGGTTTTCTCTTGATAAGAGCCAAACTGGGATTTGTGTTCAACAAATCGCTTTTAAACTTGGCAAATTTTCTGACCTTGATGCTGTCCTTAAAGCCGTGCTGAAGGATTTTTGCTAACTGGTCCCATTAAAAAATTTAAAAAGTGGAAAATTATTACTGAATACATTTGAGAACATGACGAACAGTCATAACTGAGTCAAAAGCTGACTTGAAAACGTCATTACTAGCAGAAAGTTATTTCTGAGGAATTTCTCATTTTTAGGGCTTAAACACAGTTTTCCAGATGCCCAGTGCAAAACACTTGCCACTGGTACGGCAGCGACAGTGTAGCTCTTGCTCTTCGACGACTTTTGTCTCCGTTTGCTTCCGAGTTCTGCGGGAGCTGAAATCTTATGCAAACTATCGTCCAGCGATTCATGCAGGAACTATAAAAAATGTGACTGTATTTTGCTTATTTCAAAGTCAGTAAATATGTAACATCAATATTATCGCACCTGAAACAAATAAAATAATTAACATGCGAACCGTGACCGAAAAGTCTGTAAGTTTCTTATATAGGGGAAAAAAATAGCATATAAACATATTTTATTCTGATCCAGTTGAAAATGGAGTGTAATTCATGTCTTTATCTCTTTGGCATTAAATGGATGCAATTTAACAGTTATTTGTTCGATGATTTATATTGATTACGAAAGCTCATAGTTCAGGCTTTTTTAATGGGTGTAGAACTACTCCATGAATCCGATGGTGTTTTGTTTTGGGCTTTTTTGATAGTAGATATAGAGGAATACAGGACACAAGTTAACCCGGGTGCCTATTTTAGATATTCTGAACTATTAATCGACAGGGACACCCAACGTCAATTTTCGGAAAATATCTGTTCGGAAGACGATTTGAGATCTAGAATTTTCGGAAAATTTTTTGGTAAAATTCTTGCTTGTTTACCTCTCCTAGGATTTTCGAACGTCTAAAAATGGTATAATTGCCCATTTTTAATGGATTTTTACCCTGAAAAGGTCACCTAGAATTTTTGGGAGTCTTTTTTCTGGCTAAAACTTTCGAAAGTAAGTTTTGATCCTTATAATTTTCGGATCACTAGACTTTCAGCTAGGAAATCCGAACAGATGAAAAATTTTTAGGGGATAAAAATACGCCCATATCTACCGTTTAAATACTAAAATACGTTTAACAAGCTATGTTTAAGTGGTTTTGAACTATACTCTCGTTGGGTGCCCCTGAATCGAGGTACGTCAAAACACGATTCTCGGCGCAATGATTTCTCAGACATACTGCGGATACTGTTTTCACCGATGCATAACAAAATACTCAATAAAAACGTTTATGTCAATTGAAAAGAGCTTATTAACATTCAAGATACACAAAAACTTGTTTCTGACATGTTGCTGGCGATAATGAGATGACACGTAGCTAGATGCAGTCTTTTAACTCACGCCTTTTCAGTTGTTATTCATTCGATCGGTGCAAACTAAACAAACGACCTGTCTTCACACAAAATAAGATAACGTTCAATTTTTGGAGGAAATCTGTCAGTCTTTTACACACTTTACAAACTCAGTAAGAAATTTTCAGTTCAGGTATGTACTAATTTAAGAACAAAACCAGCAATATTGCAGTTAGCTGAAACTCATTCTCTATTTTGCATCGATTTTAAGAAACATGTAAGTGCTGCGTTTTAACTTATAAATCGTGCAGATTGAAATTGCAGACTGGAAACCGAAATCATAAAATAACTTTAATTTTGGGAAGATCGATGAGGGAAATTGTTCCCTCTCTTTAATGCCTGCTAAGGTTTATTTAATTTTTTTTTTAATGTTAGAAAAATATAAAAAATAAATAAAATTACACTGATTTTCTTACTCCAAGGAAAACGAATATCAGTTAGAATAACTGAAATAAGTGTTGTGAAATCACGGGCACCCAACGACAGCTTCCTTCTACAAACATTGAAAACACTTTCTAGGCTATCCAGAGTACTTGTATCCAGAGTACTTTTAGATCCTTAGAAATGCATTCTAATCGGCGCTACAAAATTCTAAAACTATTCGGTCATCCTAGGGCAACTTAAGTTTTTTCGAAATTACAGCTAGGGCTTCAGTATTATTTTCCCGAAAATTTAGATGCAATTTAAATTTTTACGAAAGTAAGAATTTCTCTGATGCTTCTCTCCATCATAATTTTGAATCCGAAAATATAAGGTTTTCTATTTTTCCACGAAAAATAGTTTGGCCTGAGGAGTGAAATGCGCATAATTAAACTTAAGAAAATCTTAGGGAATGTATTACATAAGCTTCGAAAAATTGTAAATGAAGTGGAATGATAATCTAGAAATTTGTAGCCTTCCTCAAGGTACAGTAAATTTTAGGAATTTTTGCTTCTCCGAACAGATATGTCACAGAAAACAGTCATTGGGTGCCCCTGGCAAATTATCCGCCCCTTATAATATGAAACGGCGCGAAGCATAATGTCCCATACCCTAGTAACCGATTCTCCAAACCAATCAACCGCGTCCCAAGAGCGCTTTTCCCTGGCTGGGGAAAGACGTCCTTTGGACGGAGTTGCGAAAGACTGCACTTTTGTACCAATATAAAAAATTTATTTCAGCTCACTAATTCTATATCTGGAAAACTACTGTTTTTTCCATTTGGAACCCAATCAGCTATTGTTTACTTTTATTTCTTAGGTTATCTATCATGTCAGCAAAAAGGATGGCTGTATTCTTTCTTCTGATCTTGGTAATGGAAATGATGCTGTTCTCTGATACTGATGCCATATTTTGGAGACGCCGGCGGCGACGCCGTCGAAGAAGCTCATCATCTCCGCCACCGCCACGACCGCCTCCACCGCCACGACCGCCTCCACCGCCGCCACCGCGGAGTTCGCGCTGCCCCCTCTTTGACTACAAAGGAAGCAATTTTGATCCAAATGGATGGTACAAGTTTGTTCGCATTGAGAATGGCTTTAGACAACATGCCGTAAACATAAACCGATATGCTGGTGAATGTGGAGTTAAGGTTTGAAGTTACAGCCGCTATACTTTTTTCAAGCATTAATTAACTGACAAACAATGGTGTGCTGACAACCTTAAACTAAAACGGCCCGTGTAAACAATTAAGTTAGGCATTCTTTTATTATTTTTATTATTATCATTATTTCATGTAATGGGATGTTATCGGGTAAAATTGATCGCGGCGAGTTAAGACTGTCTGCTCCTTCAAGCTCTCTTGAATCAGTTAAAATGTGTCCCAAAATACATTAATTCTTAATATACAGAAGTAGTTTTAATGTCATCAAACATTGTGGTAACTGAGAAGGATCACATCGACTGAGAGACCAGTGGTTGATACAACCTACTATATAGCGTGTCCGTTTAGCAACTTTTCCGATCGTGACTTCACTTTCCAAAGAAGTAGGCATGTTGGGACTAGTGATTGTGAGTACTGATCTTTCTAAGAAGACGATTATCCTGTTAACTTACTTTTAAGTCTTTAAAAGAACCAAAATTCTAAACGCCTTAAATCCTTTATGTACTAGTTCTACTCCTTTCTTTTAACGATAGTTTTTCAAAATACCTGTCGTAATTCATCTTTATTTTCATGCAAAGAACATTTACGTTCAAAGATCCAAAATCATTAACAAAGCTGCTGGAATAGCACAACGATTTCTACATCAGCAAAACAAAGCGGCGTCTTCATGAAACGAGGACTGAACACTTTAAGGCCCTCGCTAAAAATGACCACTATTCAAATTATTGCTGACCATGTCAAAATCACCGGACATAATATCAAGTGGAATCATTTTGATTTTTTTGTGTCCGGGAAAATCAGATTATCATTGCAAGATCAAAGAAACATCATTGTTAAAACAATATCTTAAGCAGTTTTTAATGTCAAGATAAGCAGTGAAAAGCTGACGATTTATCAGCTGCTGTCTTATATTTACTGTTAACAATTTCCACATTTCTTGCCAATTTTGTATAAATTTGTGTAAATCCGTGACGGTCACTTTGTTCACTTTAAAATGCATGTTGAGTGGCATACGAAACGCCATGTTTATTTTCAAATGCGAAAGCTTCTGTACGTGTTTATCAGCGCTGTTTTTGTTTTATTATTGATTAAGATACTATTGCCCGAGAACAAATGTCTGTTTATTTACCTTTATTTTATTTCTCTTTTTATTTATTTATTTATTTATTTATCGAATGGTTCATTTCATCTCCTATTTTCTTTTTACAGTTGTTTATCACCAGCTCCTTCAGGAAACACATACCTAGTGGGGGATCTAGCAGAAGCAACCACATGGCTGGCAGAGCAATCGATTTGAATTTGAGCTGGCCTGGAGGATTCTGCAATAAGAGCTGTATGGGAAACGAGATTAGTTTACCGTCGAGGGCTAAATGCTTCATTAGCAAGATCCGTAATGATCGAAGCCTTCGTTGGGGTGGAGATTTCAACGACCCTGGACACATCGATGACAACTTGAATAATCGTGATCGCGCAACGTATAACCGGCTCCGTAATCGTTTGCAGCCTATCTGCAGGAAACCGTGACAAAAAAGCCTGTGTATCCCAAACATTTAAAGAATGAATTGGTTAACACTGAGTTAATTGTAGTTGGTTAACATAGCAGCAATGCCTCTCTTTATTGTGTGCTGGCAAAGCTTTGCATCTTATGAGGAAATAAATAAATTGAAATGAGAATATAACCTGCCTGGCACTTCTGTATTGTTCTGCCACTAGTGCATGCATTTTTTAACTCAGTTTTATCATCGTTAATCATTAAACTCTCCCTAATCATCCAATTTCTTAAGTCACTGATACATCTATTCATAGCACTAATAGCTTCATCGAGACTGGACTTACCATCAGACTTAACACTAAGATACAATTGCGTATCATCAGCAAAACAATGCACGTTAGGAAGATGCTTCTTTATGATAGTAAATAGCTTAGACGCGTACACTACGAATAATAAACTACTACTGAAAACAAAAGAAACAAAGAAACAAAAAAACAACTGAAAACGTAGTTATGATTAGCCTGTTCCAGGCTCCGAGATAGTGGTGAAAGTGAAACTCGCGCGCGTCTTATTTTCGCTTTGCTCGTTTAATACGTCACCACTATACTATCTGAGAGCCTGGCACAGGCTAGAGGGTGCATCGTGTCCTTGTAGTAGTCAGGCCAGTAAAACCGCTCTTTGATTTTCCTAAGAGTATTATCGCCGCCAGCGTGTCCAGTAAAAGGAGCAGAGTGGCACTCTTTGAAGACCCTCGCTTTCTCTTCCTCTGTGATAACAAGTCGTCGAAGCGCCGTGCAATCCTTCTCCTTGGCCACGTAGAACAAGAGGGACTCTATTTTTGAGTCATACTCGAACTTTTTGGCAAATTTTCGCAGAGTCGTTTTGTCTTGCTTTGTAAAGCGTTCCGGATAAACCCCCTTTTTAAGATACTGGAAAAGATTTCAATATTTAGCGAAATCCATCTCTAAAACGTTTACGATTTTCCCTCGAAATCCAGAATTTTTTTGGAGGGTATGACCAAAACACGAGGGATTTGGGCATCCTGGGAGGGTACCGGGGGATGCCCAAAACGCTGTAGCCCGCGTTGGAGGCGTTAAAAGGAGAAGGGGGAATTTGGGCGCGCGCCTTCCCCTTCTCTTTCGAACGCCTGCCACGCAGGCTAAAAACGCTGCAGTAATATGAGAAGGGGATGCCCAAAACGCTAGGGATTTTCAAGATAGAGTGTTCCAACAACTTTCCAAGGCAGTGTAGTGTGGAAATTACCTACACAAGCTTGGAATAAAGCGAAAATTTCACCATATACAGCTCTGAAAACGGCTCTTCCCAAGTGCAAAAATCCCTCTGCAAATAACGCATTCTGATTGGTCGAATCTCGTGACGCACGCCGCCTGGGGGAAAACGCTTTGACAACGGGAAAACCGAAGGGACTAGGGCAACCTCGTCCCCAGGGTCTTCTCGCTTTCCAATATGGCGGCGGCGGGAGAGAAGACCCTGGCACACAGCAGAAATCACGTGACTGATTTGTCCACGGAGAGTGGAAATTTATTCAAAATGGCGGCCAAGATAAAGAGTGAGAGGATCTGGGTACGAGGTCTTGAGACTGGTGAAAAACAAACAAAATGGCGGCAAAGGCAAAACTCAAAAGAAGCTAAAAATATGAAAGAATACACTTACAAGCCACAGGAATACGGTAGAATGATATAGCGATCTTATTTTCTGTTCAATGACCTTCATTTGTTTTAAGCCTGAAAGTTCTAGCGCACACGGCTGTCTACAACTTAATTTCTCGATACCGACCTTTTTTCACCGTTTTCTTTTTTTGTCGTACCCTGAGCGCGCAGAGGTTCAGGTTTCTTCTTTCGTGAAAGGGGAAGCTTTTTCTAACCGTGAGCACAATTTTTTTCTTCATGTTAGGAATTTCAAGAACAGACCTCTGAAGCCAGGGAATTTTTTGTCATGACGTGACGCTCTAAGACCTCTTCCGCTCCGAAATTCAACTAAGCATTAAATTGAGTCGCACACACTTTAAGCTGATAAGTTATCGTCAGTTTTGTTACAGATCTTCATGGGGTTTTTGACTATTGTTTTTCTATCTGCACAAATTTTAACTGAACTCTGATATGTAAAAAAACAATTTTTTTTCTGAAAACAAGAACCAGAGAACACTATTTTGTTAATATAATTTGAGGAAACTTTGGTTGAAAATTAAACAGTTCCTTGGTCAGTTTGGATATTTTGTCACTTGAACTGGTACAGGTAATAAAATTATTGTTAATCTTCATCTACTTCACAGTTTTTAGACTTTGTTATTGGCTTTTGATATCTAACCCCGTTCACAGTGCTTCCGGGCAATAGAGATAGGGGCCTTATTTAATCTAGCAAAGACGGTGGTATTAGTTCCCCACAAAAAAAAATGCCAAGTGAAAAAGCCCAAGTACAAGAAGGTTGGAGGTCAAGCAGCCGAGGATCAAAAACAAATCCGAACTTCCAGTTGGTGAATAAATCATCCTGGATCGGTCCACAGAAAGCTTTACAGTTTTCATTGATTTATACAGTCTCTTATTTATTAGTGAAGAATAAGAAAATAATAATAACTGTTTATTCACAAATCCAAATCGGAAAGTGAAAAGGAGATAAAAGAGGTTATCCCTTTCTAGTTTAAGGTGGGATGGGGTTAAAAAGACGGGGCTTATTGTTAAAACTTTCTTTCACTGAAAAGGAGGGCTTATTTGAGAGAGGGGGCCTTAATAGAGGATTTAAGATGTTGTTATTATTTTTTTTTTGCCTCTCAGATGTAAAAAAAAGCATTAACCCCGCTTTAATAGCTAGCAAAAGGTGAAGAGTGTTTCCATTGTTTGTAATATAGCAATCCAAAATGTATTCTCCACTTTGAAATAGATTTGATTTTCAGAGCAAAAACTTCCTGAATCCCTGACTTTGGTTTATTTGACATATTACTTGGGGCTGCACTTTGCCATGTCAATGTGCAAATTGACTAAAGGCTAGACTCCAGTTCAAAAATTTGATAGTCCTATCTGAGTCATGTGCACAGTAAAAGTTCCTGTCTCATTTGGAGATAATAGATGTTTTAAGTCAAACACGCTTTGCTCGTCAGATGGGCCCTTTCGTACTCTAATTGAGACATGACTTGGTAGCGGTGTGCTGATTATCAATCATAATCTATAAAGCATCAGAAACCTAAAGCAAAGTGAGTATTGCTTATACAAATGTTCAGTTGATTGTTGTGGAAAATTCACAAAAACATTGTTGACAAATAAGGACATTAATACACCTGTGTTGTCTTTTTGATGGGCTCTTAATGTAGTTTATATGTTGTTTAGTTGGTTTAACTATGTGACAGATAAGCCTCTGCTTGCAGGGTAGGTTTTTTGTTTTGTTCACTTACAAAATTATTTTCAGTGTTGAAAGTGGCACACAGGGGGCACAAAACTATACCGGTAATCTACTATAATCGATTATCAGTTTAATAGTTGGGTTAATCTGATTATTTCTGATGATATGATTATAATACAGACACTATTACTAAGACTAACCAACACCTTAAAGTAGACTTTGAAAGTATTTAAGCCAGCACATCTAACAGCTGCAACCTCACACCGCAACACCTAAACAAGATAAAAGCCTTGCCTTGTCCCTGTGTGGCATTTTCCCAGGCCTTAATTCTTGGTCAATTCATTTCGGTGACTTATCTTAGGCAAACTGGAGGGAAACTGTTTCACTATTTCGCTTGGGACCACGTGACCTAAAACTCATTGGCCATGACTAGGCAACTAAAAGCTCACTATGCTAATGGGGACTCTGGCACAAAACACTTCAAAAGCCTTTGCATCTCGACATGAAAAATCCCATGATCGAGATGCTCCAGGCCCCTTCCGCTCTTGTTTATTCAGTGGATAGTGATATATGCACCCTTTGAAGTAGTTTATTTTTTTAAATCCAAGGTTTAGAACTGAATTATAGCTGCTTCACAATCATACCCAGCTGGTGTTGGAATACTATAGTACCAGCCACTTTTTCACCTGGTCCACAAACCCCCTTTTCAAGGATATAGTGACAAGAACATCATGCAGTGACAAGAACAACATGCACACTTAGCCTACAGTAATTAGAAGCTCAATTGACAGGTTTTAGTTTGACAGAAAACATATTTATCTTGGGGTCACTGTCACCCCATGTCTGGAATCTGGGAAATTTTTCTCTTGGAATCTGGAATAAAGGTCCTAAAGTACTCCGGATCCCACTTATAACTGGAATCCGGAATCCATGTTCCACTGACAAAGAATCCAGAATGCGGTATCCATGGCGCAAAATTGAGAATCCAAGACGGTCAGATTTCCTTGAATGGGCTGATCACTGTTTTCAACTTGATAAAATAAAAGACATCATGTGCTTTCATTTATTTTATTTTTGCAACTAGAAAGAAATCCCACAAGCTTCAATACATCAATATGTAAGTTTTTCATTTCTGAGAAAGGAAACAGTTTATTTTCCCAATGTCTCTGTATTTAGCTGTATTTTACTGCCACTGAAATGAGCAAACAATGATAAATTATCATTATTGTGACACTAAAAACTGAATAAATGAAAAGTCAGGATTAAAAATATCAAATGATAGCGACACTATGTTTGGCTTCAATTTTTAGTTTTGTTTCGACATCTGCCTCTCTCGCTCCTCGTCCCCCTTCAAAATCACAGTGGAAAAATTAAAAGAAGGCCAGGTTAGGCCCATGAATGTTACGATCAAAGGAAAAGAATGTTTCACTTGACAAAAACTGCTGAGACAAAGCGCAGATTATGCAAGATTTCCGTATAACCACATACATTAATAATATTAAGCATACAGCTTTTGTTCAAAGAAAACAAAAGGCAGAACAATACTACACCTTTGCAACGGGCAGCTAAATTTATTGATAAGCTGAAGCCTTGCAAGTATTCTTTCACAAATCGGGAATTAAAGAAACAAATCTTTAGTAATTTTCGGAACACACAAACCAAATAGCACGAGTAACAGAAATACCTCTACGCGTTATAATATTCCCAGCGATTACCAGATATCACTATATTCGAATCTTTGCCTTCCAACAGTATAGTCACAGTTTTCCGAACAATCAGACCTGAATTCTGTCCACCTTTTAGGTCTCAAACACTGAAGAAAGCACTTCTCAGCCTCTACGAAGCCCTCAAAGGTTAATCATCTTTGTTTTGGAAGGAATAAACCAATGAGAGCGCACGTATGAACGCGCTATGAAATGCACCAATCAGCGATCGTTTTAGTTCGCTGTGTGCCAGGGTCTTCTCTCCTGCCGCCGCCATATTGGAAAGCGAGAAGACCCTGGGGACGAGGTTGGGGACTAGGGGACAACCTCGTCCCCAGGGTCTTCTCGCTTTCCAATATGGCGGCGGCAGGAGAGAAGACCCTGGCACACAGCGAACTAAAACGATCGCTGATTGGTGCATTCTGTTGCGCGTTCATACGTGCGCTCTCATTGGTTTATTCATTCCAAAACAAAGATGGTTATCCTTTGAGGGCTTCGTAGAGGTTGAGAAGTGCTGTCTTCAGTGTTTGAGACCGAAATGGTGGACAGAATTCAGGTCTGATTGTTCGGAAAACTGTGACTGTACCGTTGGAAGGCAAAGATTCGAAGATAGTGATATCTGAAATGGTAATCGCTGGGAATATTATAAGGCGTAGAGGTATTGCCCGTGCTATTTGGTTTGTGTGTTCGATTCTAACTTACTAAAGATTTGTTTCTTTGATTCCCGATATGTGAAAGAATACTTGCAAGGCTTCAGCTTATCAATAAATTTAGCTGTCCGTTTGCAAAGGTTTAGTATTGTTCTGCCTTTTGTTTTCTTTGAGCAATAGCTGTATGCATAATATTATTAATGTATGGGGTTATACGGAAATCTTGCATAATCTGTGCTTTGCCGGTCTCAGCAGTTTTTTGTCGAGTGAAACATTTTTTTTTCATTTGATTGTTACATGCATGGGCCTAACCTGGCCTTCTTGTAATGTTTTCCACGGTGATTTTGAAGGGGGATAAGGAGTGAGAGATGCAGATGTCGAAACAAAACTAAAAATTGAAGCCAAACATAGTGTCGATATCCTTTGATATTTTTAATCCTGACTTTTCATTTATTCAGTTTTCAGTGTCACAATGATGATAATTTATTATTATTTGCTCATTTCATTGGCAGTAAGATACAGCTAAATACAGAGACATTGGGAAAATAAACTGTTTCCTTTTCTCAGAAATGAAAAACTTTCATATTAATGTTTGAAGCTTGTGGGATTTCTTTCTAGTTGCAAAAATAAAATAATGAAAGCACATGATCTCTTTTCATTTTATCAAGTTGAAAACAGTCATCAGCCCATGCAAGGAAATCTGACAGTCTTGGATTCTCAATTCTACACCATGGATACTGCATTCTGGATTCTTTGTCAGTGGAACTTGGATTCCAGATTCCAATTATAAGTGGGATCTAGAGTACTTGACCTTTATTCCAGATTCCAAGAGAAAAATTTCCCAGATTCCGGATTCCCTTACATAGGGTGACAGTGATCCTAAGATAAATACGTTTTCTGTCAAACCAAAACCTGTTAATTGAGCTTCTAATTACTGTAGGCTAAGTGTGCATGTTGTTCTTGTCACTATATGCTTGAAAAGGGGGTTTGTGGACCAGGTGAAATAGTGGCTGGCATTATAGTATTCCAAAACCAGCTGGGTATGATTATGAAGCAGCTATAATTCAGTTCTAAAACTTGGATTTAAAAAAATAAACTGCTTCAAAGGGTGCATATATCACTATCCACTGAATAAACAAGAGCGGAAGGGGCCTGCAGCGTCTTGATCATGGTATTTTTCATGTAGGGATGTAAGGCTTTTGAAGTGTTGTGCGCCAGAGTCCCCAGTAGCATAGTGAGCTTTTAGTTGCCTAGTCACGGCCAATGAGTTTCACGTCACGTGGTCCCAAGTGAAACAGTGAAACAGTTTCCCTCCAGTTTGCCTAAGATACATCACCGAAATGAATTGACCAAGAAGGCCTGGGGAAATGCCACACAGGGACAAGGCAAGGCTTTTAGCTTGTTTAGGTGTTGGGCTGTGAGGTGGCAGCTGTTAGGTGTGCTGGCTTAAATACTTCCAAAGACTACTTTAAGGTGTTGGTTAGTCTTAGTCATAGTGTCTGTTTCATAATCATATCATCAGAAATAATCAGATTAACCCAACTATTAAACTGATAATCGATTATAGTAGATTATAGATTTGTGACCCCTGTGTGCCACTTTCAACACTGAAAATAATTTTGTAAGTGAACAAAACAAAAAACCTACCCTGCAAGCCGATGCTTATCTGTCACATAGTTTTAAAAACCAACTAAACATCATATAAACTACATTAAGAGCCCATCAAAAAGACAACACAGGTGTATTAATGTCCTTATTTGTCAACAATGTTTTTGTGAATTTTCCACAACAATCAATTGAACATTTGTATAAGCAATACTCACTTTGCTTTAGGTTTCTGATCAATGATAGATTATGAGCGATAATCAGCACACCACTACCAAGTCATGTCTCAATTAGAGTACGAAATGGCCCATCTGACGAGCAAACCATGTTTGACTTAAAGGATCTATTATCTCCAAATCAGATAGGAACTTTTACAGTGCACCTGACTCAGATAGGACAATCAAATTTTTGAACAACTGGAGTCTAGCCTTTAGTCAATTTGCACATTGCAATGGCAAAGTGCAGCCCCAAGAAATATGTAAAATAAACCAAAGTCATGAGGGATTAAGAAAGTTTTTGCTCTAAAAATCAAATCTACTTCAAAGTGGAAAATACATTTTGGATTGCTATATTACAAACAATGGAAACACTCTTCACCTTTTGCTAGCTATTGAAGCAGGGTTAATGCGTTTTTTTTACATCTGAGAGGCAAAAAAACCAATAATAACAGCATCTTAAATCCTCTATTAAGGCTCCCTCTCTCAAATAAGCCCTCCTTTTCAGTGGATGAAAGTTTTAACAATAAGTCCCCCTCTCTTTTAACCCCCATTCCATCTACCCCCCCTTTTCTTATTCTTCACTAATAAATAAAAGACTATCAATCAATGACAACTGTAAAACTTTGTAAGGACCGATCCAGGATGGTTTATTCACCAGCTGGAAGTTCGGATTTGTTTTTGATCCTCCGCTGCTTGACCTCCAACCTTCTTGTACTTGGGCTTTTTAACTTGGCATTTTTTTTTTGTGGGGAACTAATTACAGCGTCTTTGCTAGATTAAATAAATATTGCCCGGAAGCATTGTGAACAGGGTTAGATATCAAAAGCCAATAAGAAAGTCTAGAAACTGTAAAGTAGATGAAGGATGACAATAATTTTATTACCTGTACCAGATAAAGTGACAAAATATCCAAACTGAACAAGGAACGGTTTAATTTTCAACCAAAGTTTCCTCAAATTATATTAACAAAATAGTGTTCTCTGGTTCTTGTTTTCAGAAAAAAAAATTGTTTTTTGCATATCAGAGTTCAGTTAAAATGTGTACAGATAGAAAAACAATAGTCAAAAACCTCACGAAGATCTGTAACAAAACTGACATAACTTATCGTAGTATTCGGTAAAGTGTCTGCGACTCAATTTAATGCCTTGTTGAATTTCGGAGCGGAAGAAGTTTTAGGGCGTCATGACAAAAAATTTCCTGGCTTCAGAGGTGTGTTCTCGAAATTCCTAAGATGAAATAAATTGCCCTCACGGTTAGGAAAAGCTCCCCCTTTCACGAAAGAAGAAAACTGAACCTCTGGCACTCGGGGTAGGCAAAAAAAGAAAACAGTGAAAAAAGGTCGGTATCGAGAAATTAAGTTGTAGACAGTTGTGCCGTGTACGCTACAGAACATTCAGGCTTAAAATAAATGAAGGTCATTGAACAGAAAATAAGATCGCTATATCATTCTACCGTATTCCTGTGGCTTGTAAGTGCATTCTTTCATATTTTTAGCTTCTTTTGAGTTTGCCTTTGCCGCCATTTTGTTTGTTTTTCACCAGTCTCAAGACCTCGTACCCAGATTCTCTCAGTCTTTATCTTGGCCGCCATTTTGAATAAATTTCCACTCTCCGTGGACAAATCAGTCACGTGATTTCTGCTGTGTGCCAGGGTCTTCTCTCCTGCCGCCGCCATATTGGAAAGCGAGAAGACCCTGGGGACGAGGTTGACTAGGGGACTGTTTAATTAGGGACTGGTGACATACACAGACACGCCTGGCACTAGAGAAGTTGAACGCTGGATGGTAAAAGTTTACACTGACGGCTCAGTAATCTGCACGTGCAAATTTACGAAATGTGTGTAACATTTGTTTTTATTTGAAAACCATGTGTTTAGTTCCAAATTGTGTTGGATTTTATGAATTTCCCTCCTAAATTACTGATCGAGTAAGATGAGTGGTATCAAGGGCTTTCGATTTGAGTTTTTAGACGCTTTGCAATCCTTAGCTGACTATGACACTCGTTTCAAGAATGAACTTAGATACTTTCTGCAATTGACGGTAAGTACATAAAGCATGTACCTTTTTTTCGTTTCCTAGCAAATGATGTTTCGCTATTTTAGTCTGAGGCGTTTAGTATTACTTTGAATATTAGTTTCACTGTGCAGTCTGTCACCTTATGCTTATATTTATAGCGCTTCTTTCTTCTTTATTTTCACGTTCTACAGAGCTGGACTTTTCAGGAAAAGCAAAATTTATTACAGAAGTTGGCTGAGCTAAGTATTCGTCAAGATTTTGTTCCCCTCTTGGTAAAACACTGCAGACCAATACTTCTTGAAGTTCTTGAACGAGCTGCTCAAATTCTTCAACAAGGGCCGGAAGAAAAGAAGTTGTACGAGGAAGGATTTTGCTATACACTCAGCACACTGTTGCCATTATCTCACTTGAAAGACTTCATATACAGATTTATTAAGTCTTGTTCTTTGTTCTCAGAGCTTTTCAAAGCTGAAGAGTACACTGAGAAATCGAATGAAAGGATCTTGTGTGCTTTGAAAACTGGATACAATCTCCTGTGTTATGATTTTGAAATCTTTTATAGCATCTGGGACTGGAGCCCTGTCTTTAATCTTCTACAACACAGAAATCCTGACATAAGGTGGTTCGCTGTTAATATTGTCGCAGTGATAACAGAAATGTCAGAACAGATTAAACTTGGTCTACTGGAGAACTGTATCTCTATTGAAGAATGCAATAAATTTACGATAAGTGAATGGTTAACCAGAGGCCCATCCAATTTAATACAACAATGTATGGAGTGGAAAGACCCATCTTCAGTAGCTGCTGATTTTATGGATGTAGACAGTAGAAGCCATGAAGGTTCAGTCATCACTGAAGAGGATTTAGTTGGTAGCTATGTAACAATCTGTGGTGTCATGTTGCCAAGGTTACCTGGCACTTTTAATCTGTCAGACAAGTTGCTTGTTATGGTACCATCAACAGTAAACAATCTTCGTTCACTGGTGCTTTCTGTAGCATCAGGCACTGGAGTTCTTTTGGAGGGACCTATTGGTTCCGGCAAAACAGCTTTAGTTGAATATGTAGCAAAGGCAACAGGTAGATCAAGCTCACCAGAATTTATGAAGATTCAGCTTGGAGACCAGACTGACAGTAAGGTAAGTAAAATATACACTATACTTCATTTATAGGAAATACCGGTATGTTTGGAATCCAGTGGTTTTGCCCCTTAGTAAGTTAACCCATTACTAGTCACACGTACCCTCATAAGAAGTGGAGTCAGCCTCACAGTAAAGTTAGCCCCATACAATGTTCTTCAAAGCGTAACCTGGTTAAAAGAGTTAAACTGGATTAGGGGGGCTAACCCACTATGGGACCAACTCGGTAAGTGGTGGGTGATCTTGTAGGTGGCTAATTCACTAGGAGTTGAATTCATATGATATTTGTGGGCGTACGAGCAAAATGCAAGCCCACAGATCTATTCCTGGTTGTGGTGGTCAGCGAAGCTTAATAAGCTGTGGTAAGGTTTTTGCAAAATCTGTCCACATTATTGGGATGCCTTTGTTGTGCCAACTAATATACGTGGTATATCCCTTTAAGTCCCAGTAGTGTCCAACATCAATTTTCTCCTAACAATATCCGTACTTTGTCAAGAGATGATTTATGAGAATTAATACAATGGTCACCAAAGAGAAAAATCTTTGATCTTTTATCAAATTCTCTCAACTAATTCTTTAAGGAAATGTATAGAGACCTGTCAGGAGAATTTGTATGTGGATTTTGGCGCTTAAAGGGATATGGCCACAAAGACCCTGGTGTTGACTTTAAGGTCCATCTTACGACACTACAGTGTAAATGTAAATGTAAATGTCGCGATTGAGAGGACAAACCTATATGTCCTCTTTACTTAGCTTTTTGCAGTGGGCTCGGACATCAGCATACTAAGGGCGCCGATGGCAGCCGCTATCAGTCCATTTATGAGCCCACTGAACCCTCCCAACCCATGATGAGTGATGATGTAAGTGATGAGGATAGACCACAACACCGGGAAGTACGTCCCCTACTCTTTTCGAATAGTGTGTGGGTTCTTTAACGTTCCACAGAGTTATATGTGAACAAGGTTTGTGAGACGGGACCTCCAGTTTATCGTCCTTATCCGAGAAGACTTGAAAGTCTAATCATTTGCAGATGTCATTACAAAGACAGCACTTTCTCCTCAGTTATTTTTAAGACCCTGAGTGTTGGTCCGGCCAGGATTCGAACTCGCGACCTCCCACTCAGCAGACCGGCGCTCTCCCAACTGAGCTAACCGGGCGGCGGTTGAATCATGTGAATGTCTTTCCTCATGCGCACCACTATCCCATACTCTTCCGTTATTGTCTGTGGCACTCAGAAGACTACATAAAGTGTAAAAAACCAAGAAAACATCATGTCTCTTCCTGTGCAACTCTACCATTTGATCAACATTTCATAAGATCCCTGTGTTATTGTAACCACATTCTCTAGGCCCCTAATTTTTAAAATGCTCTGTCTTTCTCATCTGAAATCCTCATTAATGAGACCACCTCATTCACACACTCATTACATGTAAGTTGGTTTCCCTTGGTTTAATCATAATGCGCAGAGTTCCTAGGTGTAATTATCTGCTTGTCGTCAGTCCTTATTAGGTACATATGTGTGCACAGACACCCCAGGTGAGTTTGCTTGGCAGCCTGGTCCACTATTACAAGCAGTGCAAGCAGGGTACTGGATTCTGTTGGAGGATATTGATTTGGCTCCAATGGATGTTGTATCTGTGTTGATACCGCTGCTGGAGTCCCGCACTCTTTCTGTTCCTGCACATGGCAATTCAGTGAAAGCATCGCCTGGATTTCAGCTGTTTGCCACACAGAGGTAAACAGTTATAACAGTTATAGTTTTAATGCTGGAAGGTCTTTTTACTAGATAGACTGATTTCGATTGTAATTATAGACCAATTTTAAAATAATAAAATTCAGACTTGGCTTCGAGGCTAAAGGCCAGGATTAAAACAAAAGAAATGTATCTACATTTGTATATTCATTGATTAAGATGGTTTCTTTCTATTTCCCTAAGACTCAGTCAGCCAAGTACATGTATGTATTTTGATTTATTGAAATTTGTTATGTTCTATACAGTATACATAAACTATACTACGTACTTTTATTTTAAAAATCAAGAGTCCAGCTCAGGCCAGTCCTGACTGTTGGTTAGCACTATGAAAAAATGACACAAAACTAAATTACTGTGTTTGTTCTCAGATCATACACTAGTCCTGGTGGAGTAAGTTATCAGGTAACAAGTGCAAGTTCAGCTGTCCTGGACAAACTCTGGACAAGAGTACAAATTGAACCACTATCCAAGCAAGAACTTACAGAGGTGAGTGCTGTGTCCATTTAAACAACCTCAAATGGCTTAGTCATGACTTAATTTCAAGTAAAAATTTTAAAAAAGTGTTTTTTATTTTCTTCTGAAAACAAAACTCCTGCACCCACCTAACATTAACTCATGCCATCTCTTCTCTCTGTTAGACAGCTCATCCTACATAAATTGTACACCATATTCTTATTTTTGATAGTTGTTACTGAGATGTTAGTTGTGATCTGAAGTATTTGGAATATTGCATCTTATTTACCACCTTGCAGCCATCAAGATCAGTTGTAATTTTAAGAATAACTAAATTTTGAATGATTATTTCTGGGTCATTGTGTCTCTAGTTGGTTTCAGTGCTCTGCACAACTTTTAGATCATAGGTTTAAATTATCTTTGCATGACTGTTGAGGTCTTAATGCGCTGTGATATCCTTTTTCAGGTTTTGAAGAACAAGTATCCTGACCTTGAAGCAGTGGCTTCCAAACTAGTTGACATCTATTGCCTCCTATCAGCCGATCCTAAGCTCATTTCCAATCATGATACCAGCAGCTTTTCTCTTCCGCATGACAAACGTCTAAGTTCTACCAGAGATTTTATGAAATGGTGTAGTAGGATAGCATTGATGGCATGTGGTACACCCTCATTGCTTGATTCCACAGATGTTTTTCTTGAAGCTCAAGACTGCTTTAGTGCACCTCTGCCAAAAATGGAAGATAGAAATGTGTTGGACATGGCTGTGGGTGCAAAGTTGGGTTTAACAAAAGAGAGGATTGAGTTCTTCTTCAGAAGCTACAAACCAAAAGTTCACACCTCACCTTTGTCACTGACTGTTGGGAGAGTCACTCTTAAAAGAAATATCAAGGACAGTAAACCAATAAGGTCAAGTCATGAGACTCTCCCAAGATATGCACACACTAGACATTCCTTAGTGTTGCTGGAGAAAGTTGCAGCTTGTATTAGAAATAATGAGCCTGTTTTACTTGTTGGAGAAACAGGAACTGGAAAAACTTCAACAGTTCAATATCTTTCAGCACAATGTGCAGCCACTCTGAAAGTTGTCAATATGAGTCAACAGAGTGACAGTTCCGTCCTTCTTGGAGGCTACAAACCAGTGAAGATAAAACAGATTGTAGCTCCTGTGAGAGAAAAGTTTGAAGAACTGTTTTGTAAAACTTTCTCAAGAAAGCAAAATGTCAAGTTTTTAAGTCATATACAGAAGTGTTTTGCTCAAGGAATGTGGGAGATGCTATTTAAATTGATGATGCATTGCCAAAAGAATGCTTTGGATAGAGCAAAAAAAGGTGAGGCTGCAGCCTAAGTTTGTTGAGCTAATGTCATTCAACAGCAAAGCTTCTGTAACGTTCTGAAGAAAAGTCTTTTTGAAGCGATTAGGTCAAAACAAAAGATTTGCTTTCAGACAATCAACAACTAGAGCTCACATTAAGTCATGTTAGCTAGTGGAAGACTGGTGTAAGTCAATGAAATAACTATCATATTGTTTGATTTGCTCCTGCAGTAGTTTTCTTCATATATTATTTTGTTACATCATGTAAGACCCTTATATATTTTGACAGGTAAGGGTTTTTAGTCTGGTACTTTGCAGGGCTGATTGTACACCGTGTTTTTATGGTTCAATGAATTCAACTTGAATTCAACACCAAAAAATTGCCTATCAGACTGAAAAGGTCAGACTTTTTTGTTCTGCACATGATATGTTATTGGTTAATTAATGCTGGGATTGCTGCGCTTTAAAACCTCAACATAATCATGATATGGCATATGACTATAATGGCCAGAAATATGAGAAAACCTCCTCTTATCAATATTGTTAAATATATAAGTATCATTTTAATGTCTGAAATTCATAGATGAGCAAATAAAGCATCTTCTCTCTGATTGGGAAAGACTAAATCAGGATATCCAGCAGCTGAGAAAACAAAAGAAGAATGCAGAGAGTGCACTGGCTTTCAGATTTGTTGAGGGAGCCCTAGTTCAGGCATTAAGGAATGGTGACTGGGTTTTGCTGGATGAGATCAATTTGGCCACTCCTGAGACTTTGGAGTGTCTTTGTGGCTTGTTGGAGAGTTCATCTGGTTCACTGGTGCTCATGGAAAAGGGGTGTGTTACTTTGCTTTTCTAATTAGTTAATTTAAATTGATAATTGATTTTAAGAAGTGGGATTAACAAACGGACTAGGCACTTTGTTTCCTAGTGTTTCTTTTGCTTAATTTTTTTTGGGGGAGGGGGTGGTACAGGGGAGTCAAAACTTCATGTCTCCCATACCTTGCATTCCTGCCTCCTGTCCCTTTTTTCTTGTCTTCCTCTCTTGAGCCCTTTTTCAATTGCTGCAATCAGGATGAAATTAGTTGAGACACTTCCTGCCCTTAAGGGCCTCTCTAACATTTTGCCAACTTAACTTGAAGAGAAAATAAACCTTTCTCTCCCCATCCTGTCCATGCGATGTGATGCTGCTGTTTAAGCTACCTGCAGAAAAAAGACAAACACCCCAACTTTCAATGGAGGGAAGGAGGAAGACTAGGGGTGTAAATTGTTTTGTTCTCCAAAGTTATGGTACCCCATTTGAGGACAATGTCTCAGCAATTTTTCACCAAATGTAGATACTAAGCATTGTTGCATAATTTTGCCCTATTTCTCCAACGTCCCACCCTTTTAGAATATTTAGAATCCTGTACCCCTCCCACCCTCTTATCTCCCAGGCTTCTACCTTCCTGCCCCTCCCCCTTATATTTCACTTGCTAGAGTTTGTGCTGGGATTTCATATAACTGAAAATGTCACTGAGAAGGTCTATAATTAAGTTTATGTGCACTTTCTCATTTGATAGTGATGCCACACCTATTACGAGACATGAAGATTTTCGTCTTTCCGCCTGCATGAATCCAGCCACCGATGTGGGAAAGAAAGATTTGCCACCTGGAATAAGAAACCGGTTTGTAAACTTTCTGCTTTTGTGTCAGTTATTGGCATAGCCTGCTATGATATAACAATGAATGAGATCATTTGTTCTCAACAGTCTGGGCTGTCTTCCGTGTTTAGTTATTATCCTTCCTAATTGTAAAGAATTGGCTCTACAAGGTTCTGGCCAATTTCGATGTATCTGTTAGTACCCCTTACAGGCTTCCTAGAGTTAAACAATCAGGGGCACCCGACGGCAATTTTCGGAAAAATATCTGTTCGGAAGACTATTTGAGATCTAGAATTTTCGGAACATTTGTTGTAAAATTTCTTGCTTCCCTACCCCTCCTAGGATTTTCGGGAGCCTTTTTTCTGGCTAAAATTTTCGAAAAGGTAAGTTTTGATCCCTATAATTTTCGGATCACTTGACTTTCAGCTAGTAAATCCGAACAGATGAAAAATTTTTAGGGGATAAAAATATGCCTATATCTACCGTTTAAATACTAAAATACGTTTAACAATTCAATGTTTAAGTGGTTTTGAACTATATCCTCGTTGGGTGCCCCTGAACAATACATTTCTGAAAATTTGTTACAGATTTACAGAGATTTTTGTTAAGGAGTTAGAGGATGTTGGAGATCTGAAAACCCTGGTAGTGGAATATCTGCAAGGATTATCTCCTAATGCTGCCATTGTGGATGGGATTGTCAGGTTGGTGTCATTATTTGTTTGCCTAGGTTCTCTAATTTCTGGCACGTGGCCCAAATTTCTGTGGGCCCATAACAGTCCCTTCCCCCATGAGAGAATGACCACCACACCGGGGACTATGTCCCCAACTCTTTGCGAAAAGTGCGTGGGTTTTTTAACGTCCAACAGAACTGAAATGTGCATGGGTTTTGAGAAGGGGACTATGGGTTATGGTCCTTACAATACGAGAGGACTAGAAAGTTTAACTGTTTGCAGATGGCTTCAGAAAGGCAGAACTTTCTCCTCGGTTATTTTAAGACCCTTATTGTTGGTCAGGCTTGGGGTTTGAAGCAGCGGCCTCCTGCTCAGCAGACCAGCACTTATCCAATTGAACTTACTGGTCGGCAGTCTTGAAATCTCAAAAAGGTGGTCTGTGGAAAGCATGTTGTTGGCTAATTCTTTTCCCCTTTCAAATAAACGTTTTCATAGAAAAATGAAAAAAGGAAAAAGCCAAATAGGAATTAATTATAATTTAGTAAACTTGATCACCTCTGGTTGTACTTGTTTTTTTTCTTTGTACCTTTCTCAGGTTTTACAATACAGTCAAGCAGGAAGCAAATGATAAATTGACCGATGGTACAGGACACAAACCTCATTACAGGTCAGCCTTAGTTGCTTGTCTTAAGCCTTTGTGGGGGATTTGCATGTACTGATTGAAATAAAAGCAGTTTTTCTTTCTTCTGTCCAGTTTGCGGACTTTGTGCAGAGCATTGCGATATGCAGCAGGGAACCCTCATCAGAATGCCTTGAGGTCAATTTATGAGGTGAGCAAGAATTTTTACTTTGCACTCCATTCGTGCACGCATTTTTCTTGCCTCACTTTCGTATGCGCCTGCCACGTGCTCTAAAAGATTCTAAGAGTTTACTCTCTCTTCATCTGCGTCTAGTACTCTCTGAAGGGCCACTTCTGAAATGCTGTTCACAAGTCCTGATGTGTGGTACTAATAATGCATTTTTACTTGAGGATGAATTTTTTCTCACTTTAAGTAACTTGGGTTAATAATAATAATAACCCCTGTTTGAAAAAAAAACTGAATCATGTTGTACTGCAGTTCCAGTGTTTTGATTGGCTTAGCGGCTATCAGTTATGATCCATTCCACCATGCCCGAGAAAAAGAGGTGATTAACAATGATTAACACGTTAACTGGTGTTTCTTACAACACGAAAAAACTATTTTACTTCCCCTTGTTGCATATGAGATAATAAAAGCCATTTCGGATCTACCCACCTCGTTGGGTCGCTGACGTCTTTTATATATATGGCTGAATCGGCGAGTGGCAAGATGAAGCGAGTGTTGGCTATCCGAGCGGGCTAAATCTGCCTATTCTGCCGGCTCGAGATTTCCTCCGTTGGTCCCGAAGGAGAAAGTTCCCTTTTTGGCCATATGATATATTCTTAATTGACCAAGCTTGTTCGGTCTTGATGGCTATATATTGGCCTCTTTCGTTTTTGCGTTGGCGTTTTCATTGGCTTCAACCTCATCTCGTTCCATAAAAGACAGAAAAGAACTTGGCAAAATACCAAGCCATCATGACCTAACGCTTGTTCAAAAACGCATATATAACGAGCGTGTGCTTAAAAAATAGTAGTTAGTTATCTCTGCATATGGTTTGCATCACAGGGTTTTTGTTTGAGTTTCTTGACGCAATTGGACCGTTCATCGCACCCAGCTGTTCAGTCTCTCATCAAGCTGCATCTTCTTGGACATGTCAATGCTGCCAGTCTCCTTAAACAACCCTTACCCAAGCCGCAAGGATCAGGACAATTCAGTAATTTTGAGGGTTTTTGGATCGCCATGGGTAACAAGGAACCTGTAGTGTCAGCTGATTATGTACTAACAGCGTCAGTGAAAGCAAACTTAAAAGATCTCAGCAGGGTTGTATCTGCAAGGTATTAGCAGTAGTTTCTTGGAAACTTCCCCCCTACCTTTCCCCTAAGCCAACATTTTGCCCTAAGTAAGAAGTAAGTGTTAATGTTGGCTTAGGGGAGGGGTAGGTGGGCAGTTTCTCAGAAACGTACAATAATCCGCCGTATCTTATAAAGAAGCTGTGTCACGAAATGTATCAAAATTCAAACATTGGCAACTGCCACCAAATTGAGTGAAACATGAAAATAACCGTTCAAAACATGAGAAGAAGGTTTACAGAATACAAAAAATACAAAAGGAGGCACGGATTGACAAACTTTGAAGAAGATTAAAACAGATTGCAATTTAGGCTTGAAAACTTGTTCGTCAAAGCTTGTTTAGATCATAGTTAGTAAAGTGCAATGATTATGAAGGCGGTCAGACTTCTTTGTTGTATGTTTTAGTTAGCCTTTTTGGACTTGATCGTGCACAACTTACCTTGGCGTTCTTATCATTTTGAAATTACCGACCAATGGAGACGTCGTATTGATTAACTCAGTCACAATCTGTGAGCGCAAGAGAAAGGTTTGTGCACAGTCAGGAGAGTTCCAACATAATCTGCAGCACAGTTGTTTCATCTTTGATGAATATCGGCTTTCATTACCAGTCTCCTCTACTATGCTTACTTGTAGGATGTCTCTGTAGTGAATCTCTCACAGTGTCCAGCCATAACAATACAATTTTTGCACATTCAGTATTTTTTAATAATTGGTGGCTTGTACAATCAACTCCCTTTATGGCGACACTGTAGAGACCTCGAGTTAGTGTCCTCATTATCTAGAGTCACTCAGTCCGTGTAGCGGGAGTTAATTTCAGTCAAACGTCTGTATTATTTTTGCCGGGAATCTAGCTGGTCTCCTTCGTTCTGTTTTTCTTTGTCAGGAAACTTCCAGTGTTGATACAGGGTGAAACATCTGTGGGTAAAACCAGCTTGATTCAGTGGCTTGCTAAGGCAACTGGTAATCACTGTGTTAGAATCAACAATCATGAACACACTGATATTCAGGAGTACCTTGGATGTTACACTTCAGATGAAAATGGTAAACTAGTCTTTCAGGAAGGTACGTGTACTAAAGAATCGTATCTTTGGAATAAAGATGTTGTGAGAATGAAGTGACAAATACCAGTCAGTGATATTTAACTTAACGACAACTAGTTGAATTATGAATCACCAACGCAAATATTAAACTTTGGATATTATTCTTATAAAAGTCCGAACTAGTTGAGGAGATACTTATTAATGTCAGAGGTCCTAAGTCGTATCTTTCAGCCAAAAATATGAATAGTTCTGCCCTGAACACAGTTAACACCGATTTGTGTGTTCTCTCAGTGCTCTTACCTGGAGTGTTGTAATGAAAGCAATTCACCCACGTTTCGTATCCTTCCCGTTTAGTTCTGTGGTCTCTGTTTCCCACGCGGTACTGGTGCTTGGAAAAGGGTTAGCTATTTATACTGAAGAATGCTTGCATTAATTATTGTTAATTATGTTTCTGTCAAGTTTGTCTCACTGGGAAATTGAATTTCTTCTCTATTCCCCACATGACTTAGCACAGTCCGTTGGTGCGGGTCTTTTTTGTGGTGGACGTTCCGAGTTGGAGTCCGATGTGTGACCTCAAATCCTTCTTTCGACGTTTTTCATTTAACTGTTACCAGTTATCGACGTAACCTATGGACTTATACCTTTAACCTTTACCTCCTTACTTAAGAACAAGAGAAATGTTAGCAATGCTCGGCATTGTTTCATTCATTCTTGACATGGATTGATTCATAACTCTCGACCAGTGACTTGTGTGTCTTCTGACTTTCAGGTGTCTTAGTTGATGCTATGAGGAAAGGTCACTGGATCGTTTTAGATGAATTAAATTTGGCCCCCTCAGATGTATTGGAAGCACTGAATAGGGTACCTTATTTTAAAACTAATGTTCCAACGCCATTTTTAAATTTGTTCACCATTAATCTGTGTCTTGTTTAGGGACTTAAGTTTAGGGACTTAAAGCCTTCAGTATCATTGTTTTAGTACCGAGGGGGTTGGGGGGTTGGGAGCGGCGGGCTTGGCGGCACCACCGCCAGGTTTCTGGTACCTTTGCCTCTGTGATAGCTTCAAAACCTAGGCCACCGATATTGTTTAAGATGTTGTTGTTGTTTTGGTTGCAGTTGCTCGATGACAACAGAGAATTATTTATTCCTGAGACTCAAGACACAGTTGTAGCCCATCCCATGTTCATGTTGTTTGCTACTCAGAACCCCCCTGGACATTATGGCGGTAGAAAGGTACGTAACGTTTGTTTTCTGTCTAAAATTCGTTTGAGTCTGTGAAGCGGGTTTTATAGTTGCTGCTTTTCTAACGTGAGCCTGGAACTGATATCACTTAGCTTTCTCTTGATGTTAAGTCTACGTTTATCGTTTAGAGAATTATCAGTGAAATGAATTGTCTGAGAAAACGCCCGTTGTATATCTCAGACGTCCGAACAGAAAAATTTGCTGAAGCATGATATAAAAGGTTTAGACGAGAGATTTAGCATTTTATTGGAATAGCAGTCTTATTCGAGTGTGTTGATCTTGCAAAAGATGTTCAGGATTTGAACTACGCAATTGTGAGCTAGTGTTTTAGGGCAAAGTCCTTAAAGGTTGGTATGACTTGTCTTGCAATCACAGGTGCTATCACGAGCCTTTCGAAACCGTTTCGTGGAACTTCATTTTGACGAACTTCCCAGCCAGGAGTTAGAAGTTATTCTTCATCAACGGTGCAGTTTGCCGCTGTCGTACGCCAAGAAACTTGTGGCCATTATGCTTGACCTGCAGGTAAGAGCGACAGTAACGAAGATCTTCCGCCTAAGACATATCACCTAATCCACTTACGGTGAAAAAAGTAACGCCTGCGTTCGAGCCAAGTGAAGGCGCATCAAGTCGGGGCCTATCCCGTTTTCCATAGTTTATCGCAGTAGTATATCCCCGTTACCCACTTATACACTTGGGTGTAGTGAGGCACTGTTAGAGCAGTGATAATGCCCCCGGCGAGGGCTTGACCCAGACCTCTCGATCCGGAGTTCAAAGCACTAACCAAAAGGCCACCGTGCCACTCACCGTCGACCAATTTTTGTTCTTTTACCCTTAAACCTTACAGGCACGACGTAGAAGTACCAATGTATTCGCCGGTAAACAAGGCTTTATTACTCTCCGTGATTTGTTTCGCTGGGCGACAAGATACAGCAAAACACCTGACGTCCAAGGTGGAGTGTTCCATGACTGGGACTTGCATCTCGCGGAGGACGGTAAATATGACTTGGCAACAATAGTACGTGTTTTATCAGACTTTCGCCGTGTCAATAATAGTGCATTCTGCACCAGTGATTGAAGCTTAAGAGGTCTATCTGTTCACAAGACACCACTTTGTCCTGAGTTTAGTTTATATGTCAAATGAGTTACAGTCAAACCTCTTTAATAACAACAACAACAATGTATTTATTAAAAGAAATATAAAGTTACATAGTTTATGTCCTGCAAATAGCTATAATGTTAATACAGACACCAATGTGACAGAACCAAGTGTCCGCTTTACAGAGGTGTCCGTATTATAGAGATAGGGAATGTATGATTTTTGGCATTTCTGGGACCAAACGAACTGTCCGTAATATAGAGGTGTCCGTATTATGGAGGTGTCCGTAAGGAGAGGTTAGACTGTCAATCTATAAAAAATCTTTGAGCTTTGAGTGACGTTTGTTGGCTTACCCCCCTTTTCAATTTTTCAGGTTACATGCTTCTCGCTGGTCGCTGTAGGAATCCGTCAGAGTGTAAAGTCGTCCAGGAAGTGATCGAACGTCACCTGAAACGACAACTTGACCCTGATCTGTTGTTCGGTGATCCATCTGTACTGAAACATTCTCCTGGTGTGTCAAGTCTCCTAACACAAGTAACAACAGCCTCTGTGGATGGATTCTCTCACATTGTCTGGACTCGTAGTATGCGTAGACTTGCTGTTCTGGCTGGCAGGGCACTCCAGTTCGGAGAGCCAGTCCTTTTAGTGGGAGAAACAGGGTAAAAAAATGCAATTCGCCACTTTTGAAACGTGAAGGAAACTTGGTAGAGTTGACTTTCGCAAAAACTTGTTGGACTGTTACTAGAGACAGGGAAAACAAATTGGCCTGTAACCATCCCAGAAGTCCTTGCGAAAGCTTACTTGTCTTACTGTCCTCGTTTCTAACGTGGCGAATGATTCTTTTCTTGCTAACACGAGCTCTTTTTTGCGGTGCTAACACTTTACTCAGTTACCTAAATCAGTTCTTTTAACATGTAGATTTTGACGTGCTCTCCGTGCAAACACGGATTTTGTGGTCGTTCTGTTATTCATCCGCCGGCAATGTCTCCCTTATGTCAAGCTTAATGCACCGGCGTATGTGAGCAACTCCTCTTGCGACGGGTCCGAGGCTGTCCAATGGGAAGTCCACCCGGAGGGCGGTAACTGTGGAGAGTTTTACCGACTACAGGCTAAGTTCGCTTGAGGGACTGAGTTACCTGCGGGATATCAGGTTCGGGAAGATGGGACTCTTTATCTTCATTTGTTTACATTCACAATAAATAAAATTACAAATACAGACTACCTGCAAAATAGCAGAGCTAATCGAGGCAGGAAGCTCATCTAGAGGAAGGAAACTTCGAACCCAAACCAGGCTTGGAGAGGGTTGGGCTCCGCCAGGCTTTATTTGCCCATGATACGCCACATGTTGCAACATCCGTGGCGCCCCAACGGTCATTGACTACGGGATAGGTGCAGGTGCAATGTCAATAGATGTTCAATGAATAAAGAGGGGATGCTTTTTCTTCTTGCTCTTCCTTTACTATCAAAGTAGCACTCTTGCGGTCCCTATATCGACACATGCTTAAGGACACATGGATAGTTGGCTTTAAACATCTGGCCTCAGATGTTCTGTTGATAACGCCATCCACTGGATAACGCAATTTGTTTCCTTAACACTTATCCACAACAAGGACAAAGGGAACAAGTCCTACTGCGGAAACTACAGGGGCATCTCACTTCTTTCTGTAGCGGGAAAGATCTTTGCCTGCATTCTCCTGAACCGAATGATTACGGTCTCCGAAGGAAGTCTCCCAGAGGCGCAGTGTAGCTTCAGACCAAGGTGCAGCACCGTGGACACGATATTTGTCGTCAGACAGGTGCAACAGAAGTGCATTGAACAGAACAAGGCCCTCTACCTTGTCCTTATAGATCTATAGGACGACCGCCTTCATCTAGTGCCCCACCTGTTCTAGACTCTGCGCTTGCAGTCTGGGTCTGCAGAGCCGCCAGAGAACTCATAGATGATCACACAACACGCTGTCTTCTTTGGACACGAAGGACAAACACCATTGATTTATCCGATATATCCCGGGCCACACTAATCAATTCAGTGGGTAGTGCAATATGGTTTCCCTAATACCTATCCGCTGGACGGTGATTCATATGGTAAATAGCGCTATCCAACGATTGAACAACCGAGGCCGGTTTACAAATACTGTTCAGACACTATACAGGCCAACAATATTCTTTTGCTCTGCTAGGTACACTTTTGAAACAGTAGTAATCATAACTATCGTAATTCCAATTCTGGTGTGTTAACATGATGTTTTGCTTCTCTTGCAGCTGTGGTAAGACCACTATCTGTCAGTTATTCGCAGCACTGTGGTTTCAAACCCTTTTTGCTGTTAACTGTCACATGCATTCTGAGTCTTCTGATTTTCTCGGAGGCTTAAGACCAGTTAGAAACAGAGGACAAGAGGAAAAGGTTAGTTTAACGCTATAAATTGGGCCACTGTCATTAAAAGTAGAACAGCAGTTAACCCACCACTGATTTGTTGTTGACATCTAGTTGTTACAGTCAATTTTCGTAGTCTTAATGGTAAATACTGTATTACTGCTAAGGTGACGTTTGTTTTCCACCTAGCAAAGCGTATTTTGTTCCCAATTTAGTATTCTATTTGCCATTACAGGCTCTTTGGCCCTTTTCATTGGAAAAATTAAATGACATATTTCAGTCACCAAAGACGTGCGTTACACTGAGTTAATTTCGGTTTCATACAAAGTACTTTGTAACACGAGGAAACAAGCTAGTAAAACGTTGGGGCAAAATTGTTGTGTTTACCTACAGCAGACTTGAAAGCTTTTTGGTGAGCTGGACGCACGAGTTTCAGTTTACTTAAAGCTATGACTACTATACTTACAATTAAGACTGAATGTGCGGTCAGTTTGCAAGGTTTTGGAGTTAAAAGCGTTTGCTAATGTTTCTGTTTCCAAGGGTGAACAACTTTCCAAACTTTTTGAATGGTGTGATGGACCTCTCGTTCAAGCCATGAAGACAGGAGCCATGTTATTAGTAGATGAGATTTCCTTGGCAGATGACTCAGTGTTGGAGAGACTCAATAGTGTTCTGGAGCCTGAGAGGACGCTGTTGCTTGCTGAGAAGGGCGGCAGTGGACTTACATCAGGGGAGGATGTCGATGTACTGGTTGCTCATGAGGATTTTAAAATTATAGCAACCATGAACCCTGGAGGAGACTTTGGCAAGAAAGAGGTATGACAAACTGGGTAAATCATGTTCTTAATCCAAGGCTTGTAAAGTCTTGGTTTGTCAATGCATGTACACAGCTGGAAGGTACTAACCAGTAAAACGTGTTGTCAAAAGGAGTCTTGGATTAAAATTGCAGGTTAGCTTGGTAGATTCCACGTTCGAAACGACTTACTTGAGACGTTTGGGTTCAAGAAAGAAAAAGGCGACAGTCAGTTAAGCCTCTTTCACACGTATCTTTTTAAAAAAAAAAAAAAACAGTTTTTTTTCCCCCCGTTTTCCAAAAATGCACGTCCACGTAGCGTATTCGAATCGTTTTCACTCGTCCACACGGAAAACGCTAAAACGATGGAAATACCATAGCATCCCTTATGGAGCATGAGTCATGCTAGAGGTATATGAGGTGTAAAATCATCGTATTCGAAAACCTCCGTTTTCGTCAGAAAAAAGCTGGCGTTTTCAAAAATCTTCACCCTGGAGAGCGATTCTGAAAAAATGCATTTTCGGTGACCGTTTTCAGCGGATACATGTGGACGGTAAGACAAACCGGAGGGAAAAAAAATCCGTTTTCAAACAGGAACGGATGCGTGTGGACGGGGCCTTAACGAGGCTAAGTACTGTGAAATTGATAAGAAAAAAATTAGCTGTGCGTCCATGAAGTTTTTGTTCTTATGCGAAATCTACAACACGCGTATTAATGTCACTCGCAATCTTTACATAACCCCTTGCATAACGAAAAGGAAGCAGAGTCTATAAATATCAACCGGCAAGTCCTCGAGTGGATGCCAACATGCTGTAACAAAAATTCCGTAGCAGTTTTCAAATTTATGTGCTGCTGTTTTACTACAGTTGTCCCCGGCATTGAGGAACAGATTCACAGAGATTTGGTGTCCACCTTCAAATGCGAGAGCAGATCTCATACAGATTATAGAACATAACATCAAGCCTGGAGTAGTACTTAAATCAGCCAGTCACGGTATGACGTCATTAATTATTCAGTAATCAAGCTAAAAATGCAAGTTGCCAAGGCTTTATTGAAAGGGGCTACGTCACGAGGATTACTGGGCATGTAGCACCTCTCCTAACCCTAAAACCCAATTGGTTCGATATCCTAACCGTGAAACAATGGGAAATAATGATAAACAATGATGTGTTATTGTTGTCTGCGACCAATGAGGAAACACCTTACGAGCAGCTCCTACATTACTGGGATTATTTGCTGTTTTAGGTCAATTCTGTGCTGGAGTCCTTAGTTAGTGCCTTTACCCATACTTAGAATGCTCCTTTAGAGTTTTGACAAGACATCAAACAAATTACATCAGGGAGCACCAACCTTAGTAATTTTTTGGTGATTTTAGCAGACATAGCATAAAACTTGACAAAGTAAGCCCATTTTTTTTAAGTGTTTCAATCCATGTCCATCCTGCCCATCCGTTGCAACAGACGACAGGAAACAGTTTCAAAACTTAGAAGTAGTCTTAACTAACAAAACTGCACCATTATTTTCAGAATTCAGTTGATTCGAAGACACTTTTTAGTTTTTTTAAGATAATAGCAAATAGAGTGTTATAGCTCCTTACATAGACCTTTCCCGCATTCCTGTGAACAAAGGCACCAACTCGAGGCTCGGGTGGACAAAATACAGTGATTTGTATGAAATTGTCCAACCGAGCCTCGTCCTCATTTCTTTGTGTTTGTTCACTGGAGCGAAATGCGGGAAAGGTCTATTATATATTGACTTGTATGTCTTCTAAACAGAATCATCAGGTGTCGGAGAGGCCATCCTGGATTTTATAGAATGGTTCCATTCTACTGATTTTGGAAAGAGGTACGTCAGTTACACATACAGCCTGTGCCGTCAAGAGGGGGTGATACTCTTGTTTGGTATTCAAAGTCCGAGTGACTATGACATCCAAGGGTTATGTCGGATTTGAGACAGCAACCAAAGCAAATCAGTTCTTGAATACGCACATAAGTTGTTTCACCGCAGCCTTTCTAAATTTCCTATCTCGTGAAAGCGAGCGCGTCCAGAGAAGCGCCATGTGGATAGTTTTCCCTGATCTTGAGTAAAGGGATGCGTTAGTGAGACTATTTTTTTAGTGATTTTGTTTTAATGATCAGGTGGTCACCTAATGCTTTGCATTTTTCTTCACTTCCACTCTTTCTCGTCTCAGATTTGTAGTAAGTACCAGAGATCTTTTATCCTGGGTAAACTTCATCAATACCTGCAGTGCGTCAACTGCCAGTGATGGCATTGACGACAACAGCAATGATAGAGTACTCCTCTCTCCAGCTCAGGCGTATGTGCATGGCGCTTGCCTCGTGTTCTTAGACGCCCTGGGGTCAGGAATGACCAGCTTTTCGCCGTCATCGTCTTCGTCGAGTGGTGCTTTAAAAGATGCATATCAAGCGTGCTATGAATTTCTACGAAGACAGGTGGACCTAAAAGAAGAAACACATGGAAGTTCTTGGTTACCAGAGATCGATAAAGATGGAAATTCCAACTATAGACCAGACTATTTTGGTGTTAGTCCATTTTTCATTCCAAGAGGTACGTGGTAACTGTAAACCTTGAATCAGATCCATCTCTATATCTGTAGCTTTTGGAAAGGTCTGCAACCTGATTTGAGAAAGAGCTTCATTAATCACGAGTTAATAAAATTAACCTCACCAAACGCACTGTAAAATTAAGTGTTCGCCTCGTTATTCGAGGGTTGTAGGGCTTAAATACTGTGGCACTCTTTTGCCTTATATAATGTGTTCTTACTTTTTGTCATTAACAGGGCCTCTGCCGCCACCAGAGCATTTTTCAAGCACTTACGCGCTCAATTCACCGACTACTTCTCTAAATGCTCAACGGTTGCTAAGAGCTCTTCAACTACCAAGGCCCATTCTCCTGGAGGGGTCCCCTGGAGTAGGAAAGACCAGCTTAGTTGGAGCTATTGCAAAAGCTTCGGGGAACGAGTTAATAAGAATTAACCTCTCTGAACAGACTGTAAGTAAATAAGTTACCAAGTTTTTTGACCATGGGAAATGTCAGTGGGTTTTGCGATGTAAGATATTACCCGTTTTTCTTCTCTCTGTGTGAATCGGTGGGGGGAGGGGTTAGGGGTGGGTTTATCGCGATACAGACTTGCACTGAACACGATGCTCAATCATCACCTTTGTTAAGTGTTTAAATTTTGTTTTAAATTTTTCTATATCTCTATAACAAAAATGAATTGTTGACTTGGGTCGACCCAAGTCAAATTTAGAAGGATTTGTATGGAGTTATCAGAACATAACTGGGCTTATATCTCAGAGGCAATTTGCCCCGAAATGCTAATTTTTGGCAAGTAGGCCTCATGGACGATGTTCTTTCAGAATATCCTGAGAAATACAATAATTTCAGAAATTTAATTTTATGACATCATCACTTTAGAACTCTATTACGCAATTACCATGCCATTTCACTTGATTTACAAGGTTTCCCCCATTTTCTGCAGTTTAAAATAGATTCTTCAAAAAGACAATCATACTTCTGAAAAATAGAGTCAGTTGCAAAAACTTGATAAAAAGGAAATAAATAAATAAATGAAAGAAAGAAAGAAAGAAAGAAAGAAAGAAAGAAAGAATGAATGAATATAAAATAGTCGCTCGTTGTTGAAAGTGTGTTTAATTGTGTGAGAATATAGCTAATTCAATAAGGTTACTTTGGCAATTGGTCATTGGGAATTCGTTATTGGGCATTGGGCATTTCCCAGTACGCAATTCACAATACCCAAAGTAACCTTTACTGAATCAGCTAATCGGTAATTTTCTCGTCTGAATATCACTTTGAAGGATGTAACGGACTTGTTTGGAGCTGATTTACCTGTTGAAGGAGGTGAGGCTGGACAGTTTGTGTGGAGGGATGGTCCTCTATTAAAGGCACTCAGAGCTGGACACTGGATTGTCTTGGATGAGGTATTGTCATGGCGTTAGATACAAAGGCTCTATAAGAATACGAGTACTATTAACAACCGGTCTTTCGTCAGAGTTATATTATTCAGGATTTTTCATCTGGCCCGGGTTGTTCGATCGTTGTATAGCGCTATTCATCGAATAATTCACTGTCCAGCGGATAAGTATTAGGGAAACCAATTGCGCTATCAGCGGATAGCGTTGTCTACGTTTTGAACAACTGGACCCTGATTACAACAGACGCTCTAGAAAAACAGTGTGATATTGTCTGCATTTTATTAAATAGTGGATCTTAGTCTGTTTTTTATTTGAATTGTTTTTGCCACGAGAAAATAAAAATAATTCGCCTTCTTTTTTTTGACCGATAAAAACTTGCTGTTAAACTATTGTGAGATTATGGTGTAGTTTTTATGAATTTTCGAGTGGGCGAGTGTCTATAAATAAATTGAAATAATTAACTTCTTTTTTTTTAAATACCTGGCTATCTCACCTAAATGTTTGAACCGCTATTTAAATACCTTATCACCTCTGTTTCTCGCAGTAAATACTCTACCTTGCTGAAAAACCACACAAGGCACGTTTTTGCCTCCTGTCTTATCAACATGAAATTTTATTTCTGATCTTTATTTTGCAGCTAAATTTAGCCTCGCAGTCTGTGCTCGAAGGGCTTAATGCCTGTCTGGATCACAGGGGCGAGGTGAGTGTCACAATGCAGTCCTTACTTGATAGCTATAGAAGATATTGTATGCTTCACCTAAGTATTTAGCAGATGAAAGCAGATGGAAGTGACACTTCTCTTGAGAATGATTATCCCTTTAAGTCCTAAGAGTGATCAGTGTCAAATTTCTCCTTGTAATAATGAATTCGTGGTAATAAGAATTCAGGGTATGATCACACAAGAAGAATTTCCTTTATCTTTTATCATCTTTGCCCCCCTTGTTCTATAGGAAATTAATAGTGGTAGCAAATGAGAATTTTAACTTTGATATTAGGGTTTTTAAAAAGGCTAATTGAAAGGCTCGTCTGTCTTTTATAAATTTGTTAAGTCATTGTTAGTTGCAATGGTGGTGAATGAAGTTTAATTTTTTCTCACTGGCCAGTGGGTAGATGTTCGCTGTAGAAACGCGCGGCGATGTGCGAATTCCTTCTCCGTTCCTATAGGTATAGCTCACTGGTCAGCCTCACGTGGAATGTTTTTGTACTTTTTAAACCGTTTTCCCGTTTCACTGCTCTTACAGATCTACATTCCCGAGCTTGGGATGACATTCAAAGTTCAGCGAGGCAAAACAAGGTTGTTTGCTTGTCAGAATCCCCTGAATCAGGGCGGTGGAAGAAAGGGATTGCCAAAGTCCTTCCTCAACAGATTTACTCAGGTATATTAACAGTTGAATTTGATGCCTGAAATATTTCTCTGCTCAAGGGAACAGAACGCCAGATGTGTGACTATTATTTATCTCTTTGTGCCGAAACGACTCCCCACCATTGAACTGATATGAAGCTGACCATTTGAACGACAAAAGCTTGGGCGAAAAAACATAGAATAGGAGAATCCGATAACAATACAAAGAACATTGGGTGGCACGGTAGCGTCAGCAAGAGCGACGATCGTGGAGGCGCTCCGCTCCTACTGGAGCAAAATGGACAAACTAGTGCCACTTACTGCTGTTACAATTTTTTTGGGAACCGATAACTCGACAGCCTATTTAACATTTAATGGCATTCTTTCAAATGCATGTCAAGGCCTCCAGAAAAGTTTTGTAACCTTATTTATTTATTTATTTACCGTTTAAGGGAAGGAATAGGAGGGTAATTTTTGTCCTTTAGTTGACAGAGTTGAGTTTATAGTTAGTCAATCCCTCTCACCGTCTTCGTGTCTCAGTTTGAATGATGAACTTGCAATTTCGTCTACTGTTTCCTGGCATTTGCTGGGTACCTTTAAAAATATTTTTAGGCCATTTTTATGACCAGACTGTTTCAACTCCAATAGCCTACGGCTGTGCAACTTAAGGCACGCTTAGTAGCATTGTAAGTCGCGAATTAAACTTGTTCTATTTCACTTTATTCAAGGTGTTCGTGGAGCCACTTTCAAAGTCAGATCTGTTGTTTATCACAGGAGCCCTCTACCCTGAAATAGATCCCGCCATCTTAGACCAGATGGTTACATTCAATATGAAGGTGATAATATAGTCATTACACTAACAGTATTTATTAATGGCAGTTATTTAATAGCACTCAGTGACATTAAGACCGTTGTCTACTGTGCGAGGACCAACAGTCAAATCACGTTTTATTCTGGGGACTCAAATGTTACGATTGGTTGCTCGTGTTCTGTACTCGACAGTTCTTTATTTATTTCATGCGTCCTGTGTGCCATCCCTTGACCCTGTTCCACTGTGGACGTCTGACGGCTGTATCATTTTTGATTGGCATTCATAGCCAGCTAGTTAGCTTTTTAACACACTTTTGTTAACTGGCAATTTTGGGCCCCCCATGATCAAAGGTCGTAACTTAAAAGGTGACATGATCCCGCAACTGAATTTATAGATTGTTAGTGCAATTATGTGTCATGCGTCGATGACCTCTCTCGCGCACGCTGCTATATGGCGGAAAGGATAGCAAAGCTACAATATTCGTCCCTCTATACTTCTTTCATTTCTTGTTTGCTTCCCTTCTCTCTTTCCCCATTTTGTTTTTGGAAATATGAAATGTGTAAATCAACGTCAAGCAAAACGGGGGATGATAATGTAACACACGTAACATCGGAGGTGACGAATATTGTAAACATTTCCCTGAATTTCTCTCCAACCGTGGTAAGATTCCGCCTGAAAAACGTACCTATTCAAGTTTCCTTTTGTAAATTAAAGGTACTCCTCTCATACATTCGAAAGACGTTATTAATTGATATATTTACCCTTTGAGCCCTGAGGGTGATAAGCATCAAAATTCTCCTTGTGATATCGATGCTTTATAAAACAGAGTGGTGACGAGAATTAAGGAAATGATCAAGCAAGGGAAACTGATTGATACTTTAACAACTTCTCCCTACTACCTCTATAGGAAACATATGGGGACAACAAATGAGAATTTGAATTTTGATATTCGGGCTAAAAGGGTTAACGCGTTTTGCAGATCCATGAAGAGACAGTGGTGGAGGCACGATGGGGAAGAAAGGGAAGCCCATGGGAATTGAACTTAAGAGATGTGTTCAGATGGTGCGACCTGCTTATTAAGCATCAGGCAAGTGTCGAGACGTTTCGTCAGCAGATACGCTATGTATCCAAGATTCTGTTATTTACTCCTTGATCTTAATTATTATTTTTTTCCTTCGTTCCTTTTCTCATTTGCAAATAGGCAGCGGCCAAATCGAAATCTTTGTTACTTTGGCTGTTACACACTGATTTAAAAATTGTACATGTTTTAGTTGTATGATCTAACCATAGATTATTTCTCTACCTTTTTCTATATTTTCTCTTTTTTAGTATTATCTGAACAGTAAGGATACCAAAGATGATGAAGATGATGATGATGATAATGATAATGACAATGAGTCATGTTGTTACTAGGCACAAATTTGTATAAACTCCTATATGACCTGCCTTGGGCTTCCTGTGCTTCCTTATTTACAGCGCTTATTTCCCTCCTTTAGTTTCCTGGTTGCTGGGATCCTGCTCAATTTTTGCGTCTTATTTACTGTGACAGAATGAGGACAGTGAAGGACAAACAGATGGTAAGGATACAACGACAAATTCTTGGTATTTTGTAAACGTAAATGATTTTAAACAACATGACAGTACATTTGTCTAGCAACCTTGATAGTTCCTTCAAAAACCAATTCTAGATACTTCAGTTTCATATTTTCGCACTGGCTTTAGTTTTTGACCAATGCACATGATTGTAAGGGAGGAACGAAAACATCAAAACGTTTGTGCTTATACTTTTCAAGTTTGGCTCGGTAATAAAAACTTTGTTGTTGCTTCCAAAGTAAAGCTCAAACGCTTTCACTGCGATGTCTTAATAGCGCTTACGCATGTTTACGTTAGGCAAGCAAATTTGACCACTTTGTCTCCCTTTGAAATTGTAAAATTGCGAAGTTTTGCATTCCCAAGGCAGTGAGCGTTTGAATACCCAAGCACAAAGGCTGCAAACTTGGTTTGTGAAATTTGCTCTTTTGACGTTATCATGCACAAAGACCTTGCAGAATTTTGGAATTGAGGTAGTAAAATTCACAATTTCATTGTCTAGAGGTTTCTTTCCCGTCCTGGCTGACGCTCTGAGACGGCAAGCTCCTATTAACACGTGTCAGTGCGTAAAAGTCCATGTATTCTTGAGTCTCTTTGCTTTTTAGTGTCTTTTTGTTTTTATTAGCCATTACCTTATTTATTTATCTGTTTACTTGACAATGAGGTACTGGAGCTATACAAGTCAGTTACTACGAGTTCAGAACCAATTGGTGACATTCAGTTGACCCGGCCATCATTTTTTATCACACCAAGCCATGTTCAGGTGAGTCTGCACACAACTGCTGGTTATTTATGGCTATATAATTTCCTAGTTGCACTCGAACAAAATCTGTCACAGAAAGCAAATGATTTTGTTTCTAAACGATTTTCCATGACACAAAAAAGGACTTTGAATATCCTTACCGCCCTTAATTTCCTGAAGGAGGTAGCGACGACACGGAAAGAAAACAGAAATAGCACAACGTAAAAAGGTCACACATATATGTACACACTCCTAATCAGTTCTATATTTTTTGATTGTCTATTCATTGTCTATATTATTTTCTAGGTCGGCCATTCCTGGCTTCCTAGATGTCCCTCAGTTGATCAGTCCAACATCACTGGAAGATCACTGCAGGTCCTTCATCACTGTTTACCTGCCATGGAATCACTGATGAAATGTCTTGAAATGAACTGGATGGCTATTCTGGTGGGTATCAGCGTGTTACAATAGGAAGCTTAAGTAACAGCGTTTTTGGGCGACGGGTGGGCAGTAGTTTAGTTCAAACTCTCTCCAGTGTCCATTGCGAGGTCAGGGACACTGGAGAAAGATTCCACCTCTAGTACATTACAGCTGATGCCCTTTGAAAAGCTATCGTGAGTTTTATTTGCAAAACATCTGAGAACAGTTTACATGAGACTTAGCAAGAAACCGATACTTCAAATTCCTTAAAGGAAGCGGCCCCTGGGATATAATTTAAAAGTCGTACTCATACGCGATCTCCAACCCTTTTTCTTATTCAAATCCAAAGGTCACTTTACAGTTTAAAAACCACAACATGATTCACCAATCGCTAAAGAAAGTTATCAGTTGTGTAACCCTTGTGCACTTAGCTTATTCAGCTAGTTTACAATCACAAATAATTTGAAACAAATAATTTAATTATAGCATAACAGGAATAAAAACTGCAACTGGCAGGAGGTAAGCTGTTGACTATTTAGAAGCGTGGCCAAGGATTTGAACTCGGGACAACCGAGAGCAAATCCAGCAAGCTACCAGATCGGGACTCGAACCCCGGACCGCCGGACTGCGAGCCCGACGCGCTGACCACTCGGCCACGCTGCTTTTTGTAGTGTACTGGTTACTAATCATTGGTTGTGTCTGATTATCAGGTTGGTCCAAGATCGTGCGGAAAGACATCACTTGTTCATCTTGTTTCCCAACTGACTGGTAATAAACTGGAGGTGATGGCTATGAACAGTGCCATGGATACCACTGAATTACTTGGCGGCTTTGAACAGGTTAGAAAACTGATTAAATTATTGATGGTTCGTTTATCGTATGTTTTTTTAATAGTAATTTTGTTTGACTGATTTTCGTTTGACCTTAAAAAATGGTTTTCGTAAGTGTTTATTTGTTTTATTAGCCAATAGATGCCACGTGCTTAAAGTATGCTTCCATTTTAAGTGAAGAGGGATAGTCCTTCTTCGTTAAACGTTTTCATTTTGTCCTTAAATCGTAGATACATCATCGATTTTTCAATATTTCGTTCATGGATTTTCTATTTTGTAGCTAACGAAGACGCGCGAATGAGTTTTATCAACGCTGGTTGCCCAAATGAGTCCCTTTCTTTTCTTGCCCGGTACTTTTTCAAAGCCCTCGTGCATTTGAATTTGCCACTTCAGCGGTCATGAATAACTATTAATGTCCACTCATTCTGCGCGACGTAACGATCAAAACATGGATCAAAACATGAACCCCAAGTTGTAGAAAGAAGCGTTCGATTTTCCAATCGGCAGCCTACAATCCTGGACAAATCTACTTGAGAAAATGTTTTCATTAATGCGCACTGCCTAACGCAACAAAACTATTTCCAAATCAACGGCTTTGCGCAAAGAAAAGCCCCTCCCCCGGTTCAAAGTTGCCTCCTACAAATGCTTAGGGATCCGGCTTTCTTTTGAAAACCCAACAACACTGCTTCCAGAAGGAGGGGGGAGGGAAGAATCGGTTGGCTACGAAGTTTAGAAAAAATGCCCCCCAAGTATGCAATTTTCTCAACAGTTTTGTCCAAGATTGTAGCTACTGTTACCCCAAGTCATGGAAAATTACTTTTCAGGATTCTTTCATTAGCTGAGAATAGTTGCGTCTTCCATAAACCAACTAAAAGTCGCACGCGTTTGTCTGTTCCATAAACCGATCAAATTCTTATATATTCTTGTTCGTTAGTTTCCCACTGATCATTTCAGTTGTCATGTAGTTTGTTCTTGAGATAGTCCCAATAAACCTTTTTACCGTTACGGCGGCCATATTGAATTTATTAGAGTTGAGGAGTATTACGGGATAGCCAGGAGGCAATCACTCAGTATTTACGCGCGTTTGTCGGGCAAAAAGAGAACTTTACTGTATATTTGTCGAAAAAAAAGGCGATCATTATCACATCCAAACACGGCACAACGATTTTTTTTTCCCATTGCAATCTTTTTCTATGAAAACGTAAGAAAAATTGGCCCGAAAAGCGCGCGTAAATACTGAGCGAGTATATCGGATCGTGCTCATGCCACCTGGACATTCCATAATACTCCTTAAATATGTCTGCCGTATCGGTAAAAAGGTCTATTCTTTTCTTACGAAAAACAGGCTGATCTTAACAGACAGTGGGGAGAGATATTAAAGCAAGCTAAGGAGTTTTTACTCGGTTTGATACGAGATTTGTTGATCAGAAGTAAAGATAATCCGTCGTGTTTACAAGAAGCGTCCTCAGCTTATAAACTATGGATGGCCAGCTTTAATAACGACTCTGAAGGTAATCTTTTTGGAGTATAGACAGTGACTTGTGACAGAGTGTGTGTAGCTACGCCTGACGGGTCAAGAACTTTGTTTATCAAAATAGCGTAAAGGATTTAAAAAATGCGTGAAGTTTCAACAACTCAGTACTATGTAGCAGGGTAAAATAATGGTCTCAGTCATTCAGGTATCAAGTCTTTCATGAGTACGGTTTTATATCAGTTCGAAGAGCAAACTTGATGAATGGTGTTTAAGGCCCTTTGTGACATTTATAAGTGAACCATAAGCCATTTCCGAGTTTCAAAAACTCTCAAGCAAAATCTTTCTTTTTAGAATGAGTTTTATTTGCATGAGAATAAGTAATTCATTTTCGTATCAATAGCTTCGCACTTAGCCTCGCTTTGAAACAGAGGCTTGGGGCAACCCGGAAATGGCGTATTGTCATCAGTCAGTGACTCTATCCCATCATTTAACTTAAACAGGAAGTGATGATACCAGGAATGACATTTTGATTCCAGAGAAGCTCATTGCGCTTCAAACGATGACGGCAGCTATGAAGGACATTTGTGACAGGAACAGTATTTCATCTGCTAGCTCAGGTACATTTATTTATTACTAGGTCTACCAGGGAATGAGGCCTTAGAGGGTAACGTAACGTCAGAGGTCTTGTTAGTTTCTATGGAAGTAGTGGAATAGTAGTGAATTCGTCGTGTGTGATTTTGTCTTTTATTCTTTAACCTCTCTTACTAGAAAATACAGGATATTATAAAGCGAAGACAGAGTTCAACTCTCACCACGTGCTGCTCTCTGGGTTCCTCAACATTGTTTAGTTTCTTGAGGCGGATTTCCTCTGCCTTTTTTGATAGGAGGTTCTTGCGCAACTTTTGTGTCAACCAGCTGAAGCGTTGAGTGTAATTTTTTGAAAAAATTGTGTCGCCATATTTTCTGTCATGTACCAAATATCGACGTCAGGTTGCATAAATTCCGAACTTGTTTGAAAACTCTAAGATAACGCCACAGCAAATCGCACAGTTAAATTCGCTGCTTCTTTTTACCTGCGAATTTCAAGGTGAGCATTAGCGAAACGAAAATGCCTTTGAAAACTGGGAAAAATTGCGCACAAAATTACAAGTGTAAGTAAATAGGCTTGTAGAGACAACGATTGATAATGCCTTCACTAAATTCTGCCTTGGTTTTTTTTTGGTATTTCTTTCGATCAGTTACTTACTACCTCGAAGCTAAATTGTTCTGGGAGCAAACATGAAAACCAACTTGTTCATTCAACTTCCCTAGCTTGCACATTATTTTCCTACCTACTACCTCGAAGCTAAATTGTTCAGGGAGCTAACATGAAAACCAACTGGTTCATTTAACTTCCCTAGCTTACACGTTATTTTCACGGAATTTATTTAATCTTCTCTTAGTATGCTTCTGTACAAGATTGTAAAATCAACCCACTTTACATCGATAAAATCATAGTAGGGATTATTCTATTCTTATTCTATTCTAAGCATTGAGGAAATATATACTTAATTAAGAAAAGTAGAAACTGTCAGTTGTACAAAATTGTTGCCAAAACGCTTTCTTTGCTCTCCTCTCCTTATACAGATACCTTATTAGAAATGTTGCAGTCTTTAAGGTCGAGACTTCAAGCCAATGGTGAGAGCTGTCACTGTGGTGGTCAGTTTGAGTGGGTGGATGGACAGCTTGTAGAGGCCCTCAAGTCTGGATACTGGCTGTTGATTGATAATGTGAACTTCTGCAGGTAAATACGGCAATTGGGGCACACTCTAGCCTACGTCACAGACGGAACTAAACTTCTGTGTCCAATTTAATAAAACTTTTACAAGTGTAATTTACAAGTATGGCTATTTTTTTCAGACGCTAAAACAATAGCTACACTTGTAAATTACAATTGTAAAAATTTTATTAAATTGACCCCTGGTTAAGTCCGTCTGCGAAACAGGGCCGAAATCCTTAATTTAGGCCCCCACCTAGGTATCAGGATTTGAATAAGTGCCATGATCGATTGCCCTGTTAAAAATTCAATCGTCGGTTTGGCAATCGGATTAAAGGGAAATTCGAAACGGATTTCCGATAATTTGTTGAGTCCGTTGGGGGCCCTCAACGATGATCTTGGCGCTGCTTTGCTGACTTTATTAACCGGGATTAAATAACGTCTTCAACACAGGCTATCTGGTGGATTGTCCTAGCTGGACAGACTTATTCTTTTGGTTATGACTCAGTTTAAATCACTTTATTACAACTTATCAGTACTTACAGTTTTCTCCACGGCTTTCATTCCTTGGATTGGAATAACTTCTAAGAATCTAAGCAAAAAAGGAGTCGCTGGTTTCGCATTAGGAGTCGCTTGTTCTTTTTTGATAGACACGTACCAATGTTTTCGTTTATTTCAGTCCATCTGTACTGGACAGACTGAATGCATTGTTGGAGCCTGGAGGGGTACTGACAATTGATGAAAGGGGTGCCATTGATGGTAGTATCCCGTCCATCAAGCCTCATCCGAACTTCAGGTGAGACAGTGTTTGTTATACTTGCTATCCAAAGACTGGTTTAGAGAGCAAGTAGGACAATTGAGGTCCTGTGTGAGCCCCGGCCTATATCTTTCGGGGTCCCCCAGGGTAGCGTACTTGGCCCGTTACTATTTATCAGTTTTTAAATGACTTGCCTCTGGTAGTTCGAGGACGTAGCGTCGAGCTTTATGCTGATGATACTCTTATTTATTTTGCGAGCAAGTCAGTCAGTGAAATTCAAATTCAGTTTACTAGTGGCCTAACTAATGTCCTTAGCTGGCTTCACGCAAATTTTCTAATACTTAATCTTGAAAAAACTGAGACTATGTTGGCGTACTCATCAGAGGACCGCAGCGGCTGAAGATCTGGTGAAAGATAGCAGTAATACGCGCTTATATAGGGATTACAACTTCAAATATCTTGGGGTCCTCCTTGACCACACCCTGTCCTGGAAGGACCATGTAGAGTATATTGCTTTTAAGATCTCGTTTAGATTAGGTATTCTGCGTCGAGCGCACAAGGTTCTTCCCAGATTTACTTGTCCATTGCTCTACAATACTATAGTCTTGCCATTGTTCGTTTTTTGTTCGCCTGTCTAAGACAGTTGTAGGGTTGGGAGCAAATCTTATCTAGGTAAGCTAAACAGACGTGCCGCCTGTGTTATTGAATGTCGATCTATCAGGGCTGACGAGTTAAAGTCGACACTCGGCTGGCCGCCTACAAGCGCGTAGAGACTATCTGACGTGAGTCTTAGTCGATAAATGTCTTCATGGAATGACGCCATTGTACATAATTTCGGAGTTTAGGCACGCGCACCAAGTTCGTGGCTACAACACCAGAAGCCATGATTTGCTGCCTTCTCCTCTTGCGAAAACTGCTAAGTACCAAGGAAGCTTTAGAATAAACGGTGCTCGCACATAAATAGAGGCGCTAAGATTAAGCTCAAACTCCATCTTAGACAATAATACCTGTACATGTTGCCTTGACAACTTAATTTTTGTTGTTTAGTCTCTTTAATGTTTTAATGTCTTTGTTTTTTTGTGTCGGCCTCATTTAAACTAGCTGTTCTAAATTGGATGCTAGGGGATAAATATTGATTTAAATAAAATAGATAAAATAAAATTGTCGATTGTCGAGTGAAGCGAGCTGCGCGAGAACACGCAAGGTACATGGAGAGCTTACTCACAGACTAGGCAATATCCTATGATCAATCGCCATTATGCGACCTCGACTTGGGTAAAGTGGTAAAACCAGGACGATGTAGTTTATGGTATAGGAAACATGTTAAGTTGGAAACATTTGTCATGTTACGTTAGCAAGTTAGTTGTTGTTGTTTCTAGCTGAACAAGTATTCGCCTAATTTTTCGCCCTTTTTTTTCCTTTCCTTTAGACTGATTCTGGCCATGGATCCTAGATATGGAGAAATATCACGAGCAATGCGCAATAGAGGAGTGGAAATTTTCATGTTGGGAGAGGTGGGATTTTAACTTGCGGTATACGTTTTGTCGTGTACAAGTGAGATTATTAGAACGTGGTGAAATGCTGGGTTAACTTTGAAACAATGGTGAAATGTAGTGGAAATAAATGTATGAGTAATAGGAGACGAGGTACAGAAATCACTACTCTAAAAAAGCGATTTCTGTTTTTCGAAACATTTTTTTAATAGGGGGTTTATGACTTAGTGCAGTGTGATAAATACATGTATGACAACCCGAATGTGTGGTTAAACATCCTCTGTGGCTATCGTCCTTCAATGGTTCAGGAGATTAGAGGTAGCTGACAATCCTTTTATTGCCCAAACGTTGTCCAAGACTCGCTGAGGGCAATATGCAACGTATTTTTTGCTACATTTCATGCTTACTGTGAAAGGCGAGGTTTTTGCAAGCTCATTTTAATCCATGTATTCTTAGGAGATCTATCTGTTACTTTACACATCTCACTGTTTTTTCTTTAAGGAGGATGGTGATGTCTTTGATGACTATGATCACCAAATGATGCTGCATGGCTTAGGACTACAGAATACCACGACATGTGATTCTCTAGTCGCCTTTCATAAGCGTTTCAAACATACCTTGGGCGGTAAGCATTTACTTAACTAACGAAATTCCGGCGCTGTATCCCAAAAAAATTGGTTTTATCATCTGCATAGGAAAAGTCATTGTACCAAGATAAAAGGGTTGGAAAGCTGACGTTTCGAGCAATAGTTAAAACACTCGAATCATTGTCTTTTCCACATGTTGAACGGACTTTATATCTACTCCGTCTGTGAATGAAAACGTATGGTGTGATCATTCAAATTGAACGTCTATTTTGCAATATTTTGCGAAATGAAGTTTGAGTTTTTCGTTGAATTTAGATCTTTGAGGGTCCCCAATAGGGTTCTTCAATCCCGTAATCCCGACCAAAAATTTCGTGCAGTTCCTTAATCCCGAGGATTATTTCGGGTCTTTTAACTCGCGCGCATACTTTCAATCCCGAATCTTGCCCGATTTTGCTTTAAAATCCCGAATCCCGAGCTTCAAATAAGGGAAATCCCGGATCCCGAAAAACCTATTGAGGACCCTCATCTTTGGGTAGTAGGGAGTTCAAAAGAACAGTCTCAATTCCGTTTTAATGCAGTTTCTGGCTATGTTAACACCATACTGGATAGCTCTTGCACCGACACGAAAACCACACCAGATAGGGCTTCTAAGAACGGTGATTTCGACGCCCATGGTCATATATCCCATAGGTTTTTGCTACTTCGTCGCAGTGTGAACAGGTATTCGGACCTTAGCGGAAATAAATGAGAAGGAGCGAGGGCTGGAACCCACTGAGACGGAAGTGATTATTCAGAAGATTTATTGCACCAAATCCTCTCGGCCAACCGCTCCGGGACGGTGTTCGATGTGCGGGAGCGACTTGTTGCGGTTCTGTGCCGTTGCCGTTCATACTGTACCTGATATCTTTTCATGTCAGCACGAATGACTATCCGGTATAGAATAGACATAGGGGAGCTTTAGCAAAGGCGTTTTTGAGCGACGCACGTCAACCGGAAGTAAAGGCTTTTCCCTTTTAATATGCCTTGACGCTACAAAAAAAAAGTATTGCTAAGTTTCTTCAACTTTGTAACGACGATTTGCCCGAAAATTTGGGCAAAAGTACTGCCCAAAAATGAAAAAAAAAACACTTCCGGTTAATGTGGTCGCTTAAAAACGTCTTTGCTTAAGCCACCTAAAGCCTTAGAGAGTTAGAGATTGAGTGAAGGTTGGTATCCACTTGTTCTTAATCGATAGCTAGCCTTACTACGGGGTTGTCAGTTAGTAGGAGACGTTTGGACCGTATTTTCGCAGGGAAACGCGAGACCTTTACAAAAAGGACACTTTGCAAATTTTTCAAACTGTTTACCTTTGTCGCTGTTAAGAGTCCAAGGTTTGACTTCAATGTTTTTATGACAGGTTCTGTCCTTGACCTGCTCCATTCAGCATCTCTAACAGTGCAACTCCTTCTGAGGGGAAGTGATTTGCAAGAAGCTGTGTTAACCTCCCTTATGCAAGTTTACGCTCGAAATCAGTCGTCTGAACACAACAAACAGGTAGTATGTTTAATTTTTACCTAGGTTTTCTTGTTCGTTGTCTTTGACGTTCGTCGTTCTAGTTTCTTATGTGAAGTTTCGTTTTAAACATAGTTACCATGGTAATTCTTCTATCTATCCTTCCAACTCAAAACTTGGGTCTTGGCCGACCTTTTTTGAACTTGTTGCACAGCAGGTCCTCGTTAGTACATCAAACCCGCTTCCCCTTTCTACTTTATAAACCGATTGATTGATTGATAAATTGGCCTACTGAATGGCCTAATGTATCCTTGTTAACTTTCGTATAGCACTGTTCTCAGTGCTACATGTGTTTGTAGCCTCTTGCAAAATAAAATTCTGTTTTTTTTTTAATTTAGAAGTTTTACTGAATGCACTCTTTTTTTTTTAAGGTTGCTGAGGAACTCATCAGAAGGCACATCAGTTCATCGGCTCATTCGGAAAATGAAACTCACTCTAACTTGATTCCAGAGTGTTTTCCATCAGCACAAGCGTACCACACAAACTCTGTTGTATCAACTGTTATCTTGCACTCCTTGCCTTTGCTACGTATTCTAAGGAATAACAATTCTGTACTACAACTGGAGGTTGCCGTCTTATTGTTTCTTGAACGATCATCAGTGTACGACTGGAAGCTTAGGCTGGATTATCTTCAGTCAGTGATGGATGTTTTTTTCAGTGAAGGTTCCGTTCAGTGTGTTGATGTCACTACGACTATAAAATCCTTCTTACAAAGTTTTGGTTCGGTGTTTGTTTCCGACCTCATGAAGAATTTGAAAAATGAGATGAAAAATCTGAAGTTCACACGATTTAGTAAGTATTCGTGATCAATATATAACTTATTGAGAATGCCTACTGTCTTATTGCGCTTCCCTCTTTAAATAAAGTTATTGTATTGTATTGTATTGTATTACTTGCCTAGGCTCTCCACATTCAAGTGTACTGTGGGACTCGTTTTGCAGCTACTTTGATAGTTAAATTCTGCCTGATGTCTGTAGCCTTCAACAGCTGTTCGCTTAACCCCGGGTCTAAAGATGCCACTGACTATGAAGGAGCTAACGTTGGTTAATTTCGTGCATAGATTCTCAGATGCTTGATCATTTGCCTTTTGACCTAAGGCTCAACGCGGATCTTTTCAACCACCTCAAGCGATCCTCGGAGAACTCTTCAGTGTTAGATAAAGCATCGGGATTGTCAAACAGGTACTGTAACGTTTGCGATGCATTGGCAATATTTTTTGCCCATTGCAATCAAAAAGGCGTTCTTACGACAGGCCTTCGGACCTTCAGGTCTTAAAGAAACGTTTCTCGCATTCCTATAAGTAAAGGCACTAACTCGAGGCTTTGGTTGACAAAACACAGTATTCTGTATGATTGTTGTCACACAAGTCTCGACTGCGTTTCCTTTTTTCCTTGTGTGTGTTCACTGGAGTGGAATGCGGGAAAGGTCAAGTCAAGGACCTAGTTCTCTGTGCGCCAGTCCGCACATTCTTACTTGGGAAATACTTCTTTCTAGCTAACGCCGGCGGGAGTCGCTAAAACTCCACTGGGGGAACATACTCAACCTGTAGGGATTTTACTGAGATCCTTAGTTACTCTCAGATGTTTGCCTTCTGTCCGGAGGTGCCCACACAAAACCTTTAACCACTGTCTTCGGGCACAGCCCAGGGAATACACATTCCCTTACCCGGTCCCTGAGATAACCTTCAGTTTTAAACTGGTGCACCGCGAGAAGGTAGTTATCTAGGAGCTAGGTGATCGGAGTATAGAGATTAGTCACCCTTAACACCACACCTGAAAAATGTAGAAAATTAAAAAAAAAACAAAACAACAAAGCAAAACAAAGAACAAAAGCAAAATAGAAAAATAGAAAATAAAAGAAGGGGAAGAGACGGGAAATAAGTGATATTTGAAGAAAAAAGAAAGCCGCCTGTTTACCTCTGCATTAACTGCTTTCAGATATTTTTCAGAGCAGAAGGCAGCGTTTTTCACGATTTTGCCTTGCGTAAAAGCCGTGGCTGCTGCCTACAAACACAGTCCTTCGAGCAAGGTCTAAGGTTACCTCACAATACTTTGAAAAAAAAAGAAGAAATTTATTCAAATCACTTACTAGGAAAACGATTTGGGAGGCGTGGTAGGGTGGATTTGGAAAACTGTACCTACCTCTGCTTGAGGGCGAGAACTCATTAAATATATACTGCAAATAGGGAAGATCATGCAATTAAAAGTTTGGGAAAATGTTTTTGTCTTTTTCAACATAGGTTGTCTTTACTGGAGAGTGAAGTGAGACGCCGTTGTCATGAGGTTTTTCCCACAGAGTTACCCGCACGGAATTTGATTCAACTCTCTCGTTCTTTTCATTCTGGTGAGATAAATAAGTTTCATATATTCAACACCAAACCTATTCTCAGGATCTATTTAAACGCTTGTGCGTTTTTTAAAGGATTAATTGCTTGGCTCAATCAATGCTTCATTTCCGTAAATGATTTACCAGGCTTCCTCTCTCTAATAGACGCCACCTCTACGCGATGTTAAGTTTGTATTAGGCACGCTTCTCTCAAATAACCCCCCCTCCCTTCTGTCTAATAGATGCCCCCCTTCACACGACGGTTACTCCAAAATGCTAGGAATTAGCAAAAGAAGCAAAATCATTGAACTTATTCAGTTTCTTCCTTGTTGATGAACGGCGCTTGCGCATGTTAAACGCCCCATCTTGGTCCCTTAAAATTAAATAGATACCCTATGCGTCTGTTAGATCATTTACAGTAACTAAACTGTTGCATTCTGTGTATTATTTACAGGCCAGCTGCAGCAGGAGTCGTTACCGCATCCAGTTGTTGTTCATCTTCTGCCCCTTTTTGAACTACTGTCGTCTTTCTTGGAAAAAGCCATTTGCCAAGTGGAGTCATTAGATGACAATCACTACTGGATGGTAAAATCAATAACTTGACGTAATAATGCGGAAGTAATTACTATAGCTGTCTTAACCGATACACAATTATGGGTTTCAGACAATCCTTCTGTAATATCATGCGGTTCTTTCATCTTAATCATGTTAATTTCTCCATTCAGGGGCAGACACTCATGACGCAGTTTGTATGTGCAGTTTGTTACTCTTTCCAGATAATTTTTAGTTGTCTGTAATTATATTGGGTTTGTTTTGATGTGTTATGTGTCAAGCTGTTATTTTACGATGGAATTTCACCTAGGCTATAGTTGTAAAATTCTGTCTGGATTAGTTCTTTAAAAGATCTCTAGTTAGACTTTCTCGACGATGACATCCGATGTATCCAATTCCTCCTGCTTAAGTTTCAACTGTTTTTGAATATTGTGAAACCTTGACTTTTTGTTATAGTACAGCTCCCAAGCATATGTGATGTTTGTTTATATTAACGTTCCACGATCTTTTCATTTTGCTAACTAGTCTTTCTTTCTCATAGGTTACTGACGGCCTTGAGTGGAGCGACAGATTACACAAGATCTGTGAAAAGCAGACAAGCCAGACTTTCTCCATCTCTGCTATTTCCCTGCACTGGAGTTGGGTTGTGCAAAATACAATCAACACTTTAACAAAAGCATTTAGCGTTGAGTATGTTGCTGAGTTATGTATGTTTTTTGTTAGGTGAACGATTATCTCTCTCTTTCTGGGACTGTTTATTTTTGCATCGACTTTTACGGTGATGTGTGTCACTGGATAACAGATTTTGCCATCTTATCTATTAGCAAATCTGTACCGAAATCTGGTATATATGTTGTAGTTTATTTTTTTATCTCTTTTTTATCTCTATTTGTTTCAACTTCATTAGCATACATTACCATACCCCAAAACAAAAGAAAAACAAAAATTACCTGAGATAAAAAATTAACTACAACATACGTATCAGGTAGGTTTTGGGAGTGAGTCAATAACTCCACCCATCTATTTACGTTTGCTTCTTTTAAAAGGGGACCTTTTTAGTCGGATTTACATTGAGATTTATTTTGGGTTATGAAACGAATAAATTATGCATGGATGTCTTCTTGTGTTTTTCTTTAGACAATTGCCGAGCGACCTTTTGACAGTCGTAAATCACTTGAACAGTATTTTGGGAGTAGACAGCAGACTGGCGGAAGTAAATTTGACGATTCTGGCTGCATATGGGCATCCTGCTCCATTTAAGTCAAAACTGTCTTACCAGATCTGGGTATGTGTTGTGACCATGTATGATTTCTCGTGATGTTATTGGAGAAATGGTGTGCATTTGGCGAGAACTTGTGGAAAAGGAATTCTTGGTGTCGGCGAAATGTTGCAATAGAATAGTGTCTAGTGTTTTATCTTTCCGAATGAGGATCATTTCAAGTTTCTGGAGGCGAGAAAAGCCACCTGAAGCTCTAGCCATGTTCACTGCTTGTGGTTTGCTTCCTAGGAAAAATTGTGGCGTCTTTGCCAGAGGATTGATTCATGTCAGAAAAAAAAGCAGGGTGATGAAATTGAAGAGAAGCTGCATGAAGCGAAACGAAAGCTAACAGAAGCTATTGTTGATATGCTAACAAAGAAAATAGAGGTTAAAGAAGATCTGCAATTTGGTAAGCTTACGCTATTCCTTCCGTTTTTTAATTGTCAGCCATGCAGCATTTTCACATTGCCCATGATACACCTTGTTTTCCTCGCAAAAGGTTAGGCATAACTATTGTGTCCAATTGCTACTGAGTTTTACAGTCGTCCCTAGGGAAATTGAAGACGATGCATAATTATGCAAATCGTTTTTAGCTGAGGGGAGTGGTGGAGTGAAAATGGTGAATTGCAAAGTGAGCCTTAGAGCGCTTTCCATTTGTCAGAGCTGGCTGGCCAGACTATTCCCTTTGTAATGAGAATTTCGCTTGTAATCAAAACTGTCCAGCCAAATCAGTCAATTCCTAAATAATATGCGCGGGCCAGTTCTCACTTTGGAAAGCACCTTAAGAGAGATTTAACCTTTCCTTATTTTTCTCTAACTTTTGAGCAGTGGCGTTAAAACACGCTATAGGTATTCTGAAACTCACCTGTGAATTTTGCTGTCTAGATTCTTTACTTACCAATCTTGAGAAAAATAAAGTATTTGCGGAAGATGTGACGTCGCCATCGGAAGACTCTGCAGAACTGGAAATGGATCTTGAAAGGAACACAGTCACGAGTCATGTGAGAATGAAGCGAGTACTTTTGGCGATGTTTGACGAGCTTTATGGTTGGCAGGAGCATGTGGTCCTAGGAACTTTGATGTCGGGACTAGCAAATCAAATGGCTTGCCGGTTAGTTTTACTTTCGAAAAATTTCTTTGCTTTATTTGTTACTTACAATCATCGCTAGTTTGATTTAGAAGATAATGAATTAAGATACCAACTCAGAACACAACACATAACATAGATGCGGCCTGTTGTTGAAAAACAACGTAAACCTTCAGTTTTCAAAAACCTAATGTCATAATACAAAATGTTGTGCACAGTAATTCCGCAGTCGAGTTCATTATTTGGGAGTATAAGGATTTGCATTTGTCTGGATTCTTGTGTTGGTATCCTGTTCACTTCATTCTACCCCTGGTCACAAAATTTACATCCTGTCTTCGAAGGACTTATCCCCATTTACTAACACGGTTTATAGATAAACGGTGTCATGTCTCAATGTCATGCTTTGTTCCAGCGTGCAGTAATCCTATACTTTCAGTAAAGCTAATTTATTGTTCTGAAAATTAAGGGAAAACTTCCAGAAGGCAGACGTCGTAGAGGAAAAGTTGAAAGCAATTACAACATATCGAATGAAGAAGAAAACTTCATGGAACCCAGAAACACAAGCCCACTACCAACACCTGTGGCGTGCACTGCCTACAGTAAGCCCATTTCTCTTTGGTCGGGTCAGTTTCGTCTATAAGCTGTGGGATTATTTTCACGAGTGGAACAAGCCATTTGTAAATCCGACAGCCAACAATCACATCCAGTTGGTTAAGGATAATTTTGTAGCCTTGATGAAATTATCGAAACTTTACATCATTAGAGTAGTTTTTGCTTCTGAGTCTTCCACTGATGTTTCAAGTAGTTCACTGAGTCTTTATCTAGTACAATACCAATGTGCGAATAGCTAGTCAAAAGCTGCCACACTCCCGCATTGCTGCTTTGCAATTAATAGTATACATAATCTAACTATACAGGAGAATTTTGTATTTCTTGTTGCAACTTTCTGTTTCTGTTTTATCATTTAAGGAGGACCACTTCATTAGCAACTTCTGTCTTATCTTTCAACCAGTGGAGTCTAAGCTACTGTCTAACTACTTCATGTGTAAAAGTCATACTCTATGGATGCAGAACAGCCAGGAAAAATGCTCTTTAACTGAACAGGTAATCATTTACAGGGTTCGAATGGGTCATGGAAAACCTGGAAAATCGCAAAATTCAAGAATTTTATTATCAAAGCTTAGAAAGTCACGGAATTTTGTTGTCGGTCATGGAAAATCATGGAAATTGAAGCCATGTTTGTTAGATTAGACACTGCAGATGTCAAAGCAAGGAAAATAAGACAGACAAGAAATCAAACGTCGCGAACGACAGGCTTTTTGGTGAAGTCCCAAGTTTCTCTGTTTGACTGAGTTAGGCCAAAAAAATGTCCTAAAAAGGGATAGTTTTGAAACTTGTCGAAAGCGACAGCTAAACCGAGGGTCCTGGAAAACTGGAAAAAGTCGGGGAATTAGGAGCTAAAATACTGCGAACTCAGATTAAGGTTTGTTATCTGAAAGGTACGTACATTTTGGGAAACCTCTGAGAAGGTTCGTGTCTGTACCGTAAACAAGTGAAATGTCTGCTCCTTGGCATTCTTAGAAACAGCAGAGTTGTAGCCAGTTATTTTCCTTAGCTGTAAACACTTCGTGTACGAATTTAGCTAACACGTATCAAGTAGGGATTAGAAAAAACAAAACTTTAATCATACCACTTCGTGTGCTAAGTGGTTTTGATTGTTTGATTTCGTTATAGGGTGTTGACGAGAAGGAGTCAAGGGTTCATGGTCTTTTGGGTGGAGTTCAAAGTCTGTTACATAACATGGCATCCAGAAATTTCGTTGCAGAGACACACAGTCCTCTATCCTCCCTGACTGTTAGGAACTATCATGAAAACATTCATCAGCTACAAATGCTCTCCAAACACTTATGGGTCAATGGGGACTTCCTCGATAACCATTATAAAGTAGAACAGTGAGTCTTGATACTGTTTATATCCTGCAAACAAATTCGGAAGGTGGACGTTGTGAAATTGATGGGGGCAAGATCACCATTGTCTTCCCTGCCTTCGTCTGTTAATCATTGTTGTCGACATCATTGTATTGTCGTCAGTGTCATTCGGTATTAGGAAGCTTAGGCAAATACTTTTTTGGGGGACGTACGTCAACTGGAAGTGGACATTATGTATCCTTGGGCTGGGGTTCTGCCCATATTTTTGGGCAAATCCTCCCTAAGACACATTTAAGCGGAAAAGATCTCACTTCCGGTTGTCGTGCATTCCTGAAAAAGTGGTTTGGGCATGTATAAGAGAAGCTGAAAACAAAATCAAATGGAGGGAAAGGGTTGCTATGTCCATGGCGCCCCAGCGGTCACCATGACTGTGGGATAGATGCAATGTGCCCAAAAACGCCCTTGCTTAAGCTCCTTATTACTGTCTCAATTTTTGACTTTTAAAACATTATCACTTGAATTTACAGAAAATCCAGTACAGAGTTGCTTCAGTCCAAGTTTATTCAAGTTTTACTGTCATTGAAAGAGATCCTCCCTCCAAATCATCAGCAGAGCCTTGTTGATGCCGTTAAGAGTTTCGTTGATGCCATTGAACACGACAATAAAGTTATGAATGTCATTGATGGAGTGGAAAGTGCTATAATCAATGCGGTCGACAGCTACAAGCAGACCACTGGACATATCACTCAAGCTGATTTGATTTCCACCCTTTTCAACGAGTGCCTTGAAGGAATTGCTGCTCTCCAGGACCGGCCATCTGAAGGTAAAGTTAGTCGTTGGAAAAACATGATAACCTTTGTCGAATGGTAATTGAGCCATCTTCTTAGCAGACGCATCGTATTCTGAGCTAGTCTGACCTCTAATAACAGCCATAAATGTTAATTTAAAGATTGTTAAACGGACGCTGTTATTATTGTATACCCTGACGAAGGCAGCATTGCCGAAACGTCGGTCAAGATTCTTATAATAACAGCGTCCGTTTTACAATTTTTAAATTAACATTTATAAGTACTACTCTGCGCAGGTTTTTCAATCTCTACTAATGGCCACCTCTCGACGGCCACTTTGTGGCGGACAGTCCATACATTGACTCTTGTTGAAACCTCTGTGCGATGGCCACCTCTCTACCACGGCCACTTTCGTCTGTCTCCAAGATGGCCGTTGAGGAAACGTTCAGCTGTACTTTCAGTGTTGTTACATTTCTCGAGTGTACTCCAGTTTTGCTAAATTTGGTTTCAGTTTGCAGATTAAGTTGATTGGGAAGAAGACTTCAATTGATCGATTACCTAATAGCTCTAGAATCATTGGTGTTAATTACCCAAGACATCATGCGTGTAGTGTGCATTTTCCCTCTAAAAGGGGATAAAGGGAAAACGTTCAAGGTGTTACGTTTTTTAACAATCTCTCTTGTTTTGCCTAGATGCGAATGAAATGTTATGGAATGCCATTTGTCTTGGTACTTTGTGGGTGAAACTTGGCTTGATCCACTCTTTGCTACTGTGCCCAGTTGGAACTGTAGATCCTGTGGAGAGGATCGGCGTTGAGCTCCAGCATGTTAATGACATGGTAATTACTTGCTAAGGTCGCTCTAATAGACCAATTTTGATATATCAAAATCACACTTGCCAACGTGTCTTGGGGTAATAAAACAAAAGAAATGGATTATTCATTCCTGAGTTTTGTTTTGCTCCCCCAAGCCTCGGAGCCGAAGGTGAATTTCAATGTATCGAAATTGGTCTTTTGTTGTTAAGGTTTTCAGGTTGGTGGGTCTTTGTTTTTTTGAAGTTATCTCCTGTCACTTTTAATTGCACCAGACTCGGCTGATCTTTTTTTGTCTACAGATTGTAAGAATAGAGGAAGAATTGAAGGTTAGATATGATGCTGAAGAGATGTGGACTGGGTTTAAGACTAACCTTGAGAATCTAGAAACGCTGTTTGCAAAAGAGGCCTTACGTACATCGCAGTTAACGTCAAATCCCTGCAGAGTCTGGTGGCTGTTGAAAAAGCTAAAAGAACTCAAAGAACAACGACATGCTCTGGAAAAAAACTCGGCTTTCAGACCATTAGTATCCCAGGTGAGCGCATTAGTAAAAAAAGTCAAGGTAAATTAGGCTTCCCGCTTTTGCAACTTAGAAGAAGGGCATAGTTTGAACTGCTGCACTGAATCCAGATATTAGTTATTAGAGACCTTAAGATACACTGTTTTTACGGTACAGGTAAATTACCCGTAGCTGGAAATACGGCTCAACGTTAACGTTTACGCGCGATGCTTCATTCGTTACTTCTATTTTATTTACGCGCATAAAATTTGCATGGTTACCCACGAAAAAAATTACCCGACGGTGTAAAATCCACCTTACCCTGGGAGAAACCAGGTAGAACAATGATGCCAGCATCTGGGAAATCATGTTTTCCATATACGTAACTACGTAGCAAACACGTCCGCCTAACCCCCCTTCCTATTTTATGTTTTCTTTTTTTAAACTGATAGTTTGAGGCTATTATTGCTGAAGTCAGGCACTACATGCAAACCGTAGGAGATACTGATAGTATTATCACTCTATTGGACTCCATGCGTGAGCTGGCATCACAGATCTTCACGTGTCTTAAGGAGGGCGCAGGTGAAGGTGTTAGTACAGTATATACTGCTATTCACAAAGCAAAAGCATGGTATACTTCGGCGAAAAGATTTGTCCAACATTTGATGAAGGAGTATCCACTTTACTATGATCTTCTGCTCCCTTTTGTTGCCGGTATTTGCCAAGTAAGTGAATTTTGCGCAAATATAGTACTCAGTCTCGTTATAGTAATCTGTTTAGTTATTCTCCGCTATTAAAAATCACTCTGCACACTTCGTAGGACTATTAGAATTCATTAACACGATTGCTATCTGAAATGGGACTGTGGAAGTATCAAGGCTCTCCCATTATTAGATAGTGCGATGAATAAGATTTTTTAATTTTACTTGTTTTAGGTTTTGCACATCTTTCTACTACAGTAATAGCCCGCGTATAAGAACCTGAATTTTTCAATTTAGCCTAAATAGGATCTTATATAAATGGTACCTAAAGCAAATTTAGGCTATCCAGGTTCTTAAAATAGGTTCTTATATTTTCATATGAATTTCATCTGAATATACTATATATATTATAAATATCATCTGATAATACAGTATAAATCATTTATTTGTACCATAGAGCAATGCCTATAGGCAGTTCAGTGCAGGTACAGCATATGTCTTTAAGATGATGATCTTAATTCAGCAGTTTCTACCTATACACTTTTACAGCAACCCCACTGATAAGAACCGAACTTAAAATTTTAGCCTAAATAGGTTCTTGTGTGGAGAGGGCTTAAAATGAAAATTTTAGCCTAACAGGTTCTTAAAACCCAGGTTCTTATACGCGGGCTATTACTGTATTTAGACTTTTTTTAACACTTCTTACAAAGGGTTAGCAATTTTGGATTCTTGCCTTCTGCTTTTGTTGAACCCTCACATTACCTCCTATATTGAATGGTTATTTGCATTATATTATGAGACTTTTAAAAAATTAAACATTGTTCTACTTTTCTAGTTCGTCGAAGTTAAAGCTTGGGTTATCATCTTTTCCTTACCCCAACACTCCCTTGTATTCTTCTATTTTAGTGACATTGCCTGAATAATGTCGGGTTGAGTGCTTAATTTCGCTTTTTCATCTTTAGGTTATATATGGAATGTCCTTGATATCAGCAAGGCTATCGACTTTGAATGATGAGTGTAAATTTTGGGTTCAGTTCCCACTGAATGTGAAATCAAAGGTAATTTTGTCCAATAAACAAAGCAGTCTATAACAAATGCATCAACTTTTGTCAACACGCCATCCTGGTATTCTTTCTGTGACCCTATGTTTCAACGGGTGTGATGCGCAAGCGAAGCTATTCTCGTCGGCTTGTAATGAATACAACCACATTTTTAGCCAGCTTTCAACTCCTTTAACCAGTTCTTACCTTGTCATTGGTTACCAATTTTCCTAACCACAAGTCTTTGTACTGTATCATTCCACCCCACAGATAAGTGGGCCAGGCGAGGCATTAGCGACGTTGTGTTACTCACCTACGTCACGTTCGTCTTCACCTCTTGATGCTGCAGTTTCCTTGATGTCCCCTTCCGTACAAGGCTGTGTTCAAGGTAACGGTTTGACGATATTTTTGTGTACTTCTTACATAGCTAAGTCTGTGTGCCTTAATGTGAACGTAAATTAGCAGTAAAACTCTGTAAGTTTTATGTAAGACTACAGATGATGGGTGTTGAGAGGCTGTGCTGTTACATAACTGCGTTCGACGCCGAACAGACTGGACGTAATACAGACTGGGGCAAGATTGTGCGTGGCAACCGTTCATGGTAGATTGAAGGAATCTTGGGACCCGCAACTTGAATCCCTTTAAATTTTGCTGGGAAGAATGACATCATCAAAACTTGTCTAAGAAAAGAACACCTGCGGTTAAGATGGGTTAATCGCGCTAATTTTTGTCAGTTTCTTCTGTTTTTAACATGGAAGCTATTGCTATGACGATTTATGGTACTTCCTCTTTATTACAGCATTGGTTAAATATCTCCAAGACGATAAAGTGGCTGCTTCAGTGTCTTCGCACCTGTCATACAGGTTTGGGAATCTAACGGTTTTTTAATGATCGATTTGCTCTGTATTTAATCGGTCGCCGAGAGTTCTCTTTAATCGCTGTGAGGCCTTGTCGAGATCTCTGTGACATTATAAAGCTCGCCGACGGCTAGATCTCGGCTAAAATTTTGCGTGGTTATAACGTTGGATAGAAAGGGAAAAATTAGACCTCTGTTTTTCTCCCGTGCTAGCGCACATGCTTACTTTAACGGCTTATTCCCTTGTGTGAATATTTTCAAGTTTGCATTTTTAAGAGGATCGACTTGCTTTTCAACGACCGAGGTTTTTTAAATAATTTTTTTTTCTTAATAATATCTTCCCTTAGAATTCTACGACTTTGTCTACTTCTTGTGCGTAATCACTCAATCCAGCAAGGCTTCGTCGATGTTAAAATTCGCCGTGCATTGAATTCGATTCTGAAAGTTTTCCTTGAAAAGTGGAGAATCTTCAAAGAGAAGGAAAAGGAAAGGGAAGATGAAGAAGGAAGTCTGTTCAAATTCAAGAATAAAAGTCATGGCCCAAGTCTGAGTGAAGATGAAGAAAATAAACAGGCTGTGAGCAAAGCCTTTCCAAGTTTCGATAGAGACTTCAAAGACATCATGGCTTCACAGGATTTGAATGAGACTGGAAGCATCGCTGAGGAAGAAGTCGAGCCATCTCAGCATTCACCTGTCTCGGATGTGGAACTGTTCATGGCAAATATGACTGATTTTTCTGAAATAACAAAAGTTCACGAGGAAATGTACTGTCGTTTGCCATCTAATCGAGAGGTCTGTGTAGAGAGAAAGGACTTCTTTTTTCAGGACTCCGTGGACGCATTGTATTTGGAAGCTTTGCAGTGGAGCTACCGAACATCCGCAATTGTGAATACAATCATTCCTTGTAAGTTATTATACAGTATCAGTTTTCATGATCTGAAATCAGTGTTACACCTTTTACTATCGTGGTTGACAAAAATTTTCTTTTGAGAAACATTTTCGACCCGGGCGTGGATTTGTATTCCTATAGAAACAAGTAGCGACTAGATCATAGCGTACCAATCAGTATGGCAGATGTGAGGTAATGCATCTGTTTTCTTGGTTGGAATTACTCTTACACTTTGTACTATCGTGACATAGTGCGTTTTCTTTTGACATACATTTTTCGACGACAATGGGTGTGGATTTGTTTCCTTTTAGGAACAGGTGGGGACGAGATCAGAGTGCACCAACCAGTATGGCATATATAATTTAATGGATCAGTTTTCATGTTTTAGAACTTCACCTCATACTAGCGTGGTAGAGTACTTTTTTGAGAAACGTTTTGGTACTTTTTTAGAACAATTTTTCGGCAACCTTGGGTGTGGATTTGTATTCCTGTAGAAACAGGCAGAGACTAGACCGTAACGTATCAATCAGTATCGCAGATGTTCTATTGGTTAACCAAGATGAAATATCAACAACCACTTACAATATTTTGTCAAAACTATCGGTATGTAATTTCTTTTTTGTCGCTTTGCAAAAATATTTCCCTTTTATTCAGGGTCGCCTGTTGGGGATCAGCTATCCTGGTCACATCTTTTACAAAGTTGTATTTTGAAAGGAGACTTCCAAGCGCAGAATAGTATAAAGGTAAGAGAATCAAACTGTTGTCTTACACATGGTGAGATTTTTTTTAACTTGTTCTTTTTCTTCTGCAGCAGCAACAACGACACTCGCTAAATGCTCCGTCTGGGGGAGGTGAAAGCATCCCTTTCAATATATATCATGACTCTAACATTCAAGAAGTTGTGAAGGTGAAACCAATTCTTCAGGATTTCATTGCTCGTGTTCAGGGACTGTTAGCAGAGTGGCCTAGGCATCCTACTCTATTACAGGTAAAAACATTTTCACATACTTTCTATATAACGGATTAATCATCTTCTTTGCCTCTTTATCCCTTCTCCACGAGTACATAGCTTGTGCAACGTGTTTATCGGCGTAATCAGGCGCATTTTAGCTTATCGAGCTCAGCCAGGTATCTTTTGGCCTCTCGGACCACCGTTTGCCAGATACAGTGTGTAGTGTCGTGGTGTCAAAGGAAGGAGTTCAAGATCTAATTATATTCGACAGGGGGACTAGCTTCAAGAGACTGTAAAGTAAGGAAAAATTATCATAAGTTGATTTTGTTCGAAATATTTGTGTGCGACCGAGAAAATGTAAAACTACGACTTACACAGTCCATTATACAGCAATTGTTGCCAGGTAGTCTTTTTTTGTCCCTCACGTCTGACTGTGAATTTCTAACAAAAATTGTGCAAAATATGAAAAAGCCCGTCGTTTTTGCCCAAAAGTGAAATATCCACTTTAAACTAAGTAGTGTAGTAGGGAACGAATTATCCTTTGTTGAACTGGAATCGCACTTATATAGTGTGAAGTCGAATACATTAACGCCGATGACGCCATTGCCTTTTGTCGTTTAACAGTTGCTTCATGCCTTAACGTGGGTTATTATGTCGAGATAAAAAAGCACGCAGGAAGTTTCGTGAGCACGAAAGAGGCGTAATACTAGCCTCTTGAGATCTCCCGAAACTTTCCAAGTGCTTCATATCTCGACATACGCACAGATGAAGCATAAGCTGATCATTTTATAACGTCAATGCGTTCAATGCTGCAGTTGAATTTTTATCATTATCGCTAGCGTTCTAAGCAGTCCGCGTTAATGTCTACGTGTGCATATATTTTTTTCTATCTCATAGTTATGGTTTGACATGTTTTTATCTTAAAACTGAGAGAAAGTTTGCTGAAGTCCGTTACGGTAACATTCGAGGTTTTAGAATCCATATGGAGATGGAAAACAATAACTTGACCGAAAAGTCTTTTAGAGTGAAAAAAAAAGGTCCAAAGAATAGTTTGCACACACCATAGCTTGCAAAGTTCGCACAGATGACTTTTCCCCACTATAATTCAAACGTTTTCTCTTAACTTTACGTTATAAGACACATGGTAAACGCTTTATGGTGTGCTATTGAGTTATGGATGCACTTAGTAAGATTCCTAAGCTCAAACGAGCTCGAGGTATTAATTCGTCGACGTCATCTGCGTGCTCAATCGGAATATGAAGCACGCTCGCGCTATTGAATTTAATTAGGCGACTAGTCTAGATATGTTAAATCTCATGAATAAAATAATGACGCTATGACATCATCGGTGTTAAAGTATTCCACTTCAATCTGATGAGATTCACTATTAAAAACGGATAATTTAGTCCCTACTTGACTACTAGTGTAAACTTTTTATCTCGCTTCTTCACGCCGCCCTGGACAATCTCAGTTGACTTAGTTCTATCTGTTTTCTCAGCTAGATATGATCTAACAATAATCGTGCAACTTCATCATGGAGGGTCCATGAATTTACTGTATGTTTTGTGTTTGACACTTTTAACTTTTGCAGCTGGTAGAAGTGACAGAGAGGATTTTGTCTTTTCCCGTCACAAGTCCGGTCATGAAGATTCTAACAGGTCTTGAAGTTCTCCTAAGAAAGGCTCAGGTAAGTTAGTGTCCTTCTAATCTGTTCGTTGTGTCTTTACGCGACGCTTCCTGTGGAGAGAGATGTTTGTTATACTCGTTCTCGTTAAAGTAGTAGGAGTAGTATGTTCTTTTCTTATTCTTAAAAGAGGTGATTAGTCGGTCATTTCTCAAATGTTAAGTTTCTAAACTATGCCTTTAAATTGTGCTACAGGACTGGGAGTCAAATGCCGCAAAGCATGTCAGCCTTAAAGACCATTTGGATAGCGTGACACAGCTAATAATAGAGTGGAGGAAAATGGAGCTCAAGTATGAATCTTCATCTGTCTACGATAAAATTAGCTAAGTGTCGTAAAATATGGCACGTTAATTTTCCAGATAAAGGTATGGGAGCTAAAGAGCTCAGTATATAAAGGATAGGAGACGTGTTTTATTAAGTTTAAAAAAACGTCGCCCTAAGACTTGAAAAGAAAGTAACACGAACTGCTAGTTTAGAATCATAGGCCTCTTGCATTAGCATCATTCCTCGTCTGTTCATTCTTTCGATAATTGTTGTTTTTTATTATTTTTCGCGAGAAAATTGGTTCGAAAAACTTTGCCTCGTTTTTAGAGATTTAAAGGCGATCGTGAGATTTTAATTGATGCTGTGTTTTCTTCGTGGATTGTTAGTGAGGTTTTTTTAAATTTTTGTGAGTTGCGCTCGTATTACCGTGTCATTTGGAAATTAGTGCGTCTGTGATAAAAACTAAAAATTCTGGCAGCATTTCAAGTCATTTGTTTGCTTTGCTGTAGATGCTGGTCATCTCTGCTTGATGTGGCTACTGTCAAATCAGCTACCAAGGCCAGTCAGTGGTGGTTTCACATTTACAACTCATTAGAACAGTTCAGAGCTGATGTTCCACCGCAAGAAATCACCGGTATGTAACTTTCTTTTTTGAGGTCATGTTTTACTCTAAAATTGTTAAGACAATTTGTCTTCAAGCCTCCTTGTGTTAACCTTCCCTAGTTAGAAGTTCCCTCCATGTAACTTTAGGTGTCGTTTGCACATTACCTTTAGGACTTTTCTATGTTTGGTAAAACAACAAGACGCTTTTAAAGCGTTAAGTCGAGCTTGCTTGGAGATAAATAAGAAATGAGGAGACGATTAATTCGTCCATGCCATTAGCAAAGCTTTGCTCTTTACAAACACTTTGCAGAGGACTCAATGTGTTATCTTCTAAATTAAGACTTTTTAAACGTCATTACAAGAGCGTTATTGAGTTGAAGTTAGAAAACACATGCATTTTGAATACTTATTAACTTTTTTCCGCAAGGCGTATGCCTTTGTTTTTCAGTTCTTGCAACAGCTTTACTATAGTGTTACTAATCGCGGTATGTTTATGATAGACTCCTTTATCGTCTAAATGTCAATTTAAAATGCAAAATCGACGCTGTTCGAAAGAGTATTAACCGACGTTTCGGCAATGCTGCCTTCTTCAGGGTACAAGACTAAATACCCTGAAGAAGGCAGCATTGCGGAAACGTCGGTAAGACTCTTTTGAACAGGGTCGATTTTAGAATTTTCAAATTAACATTGAGTAGCTACGCTGCGCAGGGAATGTAATCTTTATTTCACAAGTTTCTTTACCGTCTATCTTGCCAACGTCAGTTATTGATCGCGAAATTTCGACCGCAACGTACTACCAGTCTCCATCAAGTGATCTTTGCTCAGACTAACATTTGTTGTTTTTATAGGCGTAGACCATAGTGCCAGTGAATTGATTCAACCATTTCAAAGATTCATTGAGAGCTCTACACTTGGAGAGTTTACCTCTCGTGTTCAAATGTTATTCACTTTCTACAAAGAGATGTGTAATGAAGAAGGTAGAACTTCTACATTGGAAGGTAAGCTGTGACCAGTTAATAAAACGCCTTGAATAACAGCTAGTCCTTTTTGATAACCTCTAAAATGATACATTTAGATTAGATTCTAAAAATTAATGAGAGTAACATTATCCTCTCTTATGTATTGTGTAATTGAATAGGTTTAGAACAGAAGATTGGTCGGTTTATTATAGTGGTGCATCAGTTGCCACAAAGCAGAAGACGCACTGAACGTTTGCTAAACTTAGCTAAAGACAACATCATTTTTTTTTCAGTGAAAGCATCAGATGTGCTGTGGAACCTGTACAGCTATTACAAACAGTTTATTCCATGCATTGAACAATCTCTACAAGAAGCGAGGAAACCGATTGAAAAGGAACTTAAGGTTTGTTGTGCACGTGAGCAATATAGTAAGAGAGAAATTAGCCGCCTTTTTCCAGAGAAACACACGATTTTTGTTTTGTTTTACCTAGTAGCATGTTTTTGGTTTTGTTTAGTTTCTCTATTTATTATCTTGTTATATTTTATTTTAGGATTTTGTCAAGATCGCTAAATGGAACGATTCTAACTTCTGGGCTATGAAGCAAGCTGCTGACAAATCGCATCACACACTGCACAAATTTGTGCGGAAATACGAGGTGCCTAATTTTACCTAATGTAACCACATATGAAGTGTTGCTTGAGTAAACTAGTTTAGAAAGTTTACAATTAAATTTTTTCAAATCTTGGAACACTTCTGCCTGTGGCAGAACTGTTATAAATGCTTCACAGCTGATTTTGAACGTATACCATTTCTTGAAACCACTGAGCTGCTGCCATTATATATGCAGAGTGTGAAGAAAATTCTTGTGATGGTTGCCACAGGTCAGAAAATGGCCAGAGGAAAAAACTCTTTAATGTCAGGGGGTTAGGGAATTTAATTTAGGGTTAGGGAAAATTTAAGTCTTTGAAAGAAGTCAGGGAAAAGTGACATTTTAAGGTTACATTTTTTTTTTCCTTTCCCTCAACTTTATTGTTGTCCAACACTTATATAATATTTTTGTGCATTTTACGGACTTGAAACATGTTGTATTGGTAGAATATTGTTCATAAAAATTGAACGACAAACGGATGTTGGGTTTTCGAGAAAATCAATCCTTTTTGCACGTTATGCTTAGGAACTATCAATTCATGTACAGTGCATGTGACTTGCTGTAAGGATTAATTAATGGGTAGAGAGGATACTGTTAGAGAGCCGAGGGTTGAGTCCATTATCAGGACTAATTTGTGAAATCGTTAATTCAGTTGGTCAGGGAAATTTTACATTTTTTCAGTAAAAAGTCAGGGAGAAGTCAAGGAACTTCAGAAACCTCTTGCTAGGGCTACCATGCTTTTCTTCTCTTTGTCGTATTTCTAACTTTCTTCCTTTTTTTTATCTTCTCCTGCAGTCGTCTCTTGATCAGCCAGTGGAGAAGACCTTGATGAATGTAAAGAAGATTCTTTCCTCATCCGAAGATAACAAACTTCAAACCAGTGAGCAAAAAACCCTCAAAGCTGAATGGTTCACATCCCCTGATCACTTGAAGGTGAGTGAGTAAAGATTTTACCGTGGGATAATGTTACTGAAGTTATTTCTAACCCCAATAGACCTCTTTGTTAATGGCGCCCCATATATTTATTCTTTCATATTTATATAAGTGAGCCTTTCTGGTCTCGTTTGAAAGTAAGAATTCTTTTGTATCATGGACATGCTAACCAAGTCAGAAAGGCTAATAATCATACACAGAAGAAGCTTAGGGCCTCTTCACATGAGCCTGGTTGACCGGGCTGGCCAGGTTTCCGAAATCTCGCTTTACCTCTGAATCCTTTGTAAAATTTTCGATGTGTTCACGTGAGAGGGTGGACTGGCTCGGTTCCTGAGAACTCGGGTTTTCCAACCGGGATATCGGGAAAAGGGCTGGACATTTTGCCATATGAACACAGGAACAAAGCGGGATGAATTCTGGCGGCCCAGATAGCATCGTCGCGCATTGCCTGCTGTATTTTACGCATCATAAGCATCCCATTTAACTGCAGTGATACAGCTTTAAGAGTTACCGAAGCTATGATAGGTTCGAAAGTTATAGCTTTTGTGTTTCGCCACGTTTGCTTTGCATCTTGAATTTCGCGCCAGAACTCGCCCCAGGATCTTTGGCCTTTTCTCATCTCGGAGACCGGGCTAAAATTTCTCATATGAAACCAAAGCTAAATTGGTCCCGGTAGCCGGGCTAGTCCGGTCAACCGAGCTCATGTGAAGTGGCCCTTAGTCTGATAAGAAAAACGGCATGTGTTAGAATTTCTATTTGTGTTGTTAACCAAGTCTCTTTTAAGTTTTGATCTTGAGAACTTTTGCTACATTTTAGGTTTATTGCAATAGAAGCCTTCATGTTTTACCGATGTATGAAGCCATTGGAGTGTGTCTTCCATCCACTCAGACCCGTCTCTCAAAGCTCTTTCAAAAGATGAGACAGCATTCCGAACAGATGTTGTGTCAGCGGCACTACATGTTAGCAGTGACGGCATTAGATGACTTCACGGGTTTGTTGAACCGCTGTTCTTGTTTGGTCTCTTTACTTGACTTATCCGTTGTTTAACATCACTGCGTATTCCAGTGACATAAATAGATCGCATAAATTGGCAGGGTTAAAAACGTGTAATTGTGTTTTGGTTGTCCATTTTTTTAGGCGAAGTAATTACAAGCTCCAATGAACTCCAAACTTTAGACGTGTCCAGCCAGGTAACACATACAAAAAGCCTGTGTATCTCAAATCGGACATTTCCACGATGACGTCCTTTTACTTCTAAGACCAGAATTCGTTTCTTTTTTTCGTTAATTCATATTGAAGTGTTGGTAAACCCAGTGAGGTTTAAATAACAAAAGCCCTGATTTACACAAGAAAACAAAACCCTGAAGGATTATAGTGGTGATAGCAGTAGCAGTAAAAAGACGCCATCGTGGCAAATGGCGTTTTGTTTGATTGTTCGATTAACAATGTTGTCGGCCTTGGGACGTGGAACATACTTTCCACCTGAGAGGTTGTTTCAAATTTTAACTGATCTCTTTGGGGGCGGTATGAATTCATATTTGCAATAGCTATGTCGCAAATGGAGTATTTTTTCTCGGTTTATGGAGTAAAATTACCCTGCCACAAAGGGGCGTAACTCCAACCTAAAAAGGTGTATTTTCTGCCTCGACCCAAACCTTCCTTTTTATGTCTTCCTCGGCGCGCGTGGTGTCTTGAGAAGGACGTACTTTACTACTTCGCGTTTTGCATTTCTCCCATAAAATCCAGCACTCCCTGGTCTCCGCTTGAGAGTGAGGCAGGTATATTTGAACTGGTTTTTGTGTGGAAGATGTGAAGAGAATTTACCATTGATTTTTGTTCCAAACAGTAGGGGAAATATAGCCTTGACTTACTGTTTTATTAACCTTTTCTTTCAGCCAAAAGAAAAACGGGCAGAATTAAGTAAGCATATTCAACAACGGAAGCGGAAAAGCTTGTCAGATCTGTTCAAGATGTTGGCTTCTCTTGGTATGATAGAAGTTACTTTATGTAATTACACTACAAAAATAAAGCGATTCCAGCTCCATTACAAAATTGTTCCCCCTTTAACATACCTACTAATAAGAATAAATCGCTAAAACAGGAAGTCTTCTTGTCATTTTCGTGTAAAAGGGCTAAATCTAAAGTGATATAGCTATAAGGTGCTCCTTTCCGAAGCATTTTAATTAAATCCGCTACTGATATTACTGAAGTGTCTGTAACTTAAGCTGTCCTGTTGGAAGGTTTGGCGGTTTTATAGTGAAAAGTTAATCGTGGACAGCATTCTCCCGGGGGAATGTTTTGATGCTTACAACGTCAAATGAGTTAGACGATGATGAATTTTGTCTTTTACTGATTTATCCATAGTCATCTAAGAACACTGCGTAAGTCTAAGCAAATTACAACTTTCAGTGCTGATAGTTCTTTGTCCAGTTAAATTCCGCAACGTGAACCTTGCAACTAAATGAAATAAGTAAAATTGTAAAGGTATTTATTTATTGAATGCCTTACTATCAGACTGAAACTTAGTATTTCGCGCGCTTCTTCTTAACCTGAGAAAACAGCCAACATTTTCGCGACGCCACCACTGGTTTCCCCGCGAAATGACGTCTGAGAAACGAGCGCAGAAATTCCATACTGATGACGCGTCACTACCCAGATCTGGGTACTGTTTCTGATTGGTTAGAGCAAATTTCCCACGCGGTAGGACCAATCAGAAAAACTACCCAGATCTGAGTAGTGACGCATCATCAGTATGAAATTTCTACGCTGGTTTCTCAGACGTCATTTCGCGGGGAAACCAGTGGTGGCGTGGCGAAATGTCTGCTGTTTTGTCAAGCTAGGTTCTGCTTTGTATATGATTAAAAATGGATTATTTTCTAGGGGTGTCATACCGTAAGGGACTAACTCTTGAACGCCAGTGCACAGGGAAGGAAGCCATGTTGCTCGCTGCAGTTGATGAAGAGGCTATCACCAGATCATTTACGCTGCTCTCAGATAGATCACCGTAAGCACTCATAGTAGTCACACAACATCGATGTATAAAAGTTGTGAAATACTTGACTTACCACTTTATTAGTTTTCACAGTGTTAGTTTTTTAATTGACATATAATAGAATTTCAGGTCAAAATTATTTTAATTTCTTCAAATTGCCTTTGTCTAAATTGTCTTCATTCATTACAAAAATTGCGTGTTCGACCATCTTTGATATTAGGAGACTATCTTAAATAACAGGAGAATTTAAAGGTCGTTGTTATCTTTGACCGTGTGAGCACCATAAAAGTTGTTTCGTTCTGTTTTTTTTAAATGATAACAATGTAATTGAAGTTCAGAAATGCCAAAATCGTAGAACCCCAATCGTAGTGTGATTGAAGTGTAATCTGTTATTGTTGGTTATTTTCAGTGACTTGTTACATAAAGTACGTAATCTTTTGGATGGCTGCTGTCATCACTACCACAAGGCGCTAGCTAGGTCAGCGGCTTTCTCTGCTGCCATGATAACGCCTTCAAAGGTGAGAAAACAGTAAATCTATTTTCTTTCCTTTACCGTTTGGAATTGGGAATAACCAATTACCCTGATTTTAGGTCTCTTGTCTTCCTTGGTTCGCCCACTGAAAGGGTAAAAAGGCATGTAGTCATATGGTGTTTCAAGTCCTTGGTCCTTGGTGTGGACTTGTAACACGTCTACATACAAATCCATGGCTATCCTATTTAGGTAGCAAGCTGGTCAAGCCTTTCATCAATTGTTAATTCGTTCTATTTGTCAGTATACTCTATTACTTTCCTGGAAAGTCGAGTCGTGGATTAGTGAAGTAGCCTTGAAACAGCCACTGTGTATAGGTAATGATTGTGTTGTTTCTTCATTACATTTAGGAGCTTAGTGTTGGTGACATTGATCGTTGTAAGGGTTGCAGTCATCACCTGCTCAATATTTGTTATCAACAGAGAAAGTTCATAGCACAGTTCTCACAACACATCACCAGTGCAAGGTAATAGTTCACAACCTCGACTAACAACGTTAGTATTTCCACCGACCCAAGTTCTAATGTCACGCATTGTAGCTATCTATTTTCATCTATTTGCTTTGTAGCGTTTGTCTTAATCAGCTTGTGGAAAGCGTTGGCCTGGCAGATGATGATATAGACAGTACACGTACATCTCTACCTCCTCAAACTAAGCTGCAAGAACGAACAGTAAGTCAACAACGAACAACTGGTCATTTGCTGAGGTTTCTTTGCCTTCTAAACTTGTGCTCCTTAACAACTTATTTATTTACCAGCTTTTCTGCACACAGGCCTGCCCAGAGGGAATGTGCACGAACGGGACTCAGGTCCCATGTGAGGTGCCATCCCTGCCCAATCCCACAACCCGTAAAGGTTGGCCACACCACCGGGGTCTACGACCCCTACTCTTTTCGAATAGTGATGTGGGTTCTTTTACGTCCCACAAGAACAAATCAGTGAAAGTGCTGTGAGACGGGACCTACGGTTTTTCGTCCTTATCCGAGAAGACTAGAAAGTCTAACCATTTGCAGATGTCATTACAAAGGCAGCACTTTCTTCTCAGTTATTTAAAGACCCTGAGTGTTGGTCCGGCCGGGGTTTGAACCCGCGACCTTCCCGCTCGGCAGACCGGCGCTCTCCCAACTGAGCTAACCAGGCGGCGGTTTTTCTTCGGACACAAACATTTGCTTTTATGAACTGAATTGATGAAGTTCACTGGCCACCGTAGAAAATTTAGGAACTGGTGTTTCGTTCGGTTAAGCCCTTCCTTAGAGTAAATCATTGACGAAGGGCGACAGCTCGAGACTTCAGTTTCTCAATCCTCCTACGGTGAAATTTAGAGATTGAGTTCTGATGTGTTGATGAGCACAATACTGGAACCTTTTTTCATTTCTTAGGTGCGAGTGATGGGTCTTTTAACCCACACAGCTCATGTGTTACAGCATATGTCCTTACTGATAAAGTGTTGTCCCAGTGATGTGTCCCTTCAGGAGTGGACACCTTTGCCGAAGACCATGCTGTCACCTCTGGCTTTGTCATCTTCAGATGATCCCCTTGTTACAGACGTCTCTAAGACTCTGGAGGTACCTTTGTTATTTTCTTATGAGTACTGCATCTTGGTGACCTTTGTTCAGTACAGCCATATGCGAATAAAATGATTAAATTTTGCAACTATACTGAACTGCCCTTCAACGTTAGTAATTCCTTGAATTAATAATTAGGCTTAGGTGAGGGAATACTTGATCAAGGAGCTACAATGTAGACGAGAAGATGCTCGACCAGTTGGTGTATCCTACCTTTAGCAGTTTGCAGGGCTCCTTGTATCGATCCATTCTTTGCGGACAAGTTAAGTGCTTTGAAGGCTTGTTTGAACCAGGCTCTATAGTAGAGCGATGGATCGATGTTTGGTTAAGCTACAGAACAGGGGCGGATCCAGGATTTTTTAGGAGGGGGTGCACTCGTCTCTTGCTCTACTTCAACACCAATAAACCACATAGTTTTTTTTTGCAGAATACCAGTCATCTCAGGGGGGGAGGGTGCGCACCCCCTGCACCCTCCCCCTACATCCGTGCCTGCAGAACGTACATGTAGTATCTTATCGAGCGGAATTAGTCGAGCATTAACAGGTCAAACTTTAAGTCAGTCTCTAAGGACTCGAAGGAAACAATATCTACCTCAAATTTAGAAGAAACACGAAAAAACGAATCTGGCTTTCCAAGAAATTAAATTCCACGTTGTAATCAGTTTTGTCTTGATTTCTTTTCTAAATGTAAGGACTCCGTGACGAAAGTGCAACAGCTCATTCAACATGTCCGTCCTTATGCTGCAGTGTCTGATAACATGGTGAACAGTACTAGCCGGGATGAAATGACAACTTTCATAGCTTCTTGGTAAGTTCTATGTTTTTGCTTTTTTTTTATTTTAAGAATATCAGGGGGTTTCACTTCTCAAAGGTTAGTTAGATTATGCAGGTTTCTGAGGCGCGTTACCGCGCGACGGCATTCCTCCAAACCCTTGTAATTCCGAACTCAGTCCAGGTACGAGAAGGAAAGGGCGCTTTTCATTCGACAAGAATTGCGGTTTGAAATCTCAGGAATTTCATGTGCCCAGTGGAACGGTACATTCGGGTTGCACGGACCCGACACAAGCCATTGCGCGTTTTGTTATTGTACTTGCAAACAGGATCATACAGATGAGTGGTAGTGGGAACAACAATCTTGTCAAATGGACAGGCACATTTCAGTATCCAACTGACAGAAATGACCAGACCGGGCAATGTAGACCACCTTCAAAGGTGGTCTCAAATATTTAGCTCGGACCGAACCGCACTGGTTCGTTCCATTTGATTTCTGATCGAATATTCCGGTATTTTGGGCTGAATGGAAAGCGCCAAAAGCGTCTAGCAAGGAAGACTCGGAAGTAAGAATTCAACGCGAGTGGTTTCATTGATATGCTTGCAAGCAAAGGTTTAAAGTAAGAAAACACAATAGACTGTCGCAAAGAGTAATCTATTTCTCGGGACCTTTTCACCCTTATTCTGGTATGGTGTAGGCACAGTACTTTTAGCCTCATTCGCAGATTTGTCGATATGAGAAGGGCCTTAACAAGCTTTAGTGAATGGTCAATCTGTAGTGCTTGATTTTGCGAAGTCACCCAGTTGTTTGTTTCTTTTATTTGTCTTGTGTTTTTGTTGTCATAGGCGTCAGTTTAGAGTTGTATCAGATGCGTTTATCAAGCTTGAGGGCATTGCGGAGGTGATCGATGAAATGCTACCGAAATTTGCGTCAAAGTGGTGAGCTGTAGAAGAACCTGGTTTCAAGAGGCTATTGTTATCATTGGACTTAAAAAATGTTCATAAGATTTCTAGTTAGACATTAGTATGGTCTTATAAAGTGTATGATCGAGTCAGTTGTGTTGTTTAGAGAATCTGTGTAAAAATTCGATAGTGTTAAATAAGAAATAGCATTTAGGTGTTTACGATTGTCTTTGTTATTGTAAACATGTTTTTCGCCTTTTTTCCAGCTGTAGTATCGAGAAAGGCCTAGGTGGCTCGCTCGTCGACCTCAAAAACGAGATTAGGAGCGAGTGTAACGAATTCAACACTTGGAGGCTCAAAACACTAGCCGAACGAGGAAGAGATGGAACTAATGAAGTGTCTTTTAACAAGGAAGGTAAGAATTTATCAACGCATTTGCTTCTCGTTGTAGAAAAAGGAGAAGAGTGTCAAAATGTACTGTTTCGTTTTTCCTTCAGTTATGGTTACAGTCGACACATTTCTGAAAGAGCTAGACGCCATGAACACATCGCTTCTGTTAGGCATTCAAAAGCTGGCAAAAATAGCGGAAAGCAGGGGCAGTGAAAGTACGCAAGAACAAGAAACTGCAGATTCAGGTAGACGTAACAGACACTATATTAATTCCTTCTCTTCTCCTTAACCTGATAGGATACCTGGCTATTCCGTGTTTCTTTCCTTGTTAGTCCATTAGTAGCCATTTTTTTTTACAAAAAAGCGGTTAAAACTGTAAACGGTCTAACATGTTTTTCTTCTTAAACCGTGACAAAAGACGGATCGAAGCACACCAATGATACAAAGAGTGTTCATAACCGATAACATCACGGCTTAACTGACAGACGATCTAACACACCGGCTTTATTGACCAATCAGGCCAATATCCAGAGTTAAACACCATTAACTGACGTGCTTCAACTCACTTTGACTCTAAAGATAACTACCTCAGGGGTTGTCGACAGGTCAGTTATCGTCAACAACAGTCCTATTGCGGACTACGCTCACCAGGACGATCATATTCCACCTAGTTATGAGGTTGTTCTTTTCACGCCAGATGCTGACGTTGGAAGTATGGAACTCCTAGACGGGCACTTGACGATGCGTCTCCATCGTGACCTACTAGAAGAGATAAACTGTCTTGGTTTAGAAAAAGTGATGAAAAGTATATCCGATCTCATGTCTCAGCTGAAAAACATGGCTGATTGCACTGGGTTGGCTTCAAATGCACCTGATCAGCTACCATCCATCAGCTTGTGTGCACAGCTTTTTGGAACCACCATCCCTCTTCTTCATCAATATCTGAACATATCGCAGCATTTTCTGGTCAATTTGCTAGCAGCCCACCGTGTCACCAGCAAACTGTTATCGGTACTTCTCAGCATTTTTACCGACCTGGTCTCAAAAGGATTCTGTCTCCCCCCGGAAATAGAAGAAGGTGAAGCTGACGGAGCCACTGAATTCGAGGATATTGAAGGGGGAGGCATCGGGGAAGGAGAGGGGATGAAGGACGTCAGCGATCAAATCGAGAGCGAAGATCAGGTTAGTTCTTATTGTTTTCTCTTGCAGTGTATTCATAAGAATCGGGCTATTACAGCCATCAGTTGTCTCGCTGAACTTATTTCAGAGACTCAGACGCTAATGTATATTATTTTTACCAAGTATGGTCTCGTAAAACATGCCTAACAGCTTTCTGGTAGAGTTCCGTAGGATACACTTTTGCTATATAACAGACGCAAATTATTGGTAGTGACCAGTTCCGTAGGATACAGCCAACATTTTGCCTTATATAACAGACGCAAATTATTGGAAAGAGCTCGCAACAGTGACCATTTTAATACGCGAAAGGATGTTTTTGAAGAATCATCGTTGTTGTTGGAAACACCAAGACGATAGCGTTTGAAGATCATCTTGTAAGGATCGTACTGTCTTCTCTTGTTTTGTCTTTGGAGTGTTAAAGTTTTTTTGTCCTAAGGGTCATTTCCATGATGACGTCATTTTACTAGTGCTAAAACTACTAATACTACCAGGATGCTTCAGTGTCAAGCTTTTGTACAATTTAGGACTTTCGTTGGTTTAAACCTTTTTGGAATTGGCAAATTTAAATATGAAAGAAAAGCGAAGTGAACTCTGGTAGTATTAGTATAATGACGCCATCGTGATGGTCTATTTGTTTGATTCCTTGTCTTTGTCTTGATGATGCGATAGATAAGGCATTTTTATTGTTGTTTATTAGCTGGAAGACGCCAAACAAGAAGGACAAGAACAGGATACGAAAGAAGAACAGCAGCAGCAAATTCCTGACGAGGAAAACGGTATTGAGATGAGTGAGAACTTTGATGGTGCCTTACATGACGTGGAAGCAGGAGACAACGAGGAAAATGAGAAAAGCGATGAGGAAAATGAAGAGGAGCCTGATGTGGATAAACAGATGGGAGAAGTGGATGGACAGGAAACTGAAAAACTGGATGAGAAAATGTGGGGAGATTCAGATGATGAGGAAGAACCAGAGGTAACGTTGTAAAAGCACTCATCACTGATACTTTGATAAAAGCGAAATAATTCACGAGGAGACATTTTTTTCTTTTATTTGAAGAGCAAAGCCATTTCGTTGGATTAGTTACTTGTTAATCATTGAGTTGCTCTAGGGCTGTTTTCTCTCTTGCTAACTTAGACAAAGTAGTTATTTAAAATACGAAAAATATTAGTTGTTTGATAAGATAATAGTAGGAATGGCTTTTTGCGCTTGTGCTGATTAATGCCTAATGGTGAACTACAACTTGTGATTGCTGTGGAGGAAAACTTTTATGAACAAAAAAAGGTACAAAACATTTATACTTCGGACGTTGGTCTCAAATCTGTTATCTTCCAACCTGTTCTTTCCTTACCTACTTGCCAACGTACCTAATATACATAAATTGCCCGTATTTCTCGGCCTAACCTTAGTTGGCTTATGTTTATGTGTATGTTTCAAGAATTTAAGAACTCACCTTGATCCCTCTATTGACATGTGTCTCTTCGCTAGTACCGTTCCTTTCTTCCATCGTGCAACTTAATTATCCGTAGTCCTCCTAGCTAGTTACTTACAACTAATCCGTGGTACTTCTGCAGAGCAGTAAATTTCGTTGTCTTTTATTATATCCATTTTCAACTCACTGGTGATCCCTGCAATCTGATTGGCTCTCAGCAGTATGATTTATTCACGAATCACGCTTTTTTTGCTTTAAATCACATCTGTTCTAAATCACACCATTTTTGTTCTATATCGCATCATTTCTGCTTCGAATACAAAATGAGATGTAAAAGCCTTTTTGTTTCCGCTTTTCCAACAAACCGTCTACTTGATTAATAAAATATTGGTACTGACTGAATTCTGCGATTTCAAAATGGCTGTAATGAAGTGGTAATTGAACTTTGTGTTGTGCAATTTTGGTCATGAATCATACTTGTGATTTGAAAATCACGTGTATGATTTAAGACCAAATTGCACTCCACTCCGTTCAATTACCGTTGTAAATAAGTACAGAGTATTGTTGCCATGGTAATATGACGCGTTATTGACAGGAAAAAGAAACAAAGGAAGAAAAGGGAAGTGGAGCTGAGGCTGAATCGCAGTCACAGTTGGTCGCCAAGGAAGACAACAAAGGTAAACTTTTTAACCTCAAAAGGAGGTCTCGTTATCATCCCTTCAGTATCTAAAGAAGGGCAGTTAGATTCCAATGTCTCCGTTCTTTTGTTTTCTGCAACTTGTTTGATTTTCTGTATCTCTATTTTCGGCTCTGACAAACCTGAATTTACGTCAGTCGGAGTATAATGAAAACTAAAAGTCAATCATATGTTTCCTCATTATGTAAAATTGACCAACATTTGGAGAAAAAACCTTACTAAAACCGGAGTCTTCATCATTTCATGAACAGGATCTACAGATGAGAGTAAAGAAAAGGCCGATCAGGAGCCTAATACTAAAGACGAGCAAGATAACGAGACATTTAATAACGCTCAAGACGATGAAGAGGGGAATATGAGTGATGAGGCGGAGCGAGACGAGGAAGGAAAAGGGCAGCAAGAACAACAAGCAATGCAAGATATGGAGGAAGAGTCTGCTAACCTTGATCTTCCAGATGATTTGCAGCTTGATGAAGAGGGAAACGAACGCAATGACGGTGAGTAATGCATTTTTTTTCTTTTTCATTTGGCATTTTTTGTTAGTAAAAATGTTTTTGAAAAGAGACGGCGAAATTCTTCCTATTTTTGCACGTGCTATATTAGTTGACAACCTTTTTTTAATCTTTGAAGGACAACAGGAGGAAATGGAAACAAGTGATTTCGAAGGAGAAGAAGCAGATGCGACAGAACCTGAAGATGAATCCACTGAACAAGGGGACGAGGAAATGAATGAAAAAGGAGAACAGGGTGAGACAAAGATGGAGGATGAAGAGAACATTGACGGTAAAGATAAACAGGAAGATGGAGAGAATTCTAAGGTTGGTAGACTGCCAATAAACGTTCGCAAAGAAACATCACTAAGGACGAGTATTCGAACGCTTAAGCTCGTTGCGAACATCTTACTGGTTGGCATTAAGACTACACTCAAACTTTGCGTTGTTGAAGGCCTGGTTAGTTTGTCCACTCGCTTGTATCAAGGCAATTGGATATTGTAAGGATCTAGAAGAGTAGCTGGCCTTTGCAGATGTTGTGAACCATTTGAAGTATCTTGAAGATAGTGATAATCATGATGAAAGGTGAAGGGGAAGGGAATAGACAACGGTGTCTTTGGTATTTCTAATTTTGACGATGAGTGATATTTTTTTTAGGATGAAGAAGCTGATGTTGAAGATGATGAAGATGACTGGAGAACGAAGGCGGATACTAAGGTCAGATTTACGAATAACAATTCCTCGAACGACCCTCGGTTTGTCGTTTTTAAACTTGCTTTGCCTGATGATAGCCTAACGTTCATTCGTCTTTTTTGCCACATCAGTTGTTAGACCATACCTTTTATTCTCCTTGGCTTTCTTTGAAAATTTCTTCCTCAATTTTTCTCATCAAAGAAGGAATAAATTATCATATATTAAAGTTTCCTTTTGACAGAATTTTGGAATCATCGTACGTAGGTTATTGGTGTTGGTATACCGCCACAACCTTATGAATTGGACATAGTTAGATTAGAAGAGAGAAAACATTTTTTGAACATCGTAAACACGTGACACTTCTTACGACGGAAGTTCTGTTTTATTCCAGAGCCAGCCTCAGGATAATGTTCAGGCCGTGGAGGATTCTGGGGAAGGTGATGGCAGTGGGGAACAAACTGATATCACCGCTGGCCAGTCTGAATCAACAGACGGTAGTGAAGATCGAGGAGTGGGGCGAGCTGAAGCAGCTAATGATGAAGGGCATCATGGGGAGTCAAGCGCAGTACAAGCTAGTGCAGACACCAGTCAACAGGTCAGCGAACTTAGCCCTAGATATCTGCGCTAGTTATTGCCTGTTCATTTTCATTTTTAATACTTAAAATGGGACTCTGATAAGAGCGCCTTTGACCATGTTCCGATATCTCTACTACTACCTCAATAAGGCAACAACAACGAAAGCAGAAAACAAAACAAAACGAAAAAACGTTATTACCGGACAAAGGATAAGTCGACAGTAGAGCAGCACAACAGAACATTTCATCTTAGTTTGTTTCTTTCATGATTTATTGTTTCATCGAGTAACATTATGTGGCATGAACAGGGGGAAGAAATGAACGGAGTAAAAAGGCCTACAGACTAACATCAGATCACACAACGAACTTACACAAGAGAAACGAAAAAGCCCTTGAAAATAGAAAAATAACAGAGTGGACAACAGAACAACGCAATAGACAGTAATAGCTTAAGTGACATAGGATAACAGCCTCCTAAATCTGCATAATTGTCAATTTTATGTAGTCTCATTCAAAAGTTCTTTTATTTTGAATTGTCACAGTCACGTCAGAGAAAGCAAATGAACCGTGCTCGGTCCGACAGAAGACTGGGCTCCATGGATGAAACTACTCACAAGAGACTCAAGACTGTCGATACAACACAGCAGGAGTCTGGAACTGAGGTGGCATATTGATTCTCAGAAAAAACGGATCAAAACTGCCCACCTACCCCTCCCCTAAGCCAACATTTTGCCCTGAATGAGAAGTATCTGTTTATGTTGGCTTATGGGAGGGGTAGGTGGGCAGTTTCCCAGAAGCGTATAATGATCCGGTATTTACCACTCCAGAGTATACCGTAACATACCATAATACTCTTTGTTGGTCACTCCAAAATTTTGGATACGCATTGTCTTCAGTTTCTCTTGGGAGTTAAAATGGCCCCAAGAGAACATTAGACTTCCCAGGAGTACCCCCGCCCGGGGAATTTAGGAGTTAATTGGGCTCTAATCTATGTACGATTTTATAGTGCTGTATACCAAAAAGAATGTTATCTAGAAACTTGGTGAAAACCAAGAAAGAAAATTTTGCAAAAGTTATATGCGCATGTATTATTGTCGAGCATAACGTCTTCATTCAGTTTCGAATTTCATTGTCAAAAAATTAGATAACGCTGCTTACTTATTTGTGTATATTTTTTGTTCGCAGACGAACGAGACAAGAAGTCAAGATCTGTTTCAGCACATGCAGAGTGATGATTCATCTACCCACGATGCGCAGACGCTTGACAGTGCAACCGCTGATCAAGCAAAAGAACAAGAGAAAGCAAACTTCCCTGATACGTATAGTGATACCGAAGATGATGATACTGAAATGAAAACAGCGCTGTTCGATGATAAAGAGGAACTCCCTGTAAGTGTTTTTTTTTCCATCCTCGGTTTGTGTTTGTGTATTTTTTTTGTCTGAACAGCTTATCGTTTGTGTCACGTTAGGTACTTGATTTTGCTACTTACCGATTGTTATGTTTTGATGGTTATGTTTTGATCGATGTTTAGTACCACCTAGGTTGTAAGTGATTGGTGTATTTCGATCTTTAATGTAGTTGTTAATGGCTGGTGGACTTCGATCCTCATTTTTCATGCACTATCGGTCACTTTACATCTAATTACCCCGCACAAGACCAAAAAGACCAGAAATATCGCGGCCAATATCAAAGTGACTGAAATGGAACAAAAGATAAACTTAGCTGTTTATCTAAAACGCGGTAGATAACACCTCTTAATATGTTTATTCAGACATTGGTGGCCTTCAATAACGTCTGTTATAAAGTTTAACACATTGTTTATAATCGCTACGCGTTACAGAGATTACAACCTAGTTCTGATTGCCAATTCTTTCCAAATACTGAAGGCACCAGACAATCCCCAGCAGACCAGGTTACCGCCTCCAAATAAACCAAACATGGATGCGGTAGGGAACGAAGGTGAACAGGAAATAGCTGAGAGGGCGACCAAAGAAGAAGACATGCAAACTATTGAAGGTGGGGAAATATCCACTGAACGCTTGCAGAGTACTTTTCATTCCTCAGAAGTGGCGCTGGCTTTTGAGAGACTGGTAAGATAATCTAACTGAACTTAATCTAGGTAAAACTTTTAAAATTCAAGGAAAAGATCGCATGCTTAGTTTTCTTAAAAGACAAATAGTACCTCGCAGTAGTACTTACGAAGAGATTTTACTTTACTCTTGGTTATTGCTTAATCGTATCACCATAATTAACTCCATGTTTGTCCTTACTGCACCTTAAAAAGAAATCTCGGTAATGACTCAGTAGAACCAACTTACATAACCAAATAAACAAACGAAAGAGACCCTTTCAGCTTGTTTTTGTTTCTTTTCTTTTTTTCAAATTTCAGCCTATGTTGAATTACTCCCAGCCTACTGTTTCTTTCAAATGTATGGATAACTTACGAAAAGACAAAAGGCAAATTTTACTGGAAACGTCAAGTGGTCTTAGTTGGGAAAACAAAACATAGGAGCTAAAAAAGTTTTTGAAAGGCACTGCCAAATGCAGAAACACTGAAGGATTTCATCTAGTTACTTAAAATCGGGGACCACCTTATACAATTCAATCTCGCTTTCCCTTTTTCCTTTTATAATTTCATTAACGGATTCAATTTTTAAGCCCGTTACATGCAACACAGATATCATTACCACAGCAAATTAAACGGCGTCAGACCAAGTAATCTCGTATTGTGTTAAACTAAATGCGTTTTTGTTGTTTTTATTTAGTTTTTTTGTTTGCTGCCTAGCAGCTTTCATATGAACTATTTCTACGCGGAAAAATAGACCAAATACCGACGTCAACTGTTCAGACATTGAATGTGTTGTTAGGAATACTGCTCTGTCATTTTCTCTCTTTTTGAAGGGTATATCGTCATTGGACTCTGAAAAACTGAGATTGGATCTCGAACATCAGTTGGCTGAGTGGACCAGCCTTAAACGAGGTACGACGGAGGAGCAACGCATCGCTCAAGAGACCTGGCGCAAATACGAACTGCTCACCTCCAGTCTCTCTCAGGAGCTCTGTGAGCAGCTGAGACTGGTACTAGAACCATCATTGGCTACAAAACTTAAGTAAGTTAGTTATGTATTTGAATATATTCATAACCGTTTGAACCTAATTCCGCTTATGTCATTTTTTTCATATTCTTTAATAATGTTGTGAAGACGCTTAATGAAGTGGCAAAAATGTAAACTACGATCTAAAAGCTAGAGTCATTGCCGGACCTTTGGCAGATGTACAACTTACATAGTATAAACATTAAACAGCAAACTGATCCTTTCGGTGAGGGAACACCACAAAAAGTCGGTAAAAGCTGAGTGGAAATTCGCAATATTCTAAACCTTAGACCACTTCGATTTTTTCACTCAGCTTTAGACTGATTTTGTAGGAAAAAAGTATATCTACGAGTTAGAGAATCGTTATGTACCCGGCGTGTAATGAGACTGCATCTACCACTTATGAAGTTCATTTATTGGGGATGGGGTGCTTCGCATTCTTTTCGGGATGCGTGTTTACTGGTAGTAATGGAGGCTGAAAAGCTGAGAGCAGTCACGAGGTGACGTTGTTTAGTGGTATCTTCTTAGTAATTGGAAAAATATTCTTTCATGTTTCTATGTAGGACATTGTTAGTTTACTACAGAATTTTTAAACTTGTTCATTGCAGAGGTGATTATCGATCAGGGAAAAGGTTAAACATGAGGAAAGTGATTCCATACATTGCCAGTCAGTTCCGCAAGGACAAGATCTGGCTGCGGAGGACTAAGCCGAGTAAGAGGCAGTACCAGATCATGCTAGCTGTGGACGACTCTTCTAGTATGAATGATAATCACTCCAAACAGGTAACACGTGATTTATCACGTTTCAAACAGATATAGGTCTATGGACATTTGTACGCTTAAGAGAGAGAAAGCATGTTTGACAACTTTACCGGGAAATTCTACTAGCAGTTTCAGAGTTGTAATGATTATGATGCGACACTACAAACAACTACATCACGAAAGAAAGAAAATCGCCCTAACAAGACAACTGTTCTAGGACATATTTTGAGGTCAATACTCACCACTCGTCTACTATACAAAATGATAAAGATGTCGAAAACTATTTATAGTCAGTCTTGAAATATGTTGTTTGAATTTCTCTTTTTGTGTTGTTCAGTTGTTTTTCATATGTTTTATATTTCATTCCGTGATTTTAGCTGGCGTTTGAGTCTTTAGCAGTGATCAGTAATGCACTAACAAGACTGGAGGCTGGAGATCTCGGTGTGTGCAGGTGAGTGCAAAATTAACTTTGTTGTATTTGTTGCAATGGGGAAGTGCAGTTTTGGCTGTTTGCTTCAGCAAAAGAAATGCGTAAAGCTTAATTTTATTTCGCTTCTCTATACAAAAATGAACGAAACGTATCTAAAATTGACGAAAACAAATACATGAAAATAAGTAATTTTGGTTAGCAGCAATTTGTATTACAGGACATACTGTTTTACGTTCCCTCCTTATGACGGGGCCGCCGTTTCTACGTTGTTCTCCGATCCGCGCGGAGGTCAAGTCGTTTATAGAAGAATGGCAGTATCTATGACCGCAGTTGAGTGGGATCAAACCCTCTGGAGATCAGCGCAACAAATTCTTCTTATTATCGTTATAAAATATTAAGGGGGAAAAGTAGGGAGAACATGAGTGTAGATAACATAGCTGGTATGAACCAACCGCCACAACAGGCAATTGTCCATCTTCGTCATCGAGAAATAGTTCTCCCCTCGCTTATTCTGACGTAACCGTTAATTTAGTGCCGTGCTGAGTTTGTTCTTGTTTGTTTGGTTTTTTTTTTTGCCTTTGCAGCTTTGGAGAAACTGTCCGCCTCTTACACCCATTCCACGAGCCATTTACTGACCAGTCAGGGGCGAAAATTTTGCAGCAGTTCACTTTTGATCAAAAGAAAACCAAAATTGCCCAAGTAAGTAATTTTTCTGATTGCTTTCGTTTCCTACTGCTACCGTATGGGACTAGTCGAAGAATTTCCGCTAAAGTTAAATTTTCCCTCAAAATAACAATGGCTCTCTCACTGTTTAGCTCCTAGATACTTGTAACAGTCTTATGGTTTCGGCGCATTCACGGTTACAAGTGTCCCCCCGGATGAGAAGAGACACCTCCCAGCTTTTGGTTATTGTGTCCGATGGAAGAGGTATATTTCTTGAGGGGATGGAGGTTAGTAATACTTTCGACTCGTCTTTGTATGTAAATTTATGGAATCTTGGTTTGGATTCCGTTTACGCGGGGCTCGCGCGCGCGCGAAGCGCGCGCAGCGGAGCACCATGGGTAAGAAATTGTGGTTATCTAGGCATCCAAGAAATTTTGGTTCTGACAAAATCGTCCGTACGTACATACGTCCACCCCTGCATGTAGCTGGGGTAAAATTTTTCATTTTAATTACCCCGCGCGTTTCAGCGGTAAGTCTCTTTGTAGAGACACACACAAACAAAGAACAAAGTCGATTCTTTGTCTTCAGTGAAACTACGGTTTAAAAGGTTTCGTTTTAAAAGGACACACCATAGGATTTCATAGGATTGAAAAGTTAGAACTCAATTACAGGTCCTCATAAATAGCTGGGAGAGAAAGGAGTTACTAATCCTTCAATGTGCTAAGACCAGGGGCCCGTTTTTCGAAAGTCGCGGTAATTTATCGGGCCCGAAATCAAAAATTCAAGTTAAAATCTAAAAATAAAGAAGACGGTTGTTCGCTAACAAACACGTCCATTTTGTTTTATGAACTGGTAGTTGCAAAAATAGTGAAACCTCTATCTTTATTTTATACAAGAACATTTTTTCGGGACTTTTGAAAAATGGTCCCCAGGCGTCTCATGAGATCTCATGTGGCATGTTGGTATAAATACCCCCGTAGTGAAATTCATTCTCAATATGTTTGTGCCTTCAGACGGTTCAAAAAGCTGTGAGAGTCGCAAGAGAGGCCAACATTTTCATGGTGTTTGTTATCCTGGACAACCCAACGAACAAAGACTCTGTTTTGGACATCAGAGTTCCTATATTCCGGCCTGGAAAGCCACCAGAAATCAAATCCTACATGGAGCAGTTCCCCTTTCCTTTCTACATTATCCTCAGGGATATCAACGCGTTACCACTCACGCTGAGTGACGCGTTAAGACAGTGGTTTGAATTGGTGTCGTGTCTGGAGTGATCATGCACAAAGCGTTTGCTGCACGATTCATGATGCCCAGGAGACTGGGAGCGAAAAAGGGGTGCCTTTTGTGACATTGTAGAAGTCCCTGTGGCCAGATTCATTTCATCGCCCTACGGAAAAGCCGAGTTACTTATTATAATGGAATTTATCTCGATCTGATTCCTGTCAACAGAAGTTTATACAGACCTTTCTGTCGCTTTGTGGCCGCAGATTATCACCTTCGACTCTGGTATTTGGCCCATCCTTACCTCAAGTCGGCGGATTGGAGAATGCAATCCAACCACACGAAATGTTGGACATTGTGATAACGAAGAACTTTATGATTCATTCAGATCGCAGGATCACATCATGACACTCCGATGGGCCATTCAGAGTTGCTCCAAGGCTCTGTTTCAAAAGCGAGGCTAAGTGCAATGCTATTGCTATGAAAAGGATTTGTTATTCCCCTGAAAAGGAAACTCATTTTTACGAGAAAGGTTTTGCACTAAGCCACGTTTCGAAAGTGAGAGTTTTTGCAATTCAGAAATGGCCTACCCCTTCAGCCGAGGGTTTAACCATCTTAGTTCAAAGGACGACTCGAATAAAAATTATAGTAAACTCGATATTGAATATTCTATAGCTGCGTAAGCAAATTGAGACGAATAAACGTCGAAAGAGCTCTCAATTGGATCGTGGTAAAATTACTCGAAATAATTCCTTGCTTTATGGAAGTCATTTTAGAAGGGTGGGGCAATAATTTATTACGAAAAAAGTAAATCAAAAATAAATGTTTCTTTCGCGTAGAGATGTTAACTTCTTTGGTGATAACATAGGTCACACCTGCAAGGTTTTATAGCCTGAAATATAGAGAAGGTATGCAAGCATCATGCAAACATTTATGGGATTGTTAGCGGGGAGGGGAAAGACTGTGAATTGCATGGTAGTGTTTTCGTTTCGCTTGTCATATTTCCGTTTCCGGTTGCTCGAAATTAGTGAAGGGAAAGTAAAACAAACAGGATAAATTCCACCTCTGTCATTACCTCTGCTTTGAAAAATATATTGCATGGTATTGTGCGTCCGTCAAATCCTCATTAATCCTACAAGTGCTTGCGCCGGTACTGTCGACCCAGGCCACAAGTCGTTTCCAAAGTGAGCCCTAAACTGAAACTTTGCACTGTGAACAGCCTTGAGTCTTTCGAGTCAGTCTGTTTTTTGTTTCAATGACGCACTATTCTCTCTAGTTTTCTGCCCTTTTAGACGGGGCAGATGAAAACATAATACAATAAAATAAAGAAAATTAGGGGAATGTTCGTCGTTAATGATAAAACTTTAATATTTTGATCTGTACAGACAGTATTGTAATTAAGTGTCCTCCTTAACCTTTTTAATCTCGAGAGCTATTCGCTTAATTTCTTCAAGTCCTTCTTCAAGCTGTGCCGCTGTTGTTTTCTCTTCCTGGTCTTCAGCTGACTCGCTTTCGTGACCATTCTTCACCGAAGAGTCCTCAGTCCCAGACAGTTTTTTAATGACTAGCGTCACATACTGGTTTAATTTATCATAGGATTCAGGAGTTAGTTTATCTTTCAGGAAGCCTATGATCTGCGGCACGCACCGGCCGGGGGCGTGCAACATGCATCCCGTGTAATGCTGGAATAGTACCGCTGCCGCCAGATGAAGAGCCATGGCGGGCTCGTTTTCTTGCCGCAGTTGTTCTTGAAGAGCACAGCGCCGTTCTACCGTCAGCTGTCTGCAATGACAATCCAACAGTTTTTAAAACATCTTACTGAGCTAGTATGATACCCAGCTGACACTAAAGACTGCGCTACTTATCCCTGTGTGTAAAGTGCAGTGTACCTATTCACTAGCTTTTTGAATTGATGATGAAAAATAATTGTCCACAGTGCAGTGAGCTCTTTCTTAGGAGAACAATTTCGATACCAGTTCCGCTTCAGCAAGGTGTTCGCCTCATAGAAAACTTAATTAAGAACAGACGAGTTAAGACTAAACTACACACTCGTAGTTCAAAATCAGGTCTTTGACCTGGATCTACTGTATTTAGCACTTTTTCAGTCGGAAACACACTACGCCAGTTCCGCCCTATGTAAAGTTTACGCGCCTACAGACAAGAGTTGTTCAGGGCTGTCATTAAGAGGCGGGGATTTTCCCCCAGCTACTATGAACGTGTCCTCGGCTACTTTCCAAGGAAAATGGAGGAAAAATAGAACCAAACGAAATCCCTAGCTGTTTGATTCCCCGCCTACTTTTTGTATCTACCAAGCGACTTAAAATCTTAGTGACAACCCTATCAACTCAGAGTTGTCATTCAACTAGAAACAAGTCCATTGGCATGTGTACAGACAGTAAAAATCGGAGAAGGGCTCTTCTCCGATTTTTACTGAGGGGAGGAGGGTCTGTACATCAAAATCAGGTTTCTGATCAGGGGCTGGTTTTAAAACAATAATTGAATGAGGCTCGGTAGGATGTAAAGTGAATTATACATATCAAAGAGGATGTTATTCGCCGAGGAGGAGCCGCTCAGACACAGCGAAATATTTTAATGAATCATAGATATCTTTATGACACCGGAATATTAGGTTCTGGTACTTCATTCAAATCCTGACTTTGAAGAATTCATTTGAAGTTTGTCACACACTCACCTTTCCCTTTTCTTATCCAATTTCTTCAGCATGAATTCGCAGAATTCAGGACCACAGATAACGTCAAACTGATTAAAGAACTCTTCTGTTTCCTACGAAACAATGAGTAACGGATCTCAGATTTCTTCTGGATACAAAATAACTTAGGTAGCCTTTTGACTGAAACTACGAGAGATTTTCAAACCGTAACAAACTACATTGTAACCATACCTGCGCTGTCGTAAATGTCCTCCAAAGTCCCCCAAATTCAAACCGCATTAAAGTCCCCGATAATATGCCCCTCCGTATGTGAGCCATTAAGGACTTGCCTTGAGGTTATATTGGAAATTATATAGAAAAATTTTACCGTAACTCTTTTCAGTCGAATGACACCAGGAATAATGAAGATAGCCCATCAAAACTACGAGGACATACAGAGTATACAAACCTTTCCATTTAATGTCGAATTCAGCTTCACCAATTCAGGTTTTATCTTTTCCGGAAGTTTGGAGATTATCTTAAGGCGATCCTGTGCACAAAAATAAATTTACTCAGTTAATTACTTTGGCACATTGATAGCAGGGAAATAACAAAATGCGCAAGGAAGAATTTTAACTCTCTCGTAGCCGACACCTCCTAAAACGGACCCTTAGAATTGATCCTTGCATTCAGCCCGTTCCTCTGGCCTTTTTTAGCGGACACCTAGATCTAGGGGGCGCTTTCCATTTGTCAAAACTATCCGGCCAGACCAGTCAGTTTGAAAGTGAAATAGGCTCTTGTCTAAGAGTTTTGCTGAAAAACGTTCTCCTCCGTGCACACTATTTAGGATTTCACTGATCTAGCCGGAGCGTTTAGATTAAAAGTGAAATTATCGTATTTGCCACGACGGGTCTGGTCTGGCCGGACAGTTCTGACAGATAGAAAGCGCCCTATAGGATTGGTCCCTACCACTCCCGAGTCACTTTTTTCTCTTGATGTGGAGGACGCCTCTCTCAGGCCAGTCACAAAGGTCTTGTACCTCCCTTCTTCTCTCGTTCGCTCTCTAAGAGACTGGACTGCAACTGATATCGCTCCCAGGGTAAGCTAATTATTGGGCTACCTGTGGCCCAGTCAAAAATGAGTCGTGTCTATGTCGAAAAAAGACAAAATGGCAGACGAATCTCCGAGAAGGCGATGCGTGTCCGATCCCCCCTTACAGTGGGATCGACTTCTGAGGAAGGGGGGGTCCCTGCCCTTTTTACCATGAATTTTCCATTCATTGAAAGTCGAAATGAGTGGGGAAGCGTAGGGGGTCCCTGCCCTTTTTTGCATTTTTACCATGAATTTTCCATTCATTGACTCAGTGGCAAAAAGCCTTACTGATGACGCAAAAATGTTTACATAATAAAGTGGGGTTTTTTATAGTCTATACTCGTTTTAGGAGGAGCTATAAACTCAGCGTCAACAAAAAGTATTCTTCGCGTTTAGACCACATTGTAAACAATAGCTAAAACAATGTAACTACTCTGTTAACCAACACACGCGTAGTATACGCTACTGTCGCTGAGTTTTTGCGAAACGTTTACAATGCCTATGCAAAACGAGACAAGGAAAGCTGATAAGGCGCTCAGGATGGTTATTTTGTGATTGATCCCCAAGTTGATTGAACTGCGTAAGAGACTAGTCCTTGAATCAACTTCCGGTGTCTCCCATAATCAGAGATTCCAAACAGCATACCTCAGTTGTTAGGGCTGAGTCGTCGTTAATCGTCAGCATGTGTTCAGCGGCTAACAGGCTGACAGCTTGGTTTGCTATATCTGTGCACACAGTTTTCAAGAGATGACGACACAACTGCACTTGAACATCATCTATGGAAATAACAGTTTACAGAACTTAAAAGGTTAATATGTAATTTAAAAACAAACAAACACACACAAAAAAACGAAACACAAGAGGCCCACCAACAATCGAAAATACGTTATAGACCAGAAAATCCGGTGTAAGTTATCAAAAAGACAACAATCAAATTGATATTCCAAAGGAGAAACCGTGCATGTGATTTTTCAGCTTTCACGTCAAAGAGAATAGACCTCTTTCGCTTTTATGTTTTGTTTTCTCACTGGAGGTCCCATTTCATAAATGATGACTACATATGTACGGGAATAAGACGAAATTTGAATGAAACAGTTCTCCAGAGTATTATCATATGATCATACAAAACATTTGTTCTGGGAAGTTAATGACATGTGGTAACTTACGGAACTAGAAACCTAGAAAAGTGCCAATAGGCCACTTCAGCTTTCCCGTTAGGCTGTTTTGCCAGACATGTACAAGTATGATGTCTGATGTTAAGATTGCATTTCATTCCCATGCGAATAAAACAAAAGTAACTTCAACAGATTTTGAAAGTTGGAAGTGGATTATCTCCCCGCGAATTCGCGCCTGGTTGAACTTCAAATACATAGTTAGCCTACCGTTGAACAACTTGATTCCTTTGTCAAAAAGCTTGGCATTTGCCCACAACACATTGACCTTTTCTTGTACTTCAGAATGACTTTTTCGTTTTTTATCGCCCGTGGCCAGGAAGACAGACCGAGCTACCTCCTGATAACTCTGCGTCAGCGGTCTATCATAACAAAAGAAAAGTTTTCATTAATTCCATTTGTACCATGACGTCATTTTACTACTACTACTACTACTACTACCACAATACTTTAGGGTATATCTTTCTCGTGCAAATTAGTATGTCCAAGTTTGCACGCAGTAGCAAAATTTGGGAAAAATTGGAGGAATCAGACTGGCGATTTTTCGCAATTTTTCGCAAATTTTGTTAAATCTGCAACTCGGTCTGGTTTAGTGATCATTAATATGACAAACAACTGCGAAAACTCGCCAGTAACGCTAAAAATCGTCAGACTGGCGATTTTTCGCAATTTTTGTTAGATCCGCAACTCAGTCTGGTTTAGTGATTATTAACATGACAAAGAACTGTGCAAAATGGCAAGTAACACAAAAAATCGTCAGACTGGCTATTGACTGGTTATTAACATGACAAAGAACTGTGCAAAATGGCAAGTAACACAAAAAATCGTCAGACTTGCGATTTTTCGCAATTTTTGCAAATTTTGTTATAATGGCCAACTCGCTCTGGACCTCAGTGATTATTAACATGACAAAGAACTGCGAAAAATCGCAACTATTAAACGCGAAAAATCGTCAGACGCGATTTTTCACAACACACACAAAAAAATCGCTTTTTGTTGCTGCGGCGTGCAAACCTGGACGTAAGTGGAGCAAATTAGGTCCGCGCTTCTTCTTAGCCTGAGAAAACAGCCGACATTTCACGCGACGTCCCCGAAATGAGGTCTGAGAAACGAGTACAGAAATTCCATACTGATGAAATGTCACTACCCAGATCTGGGTAGTGACGCGTCATCAGTATGGAATTTCTTAGCCTGTTCCAGGCGTTCAGATAGTGGGGAGCGGTGCGAAGTGCCCCTCTACTTTTCATCGCTTTCTTTACTTCGCACCGCTCTCCACTATCTGAACGCTTGGAACAGGCTAGGAATTTCTGCGCTCTTTTCTCAGACCTCATTTCGCGGACGTCGCGTGAATGTCGGCTGTTTTGTCATGCTGGGCTGAGATTAAAAAAAACTTAAATTAAATATCAAGGGTAAAAAGTTAAATGGATTCTCGCCACAGTAATATGAAAGAAACGTCATCGGGCAGATGGCCAACCAAAGGTGGACGCTTCCTTTAGATACTATAGTCCTTTGTCTGGGAGATTTTCTAGTATTTCACCCTTAAAATTAACCTTTTCGGTCAATGTCTGTTACCGTTTCAATCTCATCGGATCGTTATCAGAAAAAAAAGGACGTTTGTGAAAATAATGCAAGATACCATAAGACCAACAGGCGCGGATCCATACTGGTTTCACCGTTTTACGGAAATCGGTCAGATTTTTTATAAGAAATATATTTTTAGTAAAAAACTTTAAACTTTCCAAGTTGAAACCTGGAAAATGGTTTGAACAGTCAGTACCTATCCTGTCTGAATGACTCAGAAACCCAGGAAAGGGGACTTTGAGGAGTTAACATCAAAAACATTTCCCGGGGAACCATACTCCCAGACCTCCCTAGAAGTAGGAAATCGGTCAGTATTAATTCTTGATCCGCGCCTGACCAAGACCGGCACTTTTACTCCATGAAAAGGGAAAAAACTAACACAAAGCACATATAAAAGTAACTGACACTTCATCTGTGAATCTTGCAAAACAAACCTGAAAAGATGATTTGCGAGTTCCTCCACGAGTTCTTCAGAGCAGCTTGGAAATCTCTTTTGCAACTCTTCTGATATCTGCAACACAACATGAAATTTAGAGAACAACAAATTTACCCAACGAAAAGGATACAATCGGCGACCGATCTGTGTTATGTCGCAGACATGTGCTCGGGGCATGTTCACTTAGGGTCTTGTTCGCACAAAGTCGAGTCAAACAAACAACGCATGCCTGAGATCGCTTAACTCAAAAGAGAACGTTCTGTGTGGCGTCTGTGATTGACAAATCAAATCTTCATGCAACTCACTCACCCGCACAAGTTCATTTGTATTGTTAGCAAACATCATCCCCTGACAACTCATGCTCACTATGACAGAGCCTTATATGAAGTAACATATCAAACAAACAAACCTCTTCCACAGACACGAATGGTAATTCAGTGGAACTCTGTTTAGGTCTCGTGAATTCCTCCACTTCTTCTTCTCTTGCTCGGTCTTTCTTCTTATCACGAACCTGTCAAAATGAAATGAGAAGTTGACAGTTGATACTATTTTCCATATACTACAGTTGATACTACGCTACATAGAATATAGTTGATTGGATACACACAGAAACCCATAAAAGAGTATTTTTAAGATAACTTACACCTGTCATATTCTGCTTATTCGTTAATTTACTCTCACTAAATGCGATTGTATTTGCTTTCATCTGTTGTTTCTTCAGGAAATTCACCATTTTCACATAGACCATAATGCACCTTGTTCATCCCCCAAACATTTTGCATAACCTTTGTCTTTGATTTCCCCTGTGATGACTGTAATGCCCAGGAGAATTGGGAACAACGGCTGTGCAAAATTTTTTTTTTTTTTTTTTTGGGGGGGGGGGAGGGGGTAAACAAGGTGCATTATGGTCTATGTGAAAATGGTGAATAACAGTTTCAAGATACTTGCATGTACGGTGAGGTTTACGGACTGCCTACTGCTTTTGCCAACTTGTCTTTTTCTTGGGTAAACCGACTTTTCGCCGGTGAAAATACAACTAGAACACATTAAGGGACAAGTATAACACAACCTCTCCCGGCGGGAAATCCAGTATCATTAACAACCGTTGATGAGTTGACTTTGGCCAAACTGACTGGTTACGACCATTTGAAGATGACCAGTGTTACGGTAGAGAGATTAATTCATGATAAGAAACTATAATCCATGGTAAATACCTTCTGTGTCTTGCTTTCTCTTCCTCCTCTGCCTCCACCTCCCCCGCCGCTTCCACCACCTCCTCCTCCACCGCCGCCCCCTCCTTTGCTGCCTCCAGCAGCTGCCTTCTTCCTCCTCTCCTCCTTCTTTGACTGGCGGTCTGAGCCTCCTCCTGATGCGCCCAAGGAGGCTAAGTCTTTCCTCGTGAGCTCTGAAAACAGGGCCGGAGCCTTCACTGAATCCTGAAGGTAAAGTAATTAAGAGTCACGGATATAATCTTTTGGTGTCCTCAACTAGTACCTTTCTCGGCCTGAGACATAATTATACTAATGAGTTTACACAACAGGACGGCAAAACGCGTGAGTGTGACAAACGTGACGGGGCTATTACTTGCGTGTTTTGACGGGAATTCATTAACATAGATGTTGTTTGCTCTTCTACAAAAAGATCTGTTTAAAGGAATGTGAAGTTTGGCGAAAGATTTTCTCAAACAAAATTATTGTCACGCTTGTCACACAAGGTTTTCCGTCCTCTTTCCTATCCCGTCCTGTTGCGTAAGTTCACAACTACTGACACGTGAGCGTTGGTTCAATTTTCACTTTCATCATCATGATGAAAAAAAGTACATCCCTTTCTACACAGTTTTCGTGCAGAAATGTCACTTTGGTGGCGGGGACGAAACTGATGTAGAGAGGTAAAAACAAAAATGAATGTACAAGTATGGACTGTTCACTAGGGCCAAAGGAGGAGTTGAGGCGTGGTAGCGGTTAGTAGAAATTCCACTCTATAACCCAAACAGATAGGTTTTGTGATAACGGACAATTGCTACTGACAGAATTGGACCATAATGAACTTTTTCTGATAAACACTAACCGTCTTGGCCTTGTCTTGCATCAGCTGTTGGAATGGGTCTTTGCAGTTTTGAAGAAATTGTTCACTGACCACAATACTGTCACAGAATACATGAGCTGATGAGCGACCAGCAGCTTTAAGGCAACTCTGTAATAGCTGGCCAGCATCCTCTGCAGTGAACGGTGATGGAAGAAGAGGCTGACAGAAAAGTGAATGGGGATTCAGTTGCCAGTCAAAGGCATTACGCAAGTAAAATAACAGACATGTAACCTGCAATGAAGCTCTCTAAAATCTCTCCCAATCCCCCATGCTACTGTTAACTGTAGTAAAGACATTCAAATTATACAGATACTATTATTTTTCATCTTTACCTAAACCTTACTTGTCTTTAACACAATAAAAACACCTGATCTTGCAGAATAAAAAATTGCCCCTCACAGTAAAGCTACAATACAGACTGTGAGCAGTAAGCTAACCAAAGCACACACATAGCACACGCTCGTTTTCTGCATTAACCACAGGGGCCCACACAATCTGTTTGTGTAGCCGATCGATATTTAAGAGTAAATGTACTGGATTTACCGTTTGCTTCACCTATAGCGATATATCGCTAACTATGCATATAAATCAATGATAAATAAACGTTGAATTACCTTGCCTGTGGTGCATAGTCGTCCTTTTGCCTCAAAAGCGGTTTTTTGAGCGATTTTGAATGAATTTGAGTTCGCCGTTGACTGTTCCATATAATATGGAACAGTCAACGGTGAACTCAAATTCATTCATATTCATATTCATTCATATATTCATATAATATTCATTCATATAATATGGAACAGTCAACGGCGAACTCAAATTCATTCAAAATCGCTCAAAAAACTGCTTTTGAGGCAAAAGGACGACTATACACCACAGGCAAGGTAATTCAACGTTTATTTATCATTGATTTATATACATAGTTAGCAATATATCGCTATAGGTGAAGCAAACGGTAAATCCAGTACATTTACTCTTAAATAACAATAGGCTACACAAACAGATTGTGTGGGCCCCCTGTGCATTAACACGTTAAAAAGAGCATTTTTCTTTTACGCATCACCACCACAACTTTACCTTCTCTAGAAATAATTATTTCCATATAAAAAATGTAAGTAATTCTCCTAAATCACTGCAAATGCATTAATTAAAATTAATGGACAGGCTCGTTCATGATTCAGAGAGCCTCTGTGGATACCAGCCTTATTGCTACATCGACCACCCTTACTTAGAGGTACTGTACTATTATAGTGTGTGTAATACCTATTCCACGTGGGCTCGATTTCTGCTGCTCTCTCAGGTCCGGTCTTGTTGCTTCCTGAGAAGGGGAGGGGCGTAGGCTTACAACTGTATCTCCTAAACAACAGCTGGTAATCGAGCCTACAATTTATGTGTTGCCATGGTTACTACCTAAGTAAACCTCACCAGTATATCCACCCACTCCGCAGTAGAGAGGGCCTCATCTATAGCAGCTTCCACTTGATCCTGTAATGACTCCCCAACACAGCAGGTGGGAAGAAACTGGACCTTTGACTTTTGAAATCTTTTCTTTAGAAACTGTCTTCCATCAGTAATGCCCAGCCGTGACAATGCGTCATATTCTGAAAATGCAAACATGATACTCTCTTGTTACATTACAGACAGATTTCATAGTCCTGAAAGATCTAGCCTCACCGCAGACTTATTTTCGATAGCACTACAGTTTTCTCAAGAAGAGAATATAGAATTCAGTTTTTGCTTGTCAATTAACAATTATTGAACATGAGGCTGAGTATGTGAAGAATTATGCAGATCAAGGGGAATATCATCCACCAAGCATCTGAGATCTGCATAATTCAACACTTAATATGAGAGCTGACTTCAACCACGACTCTGCCTAGAAACAAGGTTGATCAATGGGTTATAAAATCTTCCAAAAAAAGTGGGGGCCAGCTGGTTAAAAAAAAAAATAGCCAGGGAATTGGAGACAATATGAAATGGCAAAATATTTTGATTGAATAATAATAAGGATAACATGAAATAATAATTATGTATTTTCTGTATTTTATATCAGTGTGATTGAATAAAGTAAGTGAAAAAAAAAAACAATACTTAAGCTACAGTGGTACATTAATACAATCATGTAAATGCATGTTTGCTAAATCAATCTATCCTTTCTTTTCTCTTTCTAACTACGCAGGACTGTACGTTTCTTACCAATATAACCATTCTGTTTAAAAAAGTCATCTATCCAAGCTGTCTGTGTTTTGGAGTAAATGTCAGGAACAAAAACAGCCTTGTCCTGCCGTCCTTGGATACTGCCTGATATGCGACCTTCAGCACACAACTGGTCAATATCAGCTATAACAAAGAATAAACTCCAAGAAATTAATCTCCACTCAAGAAATTACATTACAAAGAGACAACTTGGTATCAAAAAGTGACTGCAGGCTTTAAAGTCTTACTACAATAAGGTTTAAAATAGTTTAAACTCTTGTTATTAAAACTACCAATAAACTTTGACCTAGTCTAGAAGTTTATCCTACACCTGCTAATGTGCACACCTACCAGGCCTTGCTTGACATGTTGCCTCTAAATTTCCTTACAGTAAATTATCCCTAATGCATGTTTCCTTAGATGAACAAATTTAACCACTATATGCACATGTATCCTTCACCTTTAGAGGCACTCGTGTAAAATTTTGCAGATAATTAAAAACGCGGATTGCTGGTGAAATTAGCTAGACTGACATTAAGATGGATGCATAAGGGCTATTAAAATGACTTCTGTACACAATACTGTGTAATCAATAATTAAGAAGAGTGACCTTCAGGTGAACAACAACATTACTACAAAAAAAACAAGTCATTGAAGGCCAGGTTAGTCTTAATACTATATAGTTTTGTGTAGCTTTTTTAAAAAGAGATAAACCAACTTACTGTAAATAAGCTTTTCTTGAAATGCATACTGAGTCATTAAACTAGACAATGGAGTGGGCCTGGAAAAATCAAATCCAGTTTGTGAAGAAGTGCAGTAAGATTTACTGAAAGATGTCCGGACAAGTGACTGGTAATCCTTACATTTCCTTAAAAATTTTTAAGATTATGTATGGCTGTATCTTGTTCAATATTTCCCTAACATTACACCTAACTTGGGGATTTTGTAAAGCCCGCTGTGCTCTTTCTAACTACAGTAGACTCCCAATAACTCGAACCCTCGCTAACTCAAACCTCACACTAACTCAAACCAAAGTCAATTTCCCCAGGATTTCCTTCAAACATTTCGTGTAATTTTACCCTTGATAACTCGAACCTCCTGCTAACTACATGTAAAAGTTATTTCTGTTTCCCTTCAGATCATTTCTATACAATTTTACCCTCAATAACTCAAACCATGTTTCAGTACAGCCAATGGCAAGTCGGGAAAAATAAGTATACCAAAGTCCGAAACACTGAATTATTTCAAAACAACCGTGTTGATTCTTTGTCCCTACTTTTATGTCACTCCAGCTCAAATTTAGTGTCCGTCCCTGTTTATTAATCAAGCTTTGTTCCTTAATTCCTTTTATAAAATATCAATCTATATCTCTTGCTGCCGTTGATGTGAAGTGTGCATGACACTTGCATTCCCTTGCCATCTATTTGCTTATTAATTTTCTTATTTCCGGTTATTTGCTTCAAACTCCCAATAACTCAAACTTCCGATAACTTGAACTTTTTTCAATTTCCCTAGATCAAATTATCGGGAGTTGACTGTATATGCATGCATGGGTCTTGCTTTGATAGTGCCATAATATCCAGACTGTACTTGTCTCCCATACCCCCATGATATGATATTCGGTAAAGTGTACATGTATGTACTGTGCAGTTGTTCCTTTACATTCCAGAGACTTCTTGGTAGTTTCTTGATCCAAATCGTGTTTTTTTTCTTGTTAAACAATGGGATAGTTTGACATTAAATCTAAAGGCATTTATAGCTTTCTGCACCTGCCTCCTTCACTGATTTGTACCAAATACCCTCATCAGCATTTTAAGATGAACCTGGCTTGTTTACATTACCACATGAGCCATTTTAAAGCCCAGAGTCAGTCAATCAAAAAAATAGGTAGCAATCAAGTGATTTCTATCAATTATTGATAATGGCACTCGGTGAAAATCAATAAATTAAATTGTTGCGTTGACACGATATTATCAATTCCTCATGATTTTAAAGATTTATAATGGAAGTCCGCCAAAGTTCTTTTTTGGCATAAGTTAGACTAGTACAGCTGAGAAAACACATACATCCACGAATAACAACCGCTCAACAAACATGAAAATGAAAAAATTATATGGAAACTATTACAGACACAAGTTAGTTTCTCTCTAAAACCCTTTATTTTGTGCATTTTGGTTTTTATGTTCATTTCTTGCAGGCAAGTATCATGAGAAATACAACCTTAGATAAAGATTTCCTAGCCCGGCTGTTGTCAGACATTCCCTCAAGTCGAAGGGATGTCTGAAATTCAGGTTAAAAGATTTCCTTATATAGTTTTTCACTGTTTTTTGTTATCAATCAATAAAAATCACTTGATTGCTAACTACTTTTATTGATTTCAATTTTTCTCTTTTGGCTACTCCGGGATGTAACTACGACCGGAACTGGTCTAAATCATGAAAAACTGGGTGCCTACAAACCTGGCTATCAGAAGAAGATTTTTAACCTAGTTTTAATGAAAAGTAAAACTTTTTTAAAGATTTTGTTTAAAAAGTGATAATTGTTTGATCCTTCGACTCTCAATTGCAACTCAACTGACAACAAATTCACTGCTTGCATGAAATCAGTTTTCATTTTTGGATGAACAGAAGAGATTTATCTTACTATAGAAATTGAGGAAATCAGTAAAAATAAAATATCTTGATAAACAAAACGAGCATGCCATTGATTTCTACTGATTGATTGATCAGATTTACTGATTATTTTTTATCAATAAACAATTTATTGATATCGATTTTTATTGATTGACTACTCCAGGTTAGGAGGCAAGGACAACCCCATGTAGTAGTAATAAACCCTTTACATTATAATACCAGTACAGTCAACCAAGAGTCAAAAATTTTGTAGGTAAACATAACAAGACAAAATCTATAAGAAGACAGTAATAAGTACTTTGTGACAGCACTGAATACTCCTCTGATGCAAGCCATCTGCCGAGCCACAAACGCTTCAGTAAACAGGACACCTCTCTCAAGCTGATCAAGTTGACCATGGATGATTGTTCCCAGCCGGGCCTCAACAACCTTAGAAGACAAAACAAGCAAATGTATTTAAAGGAAGAATATCAGAATACATCTGTAACATAAGTGGTCTTTTGCCATTAATCAATTTATTGCAAATGTGTAGATAAACACCAAACTTCTAAAACCCCCCATAATCAATAAGTTCTGATAGCCAAAAATTGTTAGAGCTATCTCAGAAAGGAAAGCTTTGAATAAAGAAAATGAATTCTTTCTTGTTGAAACATAATGCTAATGACAAGCACACTGCAAGAGTACAGTGTCCAAAAGTCTATTTGCAACTTGCATGATCCCCACAGTTCAATTCGTTTACACACAATTAATTTTTACTTAAGTATCACTGTCAATCTCTCTTGGGACTAACAATCAATCCTCAAGAAATTGAATGCTAAAGTTGTAACAAATTTAGGGGAAAACAATGCATTGTGGGGAAGGTATAAGTTACAGATACTGCACAGTTATATCTAGACTTTCTCAAAGCCAGTTTCCGGTTTGTGCTAGTTGGTGGTCAGTCGCCACTATGTCGCTTGTCTTCATCACTTGCTTTTGCTCACTTCGCGAGTGTCACTTGCACCATCGGGGATCACGCAGTCGATTTGTGGCAAGTCTAAGTGATATCCTACTAGATTAGTTTAAAATGTAGAAGATTCTCCAGAGGAGATTTTCTTAAATTTACTGTTACAGTAGAGAGGAAAAAAATTTTGCCCAAAAGAAAGAGAAAAAGCCCTAAAAAGAGTTCTTATGCATTATTACAGGAGTTACATGTATCTGGCATAAATTGAGACAGATGTTCCCTCAACAAACCAAAGCTCTATGTCAGTGGGTAATTATAAGAGACTGCTGATGCTAACATGTAAAATGTCAGTGCATGTGTGTATGAAAAAATGTTAGAAATTACAGTACATAACATTTTTATTAGGTAGACATAACCCAAACATTAATCTAAGTAATGTACGACATGTACCTCCAGAAGGAAATCAGTTGCAAATGAAAATGTTTTGCTGAGCTCTGAAATAACGACTTGTCCAGACTCTTGAAGAGTGTCATTGATCTCCTCTGCAACTTGGTCCAAGTAGTTACTAACATCACAAGAAAAAATTTCCATTTTATCACATATACCAATAAAAGTACAAACTCAAAAGGGGATAGCTAAGTGAAGGGCAAATGAGGCACTTGCCTTTGCCTAGGTTTCATAAGTATCACTTCACTTGCTTTTTGCGGATGCTGATCAATCAATATTTTTTGTAATACCAAATACTGCTATGTATCATCAACAGGGTTGTGATTTAAGTACTCGTGATCTAGAATGGTCTACCTGATTTCACAGGTTTCCTAGAACAATGTATACTATAACATTCCAAATATACAAAAGCTTTGGAATGAAAGTGCTCTCGAACAGCATATCAAAATTGGACCACAGTGTAGGTCTAGTATGGAATGTAATTTTGTGCTAAAAAGGGGTTGAAACACTAGGAATTGGTATGTGCTCATAATAATAATAATAATAATGATCGTTTATTCAACCTTTTTGCAGCATAAACTGAATTACCGTCAAGGCGGGTCATTAATTACATACAAATACTTCGGAATTATGACACGTAAATATAACTGTTACTGTTAAGACAAATCCATTTGAGTAAAACAATAAAAAATGTTCACCACGACTGGCAATTAAAATTGTTTACACACAGGTTTAGGGATGCTAGGTTTGCTTCTCACACGATAATAAAGGACTCGAATTCTGAGTTTCTTCGTCTCGATGAGAAAGTGAAAGTTTATATCCCTGAGTTTTGCTCTCGATTAATGCTCACCATGGAAATAATTTTTTTAATGCTTGTCTCATCGACGACTGATGAAATCGGCACTTTGTGACTCGTTTTTTTTAAATCGCGAGTGTAAGACTAGTAATGGTTTTGCACGATCATGTGTTTATAACATCTGACTGAAAGTAACTGTTACGCTATTCGTTTGTTAAAAGTCCTTAGATGTAAACCGTTAGACAAACGTTAAAAGTCCCTAGATGTAGAGCGTTAGACAACCGTTAAACGGCTCCAGTCATCCGTTAGAACAAACTGCGTAACCGTTAGAATGTTTTCTTCATCCGTTAGACTTAAACACTTGGACTTAAACACCTTGGAGAAAGTACAACGTAGAGCATCTAAATGTGCCCTTGGAAATATTGGGCAAGACATGCCTTACAAAGAACGCCTAAAGCTCCTTAAATGGTCATCACTTGAACAAAGAAGATTATTTTCGTCGCTTATCGAGTGTTATAAGACAATAAATAGACTTAATGGACTTGATCCCTTGGCATTTTTCACATTTGCACATGATTTTCAGCCCTTAAGAGCCAACCATCATTTTAAACTTAAGCTTACATCAGCAACTTTAAATAGTTTTAAACATTCTTTTTTTATATGCATAATAGATAAGTGGAACAATCTTCCAAAGGAAGTTGCTGAGGCGGAGAATTTGAATATTTTCAAGAACAGACTGAGACGTTCTCTTACAGATTTTCCTAGTGAACACTAAGTTCTTTTACTGTGTGATGTTTTATATACATATATAGTTACTATTTCAAACAGTTGTAAATAATTTATTTCTTAATGTATTTTATTATCAGGAGATAAACTAGAAAGGGATAACCTCTTTTATCTCCTTTTCACTTTCCGCTTTGGATTTTTGAATAAACAGTTATTATTATTATTATTATTAGACATACTTAGTTAGCCGTTAGACCGTTAGGAGAAAGCGTTAGAACGTTTTGATCATCCGTTAGGCACATTACTAGATAACCGTTAGAACGTTAGGACAAAACGTTAGAATGCTGTGAAGGCCATTAACAATCTGTTAGCTATGCGTCCGTTAGAGAGGATTTAATGGATAAGCATTAAGGTACGTTTTCCCTTGCACGGTCACATATCACATAATTTCGCTATTTTAAACGTGATTCTGGTATTTGATGGTGCAAAAATTTCCAAATCTGGCATTAAACATTTTCTTTAGTTTTTAGTACAACATAATGCACTCTTCTTACTTGTCAATTAGTTCTCCTTGGACAACAATCAGGTTCTTGTCATGTTTCACAATATCACTGACTTTGTTTTCAATATGACTTAGGTCCACACTAATAATCTAAAGAGAAAAAATCCAAATAAGCCATTGGCTGACTTAAGTAAGAATGAAAGCCACAGTTATATTCATGGATGACTCTTACGTTTACAAAGTTCACAGCATATGTGGACCTGGGAAGTGGGGGGCACTGAATTAAAAAAGACAGGCACTATTCAAGGATTAAACTTGTTGGATCTTGATATTGTTAGTCGCTATTTTTTGTCTTATAATGCTGTTTCAAGGTCGCGTTGCTTGTTGGAATTATTTTTACCTTCACAGGACCTCTTTATAATGTTTTCATAATGTTTTTTTTCAACCCTCCCGTTTTGGTGAAATCCGCGCAAATATTTGACCTCCTGTTTTCGATAATTTTCTCCCAGTTTTTGGAAACTCTTGTACTGATGTGATAAAGGGACCAACCAGTCTTTTTACCAAGACTCTCCACTGCTTTTTTTGGTTTTCCACTATTTTTACCCTTTTGGTATCTGACCATGATCTTAAAATGCATGGAATTGATGTGATAGGGACCAAGAGGCACATATCCTGTTAAAAACTCTTTTTCCATTTGTGGGTCAAAATGCAGGAAATGGCATCTTGCACATATCCTAGTACCCCTGCACCCCATTTGGCTTGTGCCTTTTTTGGCACAGCTATGCTGCTCCACAAACCTTCCTTTTTGTCAGTTGACAGAGATGGAATCTCTGAGAGGAAAGACTCTCAGTTATAAACACAGCTTACATGTGAATAGTTGTGAAAAGGCCTGAACAGAATTTGAACCCACGACCCTACAACACTAGCTTATTTTTCTGACCAACTGAGCTATCAAATCAGTCCAACTGGGAACTGGTCATGTTTTCATATAAAATGATGGATTCATATTAATTAATTGTACTAAGAGATGACTGCATGAAAGAGCATATTTAAAAATCATATGATTAAAAAGCAGAATAAGGATTTAATAGAATAAATTATGCAAGGGTCTTTCTCACGGTGCTCTCATCCTGGTCACTTTGAAATTGGGGACCCCCTCCCCCTTAACTCCCCCTCCCCACCCGGATAGGTGGCACGTAAACTGTCACCTTTACTAGCATCTGTGACTAGAAATGAAATAAAAACAACAGATCAATCAAATCCGGATATGAAATAAATTTTAAACACACTTTTCCTAATTGAAAATAATATATTTTCTGAGTTTTAAAAACACGTCATCACTTCACAGAATTCACGTGGTAACACATACTTTCTTACCTGTTGTAAATCCACCAAATTGACTCTCCCTGTTAACAAAAGATGAAAAAAAAAACACTATTACGTCTATTCAGTTCGTACCGACAAACGAAAGATCAGTTCATAACATTTTAATACCGCCGTGTACAAAGAGTTCGTCTTTGATCTCTCTTTCAAGTTGCTGTGGAGTCAAATATTCTTTTCCATCTGTTGTATATATCACTTCCACGAGCCCAAGACTGATCAATTTCTGAACTATCTCGATACAGTTTCTTTCAGAAAGCTTATGTGCCGTGCTGCTAAGCTGAGCACGTTGAAAATCAGCTGCTAATCGTTTTATCTCTTCCCAATCCGCCATGTTTTGAAATTTTATTCAGATGATCACGCGCCTGTAATACTTCAGTGGAATCTGAAGTACGATTATGCGCACAAAGCTTCACGCTCTGTACATTTCAAGATGGCGGCTATTTCGAAGCAGGAATATCTGAAACGTTATTTGTCAAATTCCGATAGTGGAAAAAAGAAAAAGAAGAGGAAAGTCCCCAAAGTAGCTTCAAAACGTCCAACATCCATCATCGTGGATGATGATATAACACTTGAAGACGTAAAAGTGAACCATGAAGAGAATGAAATGAACGAATTTGAAGTTGACGCCGATGAGGCACCAGCGGTTTATGAGGACGATGGCGTTACTAAAATCTCCCTTGAGACTTTCAAAAAACGCGAAGAAGATCAGAGAAATAAGTGGGCGCCGATCAACAAAAATGCGCACCCATCACCGTCCGAAGAGGTAGGAGAGAAATCGAATTACGACAGTGACCATTCACCTCCAAGAATAACGAAAAGGCGAAGGCAGGACACTCCAGATTTGTCACCACGTAGTGGTTTGATGGCTAATAGCCCTGATCAATCACCTCTGAGGAACAGATGTAGGAGGATAGAAGCTGATAACAGCCCACCAAGATCTAGAAGAAGACATGATTCTAGTGACTCAATTCCAGAGGAAGCACAAAATCAGTTACATGTTCATAACAGATCTACTACATCAAGAATCCGTAATGACTCTCCTGACCTATCCCCTCTCCGGTCAGGACCTAATAGTGGCTCTACTGCAAGAAGAGTTCGAAATGACTCTCCTGATCTTTCCCCTTCGCGGTCAGGATCGAATAATAGAGACTCTGGTGGCAGGAGGGTTCGAAATGACTCTGTTAACCTCTCCCCTCCCCGATCAGGAAGAAAAAGAGACTCTACTGTAAGGAGAGGACAAAATGATTCTCCTGATCTTTCCCCTCCTCGGTCTAGATCACATGGAGTCTCCTCTGCAAGGAGAACTAAAAGTGACTCTCCTGACCTTTCCCCTCCTCGGTCAAGAATGAATAGAGGCACTGATCATTCACTAGCTAGAAAAAGGACAAACAGTGACTCTGAATCACCTCCAAGGAAGCATGGCAACAGTGATTCAGATCAGTCACCTCCAAGAAGAGAAAACAGACCTGAAAGAGGAAGTAAATCAAGAGAGATTACAAAATCAGGATCAGAGGACACAATGGCAAGTGGTAAGTGAGCAGGTTATTAGGGACCTTAAGCAACTACGATGAGGACGGCAATGAAAATATCACTAAAAAAATGAATTTGCGTCCTTTCAAACTTCATTGCAACTCTTTGGAACTGCTCAATTTGTTAAATGTAACTGTGACTTTTCCTGGAGTTGAATTCTGAAGGGATTTAGCCATGCTGAAATAGAGAAAGGAAAATTTGTCGTCATATGTCCACATCCTCCATATAATGTCGCTTTGGGAGGTTTCACGTCATAGTCGTGCAGTGGACGTTAAAGAAATGTACCAAAAACAGGGTCCGAAATTAACTTTTTAATACGAACGCCAACTGGCGATCAAGTATAAATTTTTGGTCGCCAGAGGGCAAATTGTGTTCGCCAAAAATTCCCCCTCCCTTTTTTTCAAATAAAAGTTTAAACACGAATAAAAAATGCATGGTATGGACGTTTTTGTGCTTAAAAATTGCAATACTTCCGCTCCCGATACCAGAAAGAAACCGTACGTGTACAAGTGAAGTCTCATTTTTTCCACCAATTACTTTTTGGAGATATACATGTAAAGCCATCTGATCTAGTACGTAGGAACAGAAAGCTGTCCGCCCATGACTGCACCGGATCATATCAAAACTATTTTCTTCCGATAACTACCACAAAACAATCCACAAAACAACTACGAAACATAGCCGCCATGTTGCTCGTACCAGGCCACATTTTTTTTGTGCCACATTACTCGTAATGGCGGCTTGGAAACGTTCAACTCGTATTGATCGTAGCTGTTGTGGAGGTATTATTACGGGAAGATTCATTTCACTTTTAATTTAAACATATCAGCAGGACAAAAAGTAACACACCTGTTGGCAAATAGCTTCGAGGTTTCAATTCTTAATCAGTTTTTCCGAACGTTTAAGTCCACAATAACAACCAGCTTTACAAGTCGCTAGCTGGGGACCATTCTGGTCGCCAGGACTAAATTTTTAGTCGCATTGGCGACCAGGAAGGCGCAATTTCGGACCCTGAAAAAGCGTGATACACATGTAAAGCTGTTGTTTTGGTCATAAAACCAATTGTTTTTTGATGTTGTTGTTGTCGTTGTCTTCGTAGTTGCTTAAGGTCCGTATCATCACTGAAGGGGTGTGTGGGAAAAGGCTCTAAAGAGGCATCAAAAGTCTTTTTTGAGCCTTATTCCACCTTCCAAGGGGTGCATGAAACAAGGCCCCCTACGAGCTACTTTACAAAGCTTTACGAGGGGAGGCTTAACCCAAATGTCTGGAATAGTGATAAATTATTAAAAAGATACAGCTGTAAGGTGCATCTGTTCAAGATATTTTAATGCAAGGACCTTTTAAATACCTAAAAATGGAAGATTTCTATATCTTTTCAAAAACGTCTTTTTGTAAAATCCCTATCCTTCTGTATACCTGAAGTCTGAGTTAGGTTCCCCCATTTCGGGTGGAGCCTCCCTGTAATTATGTTTTAGGTCAAAATTAAATTCAGGTTAAAATGTTTCAACCTAGGTTTATTTTCACTTTCCTTTGTCTCCTAGCCCTGATTCTTCATGAACTAGAGCTAGGAGATGAAGGAAATTGAGAATCAACCTAGGGTAAAAAAATTTAACCTGGATTTAATTTTGACTAGTAACATATATGTTGTAGTTAATTTTTTATCTCAGGTAGTTTTTAGTTTTCCTTTGTTTCAACTTCATTAGCATACATTACCATTCTCAAAAACAAAAGAAATTTAACAAAAATTACCTGAGATAAAAAATTAACTACAACGTATACATGTAGGACCTTAACAGAAGTACCCCTTAGGATTAGACCCTAAATGACTCCTAACATAATGTGAAATTCTCCTTTGTTTTCCAAGCAAATACAAGGCAAATTGAAAGGAAAATATTAACACTTATCATAAGTCACTTGGGGCTTTGTTCTAGGAAATGCTGCCCTTCTTTTGTCTTTTAACACTTAACACCACCCTGAAACATTCTACATCTGAATCTGATACTGCCAAAACATTTTCTTCTAACTACCATCATACTTTTTCCAAACCTTTTGTAGGGAATGTCAAAAAGAGATAGTGAATGTGTAAGATTTATTATGATTTTGGGCATCTACTTCTCTTCTTGTCTTTCTAAATAATATTACTAAAAATTTATTTAAAGTTTGTAATAATGTATTGGTGAACAGATACTTGCTAGGAGCAGCTCTGGAGTAAAAATGCTGTAAATCTCTTAAAGTTCATCACATTTTACTAATTATTGTTAACATTATTATTAGACTGCAAATCATGTCAACAACTTGATGCTCCAACACTGCATTCCCAACTTCCTAGAGCAGGCCGATACACCCAGCCTGGCAAATAAGAGAATTAACAATAGGATGATGTCTATTTTCAAATGCATTAACTTTACCAACTATCCAGCATACCTTAAAGGATTATTTCAGTTTGGAACATCTGACCATACGTGTAGCTTAAGATGTATGAATGTGTTAGTCTTGCCAAATCCAAAACAACTACATATGGTCTTAACTCAGTTAGATATGCCACGGCGAGATTTTGAATCTTGCTTCCTGATTCTTTTAGGAGAACCACTAGTCGGAATGAATTTAGACATTTACTTTTTTCCCATAGCTTCATAAATTAGACGTTTACTATTACCGCCAGTTTGTGTCTTCATGTTAATATGTTTTTTATGTGTGATGTTGTATGTTTATTTCATCTGAGATACTAGTCGTTAGGCTACTCTAAAATCAGAAGTTAAATAAAGTTATGTATGTATGTACATGTACAGTGTATGTATGAATGTACAGGCTTGTGTCATTGATTTCCTTATTTCACAATGATGTAATAATTCACACAGTACAGTAATGACACTTTGGTTACATTGCTTTGTAAGTTATTATGTTCATGTTTGTGTTTTAACCCAAATGGATAGGACGGAAGGCTGGTCTGCTCACTGCTAGCGACCTGAAGATAGAAAATGAAAGGAAAAGAGTGCAGGAAGCAGAGATGTTCTCCAAGATGGATCCCTCTGTGTCTGGGAAGGGTTCAGAAACAGTGCACCGTGATAAGATGGGAAGAAAAAAGGACATCAAAATGGACAGAATCAAGAGGCGAGAAGAGGAACGCAAAGAGATGGAAGAGAATGAGAAATTCATGGAATGGGGAAGAGGGTAAATTATTTTTTGCTTCCACTATCTAAAGTCTTCAAACCACGATAACAGAACATGATTCTACTTGTGCACAGAATGGGAGTCAAGAATTTTTTTTCCATCACTGCTCTTACATTAATTTTACATGTAGCTGTCAGGGGGTTGGAAATGGAGGAAAACAAGAGCTCTCCTTTTTCTCCCTCTCCCACACTTCCCTGCTGTGGCTTCCTTTGGAGAGCTTCCTTGCAAGCTACATACACTGTTAAGTAGCCTCTTCTGCAGGTTTTCTTTTTTTCGTTTGTCTAGTCATATTCCACAGGTCAGGGTATAAATCACTCAAGGTTCTCATTAAGTGCCGGTAACCAGTTAAAAAACCAATAGTCTGCATAGCTGGCAGGCGCGTGAGCAAAGTTTAGGGATAGGAACTGCAAAACCGTGTGGAACATGGGGAGGAAAATTCTCACAGCTGCTAAAACAATCCACCAGTTACCCAGGCTTAAAAAACGGGCTACCTTAAATGTCTTATATTTTGAGCCACCTACTCTTTGGGGAAAAAGGGTAAGGTGAAAGAGCGAGAGCCTGATATCCCTTTAAGTCTCAAGAGTGACCAAAGTCAATTTTCTCCAAACAATATCAAATTATACATAATCATGGGAAAATGTGGTGAGAATTAATAAAATAGGCACCTATTGGGAAAAGCTTTGATATACAAACAAATTCTCTTAACCAGTTATTCAAGGAAATGTATGGAGATCAGTCTGGAGAATTTGTATTTGGATATTGGGGCTTAAAGGGATATTGCCTTCAGCGATCCACTGCCAAACCGCCTACTGTACATGTACATGTAGCTGTCAACTTCAAAACTTGATGAGAACCCTATGTCACTGCACAATCATATAAAAACAGACAAAAGCTCTCCTCTGTAGCTCTATTTGCCACCCAAAATGTGGTTCTAGGTAAAGTGTGCACTATTGCCTCAGTTATCCATCATTAGTAAGTTTATACAAAAGGATGGCAGGAAGAAGAGGACAGCAAAACGCTCATGTGTGACAAACGTGTCACAGGGCTATTACTTACGTAGTTTGTCGTAATGTTCACTTAACATTAATATTTTCTGGTCTTTTACAAAAAGATCTGTTTAAAAGAAAGTGGAGTTATTTAGTGTCTTGCTTGTCACACTCCATTTGCCGTCTTCTTCCCTCTCCCGTCCTGTTGCATAAGTTCACTGATGTATAAGTGACCTGTGGAATGTTACTTGCAAAAAAACCCTCCCTTGCCTCCCACTCAAATAAAACTTTCATGGACAGGGATTTGGATTTAAGCAGAAGTGTTTTTCAGAGGTGTTTCTTTTCTCTCTATTTGTTATCAGAGTGACTCAAACAAAACAAAATAAGGAAAAAGTTGCTGATTATTTACACGAAGTTGACAAACCACTTGCTCGGTACCGTGATGATAAGGATCTTGAGATGATGTTAAAAGAAAAAGAGAGGGACGACGATCCAATGTTGGCTTACATGAAGCAAAAAAAGAAAAAAAAGGACATCAAAGCGGGAAAGAAAGGTGAGGTTGGTGCTACTCTCGAGGGACATTATTTTCTCTTGCTCTTATTTAACCCTTTAAGTCCCAATATTCTCCTCACTGTTCCTCGTGCTTTTTTATTATGGTATTGCTGGAGAGAATTTGTTCTAACATCACAACATTTCATCTTTGGTGATCATTTTATTCATTCTCATGACCTGCATGTTTGATCAGGCAGTGTTATTGTTGAGAGAAATTGGATGCTGGTCACTATTGGGACTTATAGGGGCTGTGACACGGCTGTCCAGTTCATTTTGTTTGTAATCCCAATTGTGCGTAGTCTGTTACACAGCCGTTCATTTTAGCGTCGTCGCGCAACGCTAAAAACGACTTTGTAGCAGACTAACTTGGGCATAGATTATCGCTATGAAACTTGCGAAATTACTTGTGAATGACAAAATCACAGCTTCGTGTCAAACAAACATGTCTCTCTAGCATTATATCAAACATTACAAACGACAAAAATGAACTTTGAAAAACTGTCAGGCTAACAACTTTTCAAAAACCACAATTGCAGTCATTATGCGTTTCAATCCTCTTCACGTTTGTCCATCCGTGCCTTCTCAGTTTTTATTTGCGGTGTCATAATTATATACAATCTTGTTACATTTTTATCAGTTTTTATAACGTTTCATTTAAATCGGTGGCAGTTCCCACTGTCTGAATTTTGGTGAAATTCGTGACAGAGCTCCTTTAATGAAAGCAAAAACTAGCTGTCAATTTAGAGGGAGGGGAGGGAATAATGG